CCCTAATTTGAAATGCAAAGAAAAACTGCGTAATTTCTCACATGAAATGTCAGGAGAAAGAGCCTGTCAAGGCTATTTCTCGATTATTTTAGGTTCGTTGATGTCCGCGACGCCATCTCTCGATTATTTTAGGGAGGTTGATGTCTGAAACCTGATGTCCGAGAATCAAGTAGAAAATGGATCCTAAGGAAGGCTGAAGGACCTCGAGACCAGGAAAGTCTGGGCTGACTATCTTATCTGCACAAAGTACATTTGTGGTAATTTTTCCGATTCTCGTTGGCGCACAAAATCATTTTCGCACGAATAATTTTCTGTAGTAGGTGGCAACGTTGACAAAAATATGAGGCATATTTTTAAAAAAATGAGTGAACAAAGATTGAAAAAAAATATTTCTTACCTTACTCAGCAGACCAGATTTTCGTCCGTGAATCTTCCATTTTCATCTGCGTGCTTATACTTCAACTCCTTCTTAATTCTTGCTTTTTCTTCCAGAAATTGGTAGCGAGTGATGTATTTGTAAGTATAAAACGTATGAGTTGCAGTCAATATTTCCTGTTGCGTTTGCATTTTGTACCATAAGGGTCGATCCCTATTTAACTTTCCCCCGTTCAAAATATCATCTGACCTAAAATAACCGAGAAAAAAGCCTGGATTGGGTGCTCTTGGGACATCTTGTAAAAATTTTGCAGCGCTGTATTACGACTGATCGCTGTATCGTGGGTAGTGCCAACAACAGTCTTAATCCCCGAGTAACACGAACTGATGAAATTATGCCCAATAAAATAGGAAAGATTGATTAGAGTGAAGGCTATTTCCATTTAAATCTTCCGTCACATTCATACGGCGCAATGATACAACTATTTGAACTCTCCGGAATGCGTGAGGTATCACGCCGCAATTGAAGGCGTTTTCAAATCAGTCAAGTTCCGTTATCGGAATAATCGTTTTGCATTGTTCATATTATTTTGTTTCCATTTCTAACCACTTGTTTCATTATAATCCTCTCATAAAAACTACCCATTTGCTAAATACAATTCAAGCTGAAGCGCACTTAAGCTCATTCATGACTGCAAAAATGTTAACGGAAATCGAAAAGGCCATCGTGCATGAAGGCCCTTCATGCACGCTGGCCTTTTCGATTTCCGTTAACATTTTTGCAGTCATGAATGAGCTTAAGTGCGCTTCAGCTTGAATTGTATTTAGCAAATGGGTAGTTTTTATGAGAGGATTATAATGAAACAAGTGGTTAGAAATGGAAACAAAATAATATGAACAATGCAAAACGATTATTCCGATAACGGAACTTGACTGATTTGAAAACGCCTTCAATATTGCGGCGTGATACCTCACGCATTCCGGAGAGTTCAAATAGTTGTATCATTGCGCCGTATGAATGTGACGGAAGATTTAAATGGAAATAGCCTTCACTCTAATCAATCTTTCCTATTTTATTGGGCATAATTTCCACCTTAATGAAGGCTATTTCAGTTGCAATCTTCCGTCGCATTTCTAAGGCGCAATGATACAACTATTTGAACTCTCCGGAATGCGTGAGGTATCACGCCGCATTTGAAGGCGTTTTCAAATCAGCCAAGTTCCGATACCCGGATTATCGTTTTGCATAGTTCATATTATTTTCTTATATTCCGTGCCACTTGTTTATTTTTAATCCTCATGGAAAAACCACCCATTTGTAAATACAATTATAGCTGAAGCGCACTTCAGCTATGCACTCACCACTGCAAAAATTTCAGAGGAAATCGACAAGCCCAGCGTGCATGGAGGCTGTCTTCGTTTAAATCTTCCGTCATATTCTTACGGCGCAATGATACAACTATTTGAACTCTCCGGAATGCGTGAGATATCACGCCGCATTTGAAGGCGTTTTCAAAACAGCCAAGTTCCATTATCGGAATAGTCGTTTGGCATAGTTCATATTATTTTGTTTCCATTTCTAACCACTTGTTTCATTATAATCCGCCTATAAAAACCACCCATTTGCTAAATGCAATTCTAGCTGAAGCGCACTTAAGCGCATTCATGACTGCAAAAATGTTAGCGGAAATCGAAAAGGCCAGCGTGCATGGAGGAGCTACCTATTTCAATTGCAATCTTCCGTCGCATTTCTAAGGCGCAATGATACAACTATTTGAACTCTCCAGAATGCGTGAGGTATCACGCCGCATTTGAAGGCGTTTTCAAATCAGCCAAGTTCCGATACCCGGATTAGTGTTTTGCATAGTTCATATTCTTTTGTTATATTCCGTGCCACTTGTTTATGTTTAATCCTCGTAGAAAAACCACCCATTTGTAAATACAATTCTAGCTGAAGCGCACTTCAGCTATGCATTCACCACTGCAAAAATGTCAAAGGAAATCGAAACGCCCAGCGTGCACGAAGGCTATTTCAATTCCAATCTTCCGTCGCATTTCTAAGGCGCAATGATATTATTAGAAGGCGTATTAGAAGGCGTTTTCAAAACAGCCAAGTGCCGTTATCGGAAAAATCGTTTTGCATAGTCCATATTATTTTTTTTCCATTTCTAACCACTTGTTTAATTATAATCATCCTGAAAAAACCACCCATTTGTAAATACAAGTCTAGCTGAAGCGCACTTCAGCTATGCACTCACCGCTGCAAAAATTTCAAAGGAAATCGACAAACCCAGCGCGCATGAATGCAGGCCCGCCACAAGGGGGGACACTGGGTCCCTGGTACCGGGGCCCGGGTCCCGGAGGAGGCCCGTGTTACCCGTTAAAATCCACTACGAATTCACATGCAACCCTTGTTTCGTAAGAAAAAGTGAAAAATTTACCCTAAAAATTTCGCAAAAGGTAAATAGATTTTCAGAAACACGCTTGGGCACTGTAGAATTCTTCTTAAATTTTCAAAGAAGTATACTTCTTGGAAAATTTCTATCTATTTTCAAGATTTTCAGTACTGAGGGATATTTTTAGTAACTGCGTTTCATTTCTTCCGTCGTCAGATGCTAAGGGTCTCCAATCTGGGCATCCTCGACTTCAATGGCTCATGGCTCAACTCCCTTGCCATGGACAAATGAAGGGGGAGTCCAGGGGGGCCTGGCCCTCATAGAACTGGTAATAGTAATAGTAGTATCATATGCCCCCCCCCAAAAAAAAATAAAAATGTTCCAGATGTTTTGAATGCAACAATTCACAAGTATTTTGTGCTGAAAGTAGAAAAAAAACATAGTTATTCCGCAGAAATTGATGGAATAATTCTTTATGGAAGCTTCAAAATGCGTCCGATTAGTTGTATAAATTCTAAAATTTCTCGGAAGATGCTCCTCGGACCCCCCCCTTCCGTGCTTGGGGCCCGGACCTTAAAACTGGTACCAGGGCCCGAGATGGGATGTGGCGGGCCTGATTAGAGTTGTTTTTTAACCAGAGAACTTCCGTACTTGGAAGGGCACATTTTTTTTTTTATTTTGTTGTTTAAACGACACTCAGATAGAAAGAAAGGATAGGTAGGACTTTTTTCGCTGATATCTCCGTCAACATAAGCAACACAGTCAATGTTACGCAATGATAATAACGCCTTGATACAATTATTCGTATTCGTACTCTACGAACACGCGTGTTGCATATAGAAAAATGGAAGGCGTTTCGGTCGCTCCTGTCCATAAAGCAGTGCACGCAGATGCGTGGAGTGCGCCACGCCACAGTCACGAATGTGTGGCAACATGATATCCGATAAAAATGGGGACAATGGAACAGAAAACTATGTTTTCATACAATTTTCACACATCAGAAAATCATATCATATCCCACCGCCTCACAGAGTCGTGACAGTAGGCCGTTGCCAGCAGTGCCAGCACTGCCTCATGGACTAGAATGATCGGAACGCCTTCAATGTTTAGAACGCAACACGGATGTCCATAGAGCCCGAATAGTTGCATGCTGAATGAAGGCGTTATTACTGACACTATATCGTTTTTCGCTTAGTTATCAATACCGAGGCGTTGAGGAAAAAAAGTCGTATGGACACATGAGTGTTGCCAAACTTTCTCCAATTAAATACGAATTTCCTGGTAAATTAGCTGTTATTTTTCTACCAAAACGAACTTTAAACTGGAGCTAGAACTGTCATTAGAGGATTGTCTCATCATATGATTTCGTTGGGGATAGATTTGAAGGAAATTCCTACCTTTTCAAAACGGGGCACTTTTTTAGCAGGCTCCCTCTCGATAAAAGATATCAAAAGATACTCTTCAAATTGCAGATTATTGGCCCAATGGTAAAGAATAATTAGAATGCTGCTAATATTCTCCATTACTTCACCCATTTCATTCCTTAATGATTGAAACTTAATTATCTCTCTGCAAATTGGTTATTTTATTGATCTCCAATGAAGTTGAAAGTATATCTCCATTGCGCATCTCAGAATCTCCAATTATTAGGTTGAATTTTTTTAAAATTTTCTTAAATTCTCAAACTAATTAAAATTCTTTTGCTTACAAATGTGTTTGAAAAATCGTATGAAGATGTGCACTATTGAGGACCCCTGTGACAGATATACTCAATTTCTGCTTACATTTGAATTGTATTGACAGCAACTGCTATTTCAATGCACTACTTCAAACTGTTTCAAAACGTTCATACATTGCATTGACAAATACTGTATTATGCATCCAATCTTAGGGCTTAAAACTTTCCTTTATTTATCTTCAATTAAATTTTATTAAAAACTGAGTGATGATGGATGGAGTTACATTAACCTACTTTAAATTAGTAGATACTAGTTATAATTTGGTTGATACATGCCTTTTATCTTATCAGGACGAACAATTCACATACCTTCAAAGAATTTCTTTATTTCAAAATTTTTTATCATACAAATTGAGATAAATCTGAATAAAAATAATCCATACTAAAAATTGAGAGAAACGCAGTGACAATAGATAATTTCTCTACATGTTTTAATAAATCACAGGCTTAAAGAAAAAATGAATTTATCAAGCAAAAATAATAATACAAGATTTTGGAAAACAGATTCATATTTCGTTTGGTGTAACAGTTATAACATGTTGCAGAAAAACCGAATCCTGAGTTACTTTCTCACAGCCAATGGGAGAGCAGTTGAAGGAAGCATGATTAGGAACCCTGCAACAATTTCAATAACAATTTTGGAGCCTGCTCCTAGTGCATTGCAGGTGTTACAGGTTGTCACGCATCAATACGCAGTAACAGAGTTCCTATTATGAACAAAAATGTCCGATCAGAGAGGCTCTAACAATCGGTAACATAATCAGAATGCTACTCACTTATATGCAACTGTTACACCAAACAAAATGCAACTTAAGATTGAAGAAAAATAATAAAAAATTCGGGAGAGATTTAGAGGAACACGTAAATCTTTAAAGGAGAGGAGCCTCCTGGCACATTTGAAACTTAAGACCAATTCTTTTGGATTTGAACAAAGAGCCTCTTCAGATGTTCAAGATCTACCCCTCTTCTTGCGGTTGCTGCCTTGAAATTGCTTTTGAGATGATTTATAACCTTGCCAATAACCTGTGATAAAATATTAAATGATAAGTAGGATCATTTTTAAAGTTGACAGATCTATATGATTTGATAAAAACACAATTTCAGTTGCAAAAAAAACTGTTTCCAGATTTTCCAAATTTTACGACCAGAAGACATCCTGGCAGTACATCAAACTATATATTAAAAATAAAAAAAACTAATGAAAAAACTAAGTTGTCAGCGGGTGTGCAGACATATCCTGGCACAAATTTTATGAGTTTTTTATCATTAACTTTCTGCCTTGTGCTGTCTCTTCTCTCTGAGCCAAGAGGCTGGAAAGATTCTAATTTATTTTGGGCACATAGAATATTGTAGAGAAAAAGACAATGAGTCAACCTTAAGAAAAAAAAATATTGCGGGAAAAGTATCAGCATTCCAAGTTTTATGAAAAATTCTTCAAGAATTCATGGGCACTTTAACTTTGTTTTTGGCCACAAAAGTAAACAAAATGAAAATGACAAAAATTTGATTATTATTTGCTTTTTTCCTAATTTTAATTGTAATTATGATCGTAATCGTGATAAATTTCGTTAATTCTGATAGAATCGTAATCAAATTAAAAAATCCTTAATAGCACACCTCTACTAATTGATGGTAATACACTGCATTTTGAGGCAGACACAACATACCTGTGTGATAACCACTCATATACCAAGACATGAGCATGGAAGAAATAAGTTCCGATTCACTCTGCGGGAATTGATTCATGATGTGAGGAGGTATTGGTGGAGGGATCATTGGCATGCTCCGTGGCTGTTTAAAATGGAAAGCAAGAAAAAATATCAGGGACAACAGATATGAAGATAAAGCAGATCGCATTGAGCAGAAAGGAACCAGTGCGATTACAGTGTTGTAAAAATTGTGTGCCATTATCTGTACTTAAAAAACGCCTAAAATAGCAAATAGTTTCTCCCTCTTTTTTTACCAAAAAGGAGAAGGAAAAAGAAGCAAATATATAGTTTCTGAGCAGTTAATGGACAGCTAATGGACATGTGAGATGAGTGCACCATCAATAAAAAGCGTCTTTGGATTCTTCTCCAATCATAAAGAGAGGCCATGTTGATAGTGTAATCTCTATGTATTTCTATGGGTTGAAATTAAAATAGTAACTAATAACCACCATAATCTAAGGTTTTACATTAGATCTTGTAGAAAATCCTACTTGCTAACTACCCAAGTAGCAAGGATACCTATAGATGGACATAAAATCGTAGGAATGTTGCTATATTATATTTGCCATGCGTATTGCCTACTCCCTCATTTGAAGGCGCGGAAATTATTGCTATATTGTTGCTATGATTTAGCAATAAATTCCGATTATTGGTTGTGTCACCTGTTGCCAATCTGCTAATTGCAAGGCGCAAAAATTATCGCAATAATCTTGCTATTAAGTATGATGAAAAACTCCCGCGCGTTCCTTTCCGTAACTTGTTTTCAAATCTCTAGCATGAACATAGGCGGTTCTACGGGGGTGCCAGTGGGTGCCAGGCACCCCCAAGCAAAAATTAAGTACGGTTATCGGAACCGTGAAATTGCTGCTTTTAAAGATTCTGTAGTCACTCTCACTGAGAAAAAATCCCAGCAATTAATTGAAAATGTTTTAAACAGAATTAAAATTGATAGCCGTATTTTACAAAGATTCCACTGTTTTTTTATGGTAAGATTGTAGTTTTGATGGAAAGTTTTGCTAAAAATTTTCTAAATTGAATATGCAGGTATTTAAGTGGAGAGGAAGGAGAGAAAAAGAGAAAGGAGGGTAGGGAAGGGATAAAACATGAGGGCCGAAACTTAGGCCTCCCCTGAGTGACTGTCCCCTTTGGAGCCGGTCTCCGACTTTTTCCACCTCTTGGCACCCCCAAGAATAAAGGTCTAGAACCGCCTATGAGCATGAATGCAGGAATGTATCGCAACAATTTGATGAAACAACCATTTTTCCTCAATTTAGTCTTCTCGAAATAGCTCAAACTCGATAAATCTGAAACTTTAAAAATTTCAATGCTTTTTTAAAAGGTTTGAATTTCCAGTCAATCAAAATAAATATCGTCTATGCTTTTAACCAAGTTCTGGGAAATTTAATTTTACTTCTTTCATGCCTTTCTTTCCTCCTTTTATTTCGTTTCTGTTTTTGTTACTTTTAATTCTTTGAATTTTTTATTTCATGCAAATGCGCCGGTAAGGGTTTCGTTTCATGTCGGAGCTATATAATGTGTGAAAAGTGAGGCACCCGACAGGTAGTCTGGCTAGCTCAAACGGAAAAGGCGGCGCACGGCAGTAATCCGAAGGTTGCGCGTTCTAATCCCGCCTCGGACAGAAGAATTTAAAGGGTGCTGGATGATTGAATCATGAATTTCCTGTCAATTCCGGCAAGATCGGATTTTCGAATGGATTCTGCAACGTTGTAAAAATTAGGGTAGACTGATTAATTCCTCAATTTTCCTAAGACCATTTGGCACCGCCACAAATAGCAATGACATTGCTATTAAGTATAGATTTTTTTTATCGATCTGACCTGACGAAATCGGGAAAAATCGTCCAAATGTTGACTGAGAATTGCTACTTTATAGCTATATTATTGCAATATTTTTTACAACTTTATACCTATAAATTGATACATTATATCAATTTTTACGTTGAAAAATGCTACTTGGGTAACCAGTTACTGGCTTTACTATACATAGCAGAGGCGGCAAAGACAATAAGTCAGAGAGGTTCATCGAAATTTGAGAATGTAATAACTGAAACGACAGCAATACATTAATGAAAAGAAAAATGAATTACCACGAATGGAGGTGAGTTACATGATTTTGTTGATGATGCTTTCTTGGTAAGGCACTCATTGATACACGGTTTGCTTGAATCAAATTCATTCGAAGCATCAGTCTCTTCTTCACTAGTTTCTGTCAGTTTACTTGTTACCTGAAAAATCAAAACCAAATTGTGCAGTGAGAAAATATTGATTCAACTCCCCATTTCTGACTACCATGGGTATTTATTTTTGACAAGTCAACCTCCAGCTTAATTTTTTAATGTAAAATTCAAAGAATCTAATGATCATACTACAAATTAATGCTGAAGTTGTACATATTTGTTACATATGCTGTTGTACATTGTACATATACTGTTAGTGTCTGATGAAAGACTGGTACATTAGAAGACAAAGATAAAAATCTCAACTGCCTCCGATTAATGACTTCAATAGCAAACTATTCTCCATACTGGGCTAGCACAGTGCTAAATGTACAGTAGAATGGAAAATAAAACTCACTGCTTACATTTGTACATTGTAAGTTACTTATATGTTACGTGTAAGCAAGTTAATAACTCCTATTTTTATTTGTAAGTTCAAACACTAAAGAAACAAAAAAGACAACATGCTCACTAAAATTTCAGCTGCTGCTTCCTCAAGTTGTTTTTGAATAGCTTTTTCACCATGGGATTCCCAAATATTCTTTTTGGGGACCATTTCCTTATTGTTGTAACCTGAAAATGAAAGAGGCACTTTGAGGGAAATTTACAATGGAAAAACCTGGAAAATTTATTTTAAATCCTGAGTCCAAAAGAAGAAAAGCACAATTTTTTTATCAATAAACTCTCAACTCTAGAGGTTTTTTTTTTTATCACAATGGAAAGCAAAGAAAGGGTAACTATTACAAAAAGATAAAAGTAATGATAAAAGTAACAGTCTTTCAAAATCATTTGGTTGAAAATAGGAAACTGATAAAAATGGGTACAGGATGTACCACACGTGCAAAGAGCTAATAAGAGCTACCTCACTATTGTAATTTCTTTCCAAAGTTTTCACCCACTTTTACTTCTTCTCTTGTTGTATACAAACCATTGTTTCATAAAAAAATGAATTTTTGTCTGCAGAAGATAAACAGAGAATTGGACTGAATTTACTGCATTTTTAAGCATGCGCTCAGGATTCTACATTTACATCATATCAGCACTCATCAGCAAGCAAAAAAAAATTCTTGAGAAATTTAAAAACATCTTGAAATCAAAGACTCATATTGAAGTGGGAAAAGAATGTTCATTTAAATGCTACAAACCTAAATATTTTATGAGGCAGGTGTCTTTGAATACTTTCAGAACAACACCTTCATAATATTTACAATCCTCACTGTATAAAGCTCGTACTGGCATTCCTGCTTTAAAATCCTAAACAAATAAAAATGAGATTTAAAAAGAAAACATTTGAAAAAATAGACAGAATAAAACCATGAATTAAAACCTTACTTTAGTAATATCTAGAACAAAATGTTTTACGGGAGTCATTAATTCTTCTCAACATTATGTAAACATTTATAGAGAAGAAACTTTCTACATTCCTGAAGAGTTGGATAGGTAGAATTGTCAGTTTTGCAGTTGCAATTAATATTTGCTGCGTTACATGAGTGAAAAGGGTATCAGTGAAATGAAACTTAGATTTAACAATCTAAGTGTTGTCTCTCCGGTCATAAGTCATTAGGATCAATTTGCAACATTAGGATCAATTTGCAACAAGATGTGACCTTCCACTAGGATTTTTCAAGAACAGCAGTTTTCAGATTTTTTCGCAACTCAATGCTCTCATCCTGCACCATTTTTCTGAAGATTTAAATACGACAACAAAAGAGACTGAAAGAATTTCTCACTGAAGGGGCCTCTCATTTAGTCCGATACAGCAGCTTACATTCCATATGGTGGGAAAATTACAGAAGTGAGAATAAGTAACAACACTGAGTATCAATTGGAAAATCTGCTTTGTAATTTTGTGACCAGTGACAAAATCAGATTTCATTAGATTCCACAGCTCTGTTCGCATACAATCCTAGGTTTTTGTGCTCTCATTCTTGCTTGATAATTATTAACTACCTTTTGCCGATACTGAAATATACTTAGATACTAGGTAGAAATTCCAACAATTTTTCAATTAGTTAAAAAAAATTGAGGCATGCTAAGTTGGGTTTACCAACAAGTGTGATCTACTGATGAGGTCTAAAAAGACCCAAAACATTATAGATCTCTAGGAATGGCCTCAACTTAATATTTCAATGCAAGCTGCATGAACTGAACACTCTTCTCCCCTCAGTTTTGTACTGGTACTCATTAGAGCAAAAAAAAATGACTCTAATTAAACAATTTTTGGAATATCTTGGCTTTGTTTTCCCCGCAAAATGGTGTGGACCCAGCACCGTTTCTCCACCTTGTTACATGCAATTCGGACCATTTTTTAGTGTTTTTTTTTCTTGTTATCAGTATTTGTTGATACTAAGTAGATAAAGAAGTCACTATGTAAATCTGAAAAAGAATAAGTGTCAAATAAAAAGGGATTAATACCTTGATTCGTCCAGATTTCATCTTTCCTTGATCACCACTGGGGCCAGCACCTTCCAACTTACTAGCAATTGCCATTTTAATAGGGTTCACAGCTCTCTCATAAGCTTCGATCAGAAGAGTGTCATCCCATACGTCAGGATCAGGATCCATCAACTGAAATGATAAAATAACTTACTTTTAAACATTTACGGACATTTCTTTAACATACTTCTAAACATTTTTTTTCCATGCAAAAATTAAACTTATCTTTGAAAGGTGATCATAGAAAGCAAAAATTGAATTCAGGTGTTGCTTGAGATGCAAGAGAGGATTCTAAATGAGCCACTCAAGGATTTCAGTGACTTACAAGTCAATGGCCAAAGTGCAAAACCAAGTATCTCCATCGCAGTGTTACAAAATGTATACTTGGTATTTGACTAGCGGACAGGAAAAAGCAAGAAAGTTTTGAAGAAATTACATTGATATTTGTCTATGGAAAAAATAAAAGTTGACAGGAGGTTTGTCAATGTCATTAATGGAGAAATGTGATTTCGCACTTCAGAAATCGAACTGTCACAACAATCAGCTCTAGTCTTAGGATTCCCTGAGGTTGTAGTTAGGTTGTCAGCAAGAATGCCATACGTATCCAAAAACTACGCCCAGACTGCGTATACTTTGGATATTTCATTGCCACAATGATTCACAGCCATCCCACCACTGAATATCGTTAGGTCAGATTGCAGAATTCAATGATGGTAACTGTAATATATGAAGAATTAGTTCCAACCTCTACCTGCAAGTATCTGGGAACATAGAATGTACTTAAATTGTAAATTTAGAGGAGGAATCTAGCTCGAACATGAAGAAAAGACAGTGTCGCTGGAAATGAAAAGCGTTAACAGCTACAAGAGGAAATTATTGTACTTAATACCTCAGATGGATTTCGGGTGAATAGAACATTTGACATTTTTCCAAAATTTTTTCTAATGCTCTGAAGAAAGTTAGAATCGTTTCAGCTAAATTGGATGGACACGGTCGAATTTTGATAAAATGTTAATGATTTTGGATTGACTGATAACAATAACAAAACAACTATCAACAATGTTGCAAACCATCATTTGTTTACTTCAAAGTTTAAATTTTTCTCCGCCAGGGAGCGCTTCCCACCTGCCATGGCCTCGTGTTATGTTTAGAGGTTAGGGAGTCTTTTGAAATTCTGAAATTCTGAAAGTAAACATCTTAATGATTATTAGTTAGTTATCTAATGTGAGTGTGAACTACATACGAACTACGCGATTGTGATTTCTTCAATGTGTTAAGTCACTAGCAACAGGTTTTTGTTTCAAAATGAAAAGGAAAGCCGATAATCCACCCGCTACCAAGCAGTCAAAAGTAGCTAAATTAAGCAACTTTAGGAGAATCGCTGTGCCCCCTCATCGCCTCACTCCCCTAAAGGAGAATTGGATGAAAATATTTTCTCCCATTGTCGAACACCTTAAACTACAAGTTAAATTCAATATCAAAACCAAAAATGTTGAAATTAGAGCACCTCTCTCTGATGATGAAAGTGCTTCCAATCTTCAGAAAGCAGCCGATTTTGTGCGAGCTTTTGTCTGTGGATTTGACGTTGAAGATGCCCTCGCCTTGGTACGATTGGAGAATCTTTTCATCGAAACTTTCGAAATTAAAGATGTCAAACAGCTGAAAGGTGATCATCACTCGCGAGCAGTTGGACGTCTTGCAGGAAAAGGTGGCAGGACAAAGTATACCATTGAAAACATCACTAAAACAAGAATTGTCATCGCAGACTCCAAAATTCATATTCTTGGATCATATCAAAGCATCCAAATAGCCATGAGAGCGATCTGTAATCTTATTCTTGGAAGTCCACCATCTAAAGTGTATGGTCAGTTGAGAAATGTAGCCACAAAAGTTGCCTCCCGCATCTAAATGTAAGTTGTTGATTTTTTCTTTTCACCACCCTCTGTTGTACATTTAAGGTGTTTCCTATAACTGATTAGTAAATCCAACCACAGTAACCCATTGGTCACCATTTGATTAAAGAAGATTGATCAAAGATTCCTAGTTGTGCCACTGACGGTCACATTAGAAGGATTGGAGAGGCCAGAAATGGAATTTTTTAAAATTTTGGTAGATCCCTTATAAAACTGCCCAGTACTGCTATTTTTAGTAGTATTTTGACCATCAAGTAAGGAGTTTCAATAGTGATAGTAGTAGAAAGTTGTGACCATAGTTAATATCATAGTTTGTGCCCCTACTTTAAATTTTTATCGCGAAAAAGCACTCTGTCCTGGAAGAGTTGGCCATGGATATTGTACGCCCTCTTCTCCACAAAAACACACTTCAAATATTCACTGTATTAAGAATTCAAGCAGCCTCATGTAATTTTAAACACAGCAGAGTCCAAAAACTAAAATTTCGAGTTTCTCAAAATCTGAAAATTGTCCATTTTTTCTTTAAAAACATGGGTAACGTAAATGTGTGCCACATGAAATGAAATGTCTTTTTCTGCTGCTAACCCCTGCGATCCGTTCTGCCGGTTAAGAGTTATATTCAATTATGTTTATAGGTAGGGGTCTTTTTACTTGATATTTTTGTAGAATTCGAAATATGGACTAACTCCTCTATGTTTACCTTTCTTTTTCAGGCACCCACCATTTGAAGCTGAGTTTTGGAGCAATGAAGGTATAACCATAGAAAGCACAGGACCTTTAAACTGGTGATGCTAACTAGAAAATCATCCAGTCCCATCTGGAACCATCTGCAGAAGAATTATTCAGTTGCCCATTACACCGCCAACTCAAGAAAAAATTCATCATATCATTCCGCTGTTGCTACTGGAGTAAGTTTTGATACTTTCTACAAGTCAAGAGACAGATTTTGCATCTCTTAAAGTTCATGAACATCATCTTAATCTATAAGGAGAGTGTGGCTTCCTTTATGCTTGAACAAGTTGAACAATACAGAAATGGAATCGGCAAGTTAGTCCTCTCTTCGTTTTTTTTAAGTTTATGTTAATGACCAAGGTTTTCAAGGGAGTATCTATTTTTAAATTTACCGATTCTCTGCTATTCTTATTTACATGATGGGAATCATCCATTGATACCATTTGAAATTTAAAAAAGCAATCCTAAGGAGCTCATCGGAAAATGCTAAATAGGTGATTTCCCCCTCAGCGACATTTGATTTTTGAGGGTCTAGCCCTGAATTATAACTTTTAATGATGAAGATATACCCCTAAAAATTGTTTGCTTCAAGCAATTCTTATGCCTATCACGTCTTGCATACCATTTTCAAAAAATGAATTTATTGAATAAAGAAGTAAGAGATTTAAAAATTTTAAGACTTATTTTTTGTGTTGCGGACATGGATAACTTATAAACATACCCTTTGTATTTGATTCACTGCAGAAACTTTAAATTTAAAATAGTTCTTAATAATACCTGTGGACCGAGGCCCAGTCTTCTTGAAATTTCAATTCACCATGTAGGTAAACTTCTTGCAATCTCTCCAATTCTTTTATTTCATGTGATTTCATAAATTTAAGATGTTTTTTCTGAATTATATTTTTGTTTGTACCTATATGACAACTGCAGATATTTATTGCCCTCTATCTCCATTTTTTTGCTTTATTGCCCTATTTTTATAAAAGTGGCAATCAAAAATAAATTCTGAGAAATTTGGAGCCAGGTTTGAATGAAGGGATCCAAATACCCTAAATCATGTACAATTGAAACAGTGGACTTGCTTCTGTTAGCCTTAAACCACAAATAAGCCCCAAGGATGCAGCTCCTCACGGCAAGTCAGAGCACCAAGTCATCTCGATTTTACAATTCATTGACAGTAGGTCTACCCAAAGGAAGTCTACTTTGCCTGGTCTACCGTAACCGGTAAGATTCAAGCAATTTCTACAACCAAAGGAGGGTCTTGTGGAAGAAACTTTCTTCCCACCATGAGTGGGACATTTGTTGGATTTGTCATCCAATCCAACGGACGCACATATCGAACCTGAGTCAAATAGCTAGGCACTAGTATGCCTCTCCTCTTACCAAACACTCCCCTGCAGACAACAATGTGGAGTGCTACCTCATCAGAACCACTGCCCTAAAGTGTACCCCTAAATGGTTGAAAAGGATGTGGTTCTAGACATTTTGACTGTAGACTGAGAAAAGTAAACTTCTTGTCGTAGACCTGCTGTAATACTTTCTGCATACCAATTTTACAAATGAACACATTTGATATGAAAAATCAGGACGGCATGTTTAGAGCTCGCCTCAAACTGCCCAGCCTTTTTGCTTCCTTTCGAAAGTTGTACTCCCATATTTTACTATGACTTTAAGGGATAAAATTGAAGTACAACGTGGAAACATTGGAAAGAATTAAGCTAAGTTATATGTGTCATCAAATCAGAAAAGCACATTGGTGGAGCTCGAAAAAATTAGGAAATGAAAAAAAGATTAAGCATCACTTTCGAAAGGCCGATTTGTTGATTGATAATCGTGAAGTCCTTGGTAATGGGCGTTGGTATCTGCCGGTGATTAGGCTGCAGACAGAACTTACAGGAATAGTCTGTGAAAAACCTAGAGTTGTTGTATCTTTGCGGCAAGACTCAGCAATTTTTTTACCTTATTTTGTTTTGGAATTTACTTTTCACCAATTTTTGAGGGGACAAGGCTCAGTTACAGATCTTAGAAAGATACAGGGCTTAGGTTCAACTGTGTATTAACTTGTTGATTTAAGCTCATGTAGAGATGACATGAACTGGAATCTTCTCTGAAACAAGAGCAGATACATGTACATCATACGAAATAACTTTGAGAACTGAGCATAAATTGTGTAAATTTATAAAAAAAAAAAAGGTTATCAAGAAAAAAGAGGATAATATTTCAATTTATTTTATTCAAACCAATCCAAAATAATCTCAATTTAACACAGAAAACAATATAAACCATTAGCTTTGTAAATGAATAGAAAAATACATGTTTTAAATAAATACTTAAATTATAATAGGTGTAATTGGTAACCCAAATCACTCTCCAGCTTGAATTAGTACCTCAAAAAAGGTCACTTTGAAAGCTGCCCGTAGGCCTGGCGTTGAGATCTTTTCACCCATGACTTAGTGTATCTAATTAAGATGCATCAATTTAGAGATCACAGTAAAAGGCAGATTAACAACACAATTTAAAGTAAATAATTGACTCACAAGACAAAGAAAAAACTGTAAAGATTTCATTCTCTCTGTTTCATCTGGAGTATCATTTAGTATAAATTTCTTTAACCGAGCCATCTTTTGTGCCAAAGAAAACAGCGTGAGCCATGTTGATGAACAAGCCGGTTTCTATCACTCCTAAAACAAGTAATAAATCAAATAATGTGGGGTACTTACACAGTGAAGCACAGCGTTTTTGTTTTTAAAATATGGAAAAATAGCAGATAAATTGAAAAAGCACAGACTTTGTAAGGTCTGTAGAAAGGCTAAAAGCATTTAGGTATGGATTTTCTGTGGACACCTTTTCTGCCAAGCTTAGGAAAAACGCCATATAAACCTTCGTCAGTTGCCAAATTTCCTCCGATTAAATACGAATTTCCAAGAAAAATTGTAAATATTTTCCGCTCAATTTTTTATAGATTTTTTTTTGTAATTGGGTCTGAAGTATCTGAAAATTTCAAGAGAAAATGTTCATAACTCTCCTCAAAAATAAACAAACATAACATTTCATCGGAGGAAATTTGGCAACTCTCCTATATTTATATAGCGTTTTTCCTTGGCATGGCAGTGTTATGATGCAGGATTCACACAATGAAATGAAATACATAGCCTTGGAGGTAAGCAAGTCCTCTGCATAGTGCATTTTACATGCAATATTCCACAAAAAACCAGCCACTTGAAATAAGTCAAGAACATTTTTGAATTTCAAAAATGCTGAAGGTTTTCCGAAATTTCTATGATAAAATGCAGGGCATTGAAGAATGGACTGCTTGCTCTGAGTGAGAAGGAGAACTGAGAAATAGATTTCCGATTCATTTGAAAGTTGCTGTGATCTAAAATTCTGAATATCCACCTTTGTGGAGAGCCAGTCAGACTCATATAAAGGATGATGAAGAGATGAAATGGAAAATTTTTGGCATTAATTTCACTGCAAGTGACAGAGTCATGTGAAAATATTTTCCTCTATCATTCAAGAGACTGAGATTACAATCCCTCACTGAAAATTATTCCACTATTAAGAGTGATTCCCAGCTAGGAATCACAAGTTTAGAAACAACAAAAGTATCATCAGTTTATCTATTGAATTAGGTGTTTATACGAATGAGCTAGAAATTGCAGTTCCTAATTGCAAAATGTAGTCCAATTGGACTTCATTTTGCAATTAGGAACTACAATTTCTGACCCACTCGGAAAAGCACTTATCTGTGTAGGAAAAATAATGGCACGAGCGTTGTTTCTAAAGTGAGCTGGAATTCAAAATGCAGTCCAATTCATGTGGCTAGGATTAGCAGATCAAACTCTAATGAGTTTCTTTAGACATACCTGTACCTAGAAACTGTTCTGGTGAAAAATGGTGCGTCTTGGCACAGAAATTTCTAGCCCCATCCACTTAACAATCAAAGCAATATTAAAAGTGACATACCTGGCATCATCTTGATTGTTTTATTTACTTCATCCCAGTTAAACGTTTCAGACGTGGGAAAAACCCAATCAAGGATGAGATTACCATTATCAGTGATCACAGGACCCTGAAAAGATACAAGGCCTTAAAAAATTAAACATTTAAAGAGAAAACTTTAAACCCTCTGTAACTTAAAAATAAGAGTTACATTGTAAGTGTAGCAAAAATATAAAACAAGTTTGTAACATTTTCTGCATCTTATGGAAAGCATGTTCTGCAATAAGGAAACTAAAGTAGCTATCAAGATTCAATTCACGAAAGCTTAAAGTTCCTTTAAATACCTTTATAAAATACCTTGTGGACCTCTGTAAGTCAAAAATTGACTAATTAACCAAATTTTGAAAATGACATTTTAATTTGACTTACCCCTCTAGGATTTTCAGCAATTTTTTTTCCACCGAGAAAGAATGGAAATCAAAAGCTACCTATATAAAGAATACAATTGGCAACGTCACAAAAGAAGCAGCAAGAGAGCAGCCAACTGTTCAGAGTTAAGATGGTAACTGTTCTTAACAGGTATTAACTTTTTTCTCAACTTCGCGATCAATTTTCATTACATTTTGACATGCACTGGATTAAAAACCATATTTTTATCAGAATGAAGGCAGAATTGAGAACAGTGACATCGCATGATTTATAACTGTTTTAAACGTTTGTCAGTGACAAACACAAATTCGACGTTCTCTTTAACAAGTCTTTGATACCATCTCTTCGCACGAATTGGAGAAAACCATTATTGGGCAGTGGGAAGGAAGGTTGAAGTTCTGCATGAAAAAGAATGGATGGTACTTTGAAAATATCAAAAAGCTAAGTCATACAATGAAGAAAAGTAACTTTCAGTAAATTAATGTTTGATTTTGTAATTTTTATCAATGCAAAATTGCCTTCTCTCATCTTACCTTTTTTTCTTATTGAAAAAAAAAATTGCTAACAATCCTGGAGGGTTAAAGTGAACATGTAATCTTCACATCTCTGTCAATCAGTCAATCAATCAATCAATCTTCAGCTTACAAAGTACATTTTAAAAATACTTAAAGAGGGCTTCAGCACTTAAAATTTCGCCTCTTAATAGCCACTTCAGTTTGCTCAAAAAACGAAAAGAAGCAGTATTTTTTGGACAGCCTACATAGGAATACAAACACCATTTTACTTAAAACGACGAAAAAAGTATGTAGATATGAAAAAATATCTGTCATGCATTTAAGGACTGAATTTTGAACAAAACATTTTGCATTATGGTTGGCAGTTGAATTAACACTTTTAAGGAATCATAACTTACAGCTTTCATTTTTGACATTCGAAGAGTTGCACTTCCTCGATATTTCTCCTGAATACGCATTTGAATCGGTTTGTATGCTAAAGGCAAGACTTCAATTGGAATTCCTTTTTTATAATTGTCGCCAAGGTGCTGAGAGTCTTTACTGGATGAACAGATCAAAGTAAAAGATTACTAAATTTTGTTTGGTTCTTAAAGCATCAGGGCTGTAACACTTTCAGGGAAAAAGAATCCTGAAAAAAATGAGTTACTTTACATGATTTCCTAGAGTTCAGACAAACGATTTCAGCGGTAATCAAGCCTGCGAACTCTTGTGGTTTTTGGTAAAGATAAAATGTTTTTGCAACCTAGATGTTGAAAAATTTTGATTTCAGTGAGCATACTGGCATAAATTTTGTGTACAAATTTTAACTTACTACAGCATGATGTGATGCTGTGAGTTGAAACTTATGAGAAATGTCCTGCGATCCCGAAACTATTAATTGATCTACTGACCATCAAATTTTTCTCCAATACGCTGGAGATCCTCCATAAAAATGGGGTTGAGTTGAGACTAAAATCCAGTTCTTAATTGAGCATACCTGCTCATCCAATTTTCTTCCCTCATGGAAGCCTTCCAGGAGTTTGTAGCCAATTCTTGGGCAGTAACAATTCTTAAAACCTTACAAAATTTTCCATATCCTGTGCAAGGTTACAGAAGTGCTAAATTGACTCAGGAAGTGATCAAGTTGTCAACTACACTAAAAGTCAGAATACTTGATTTTTGTTCATAAATTAATACATTTCCCCATCAAATTGAGATACAGTAACTTACTTGTAATCAGCAACAATGATTAGTTTTTCACTGTAGCCAGCAATGATCTTTTCCTGAAGCAGGCAACCTCCTCCACCTTTGATGAGAACTAAGTTTTTGTCAACTTCATCCGCTCCATCTATTGTGCAATTTAACTAAACAAACCAGAACACGTACTCAGTTTCACAACATCAAACAGAGGTAACACAATGTGAATAGGTATACAAGAAGTGCAACAATTGATGGTTCGTGCATACGTGCATTCATAATAACTACATGTACCATCAATCACAAGCATCGATGGGCGTTTAAATGAGAGCTCCAAATCCACAACGATTAGCTTGTTTTTTGTGGACATTCACCAATTTATGATTTGACGATTCTTCAAAAAAATTAGAAACAATTCTAGTGAATTAAGTGATCTTTCTTCTTTTTTAAAAAGGAAAATTACTCAACAAGCTTGGTGAACAAGCTAAGTATACAGGGTCTTCAAAAAGTTCAGCTCCCCCCCTGTAACTTTTGAACGGTTGCACCTAGCGAAATGAAATTTTTACAGTGTTCCTAGGTCAATAGGAACTACTTTTGGGCATACTCAAAATTTGGGGGCGGCGCCCCCGGGCTGCTGGGCGGACCCCAACTCAAAATTTTCAAATAGCAACCCCCATTTTTTATGGCATTTTCAGAAAGAGGATAAAAAAAGAAAATTTTTGAGCTATTGTGAAGATCTCTACGATTTTTTTCGCCGAGATATTCGCGATCAAAGTTTAAAATAGGCCTATTTCCAAAAAATCGTGTGCGCCGACCGAAAAATCCTAGGCAACCAAACTTGTGCTTCAAATGTTCAGAATTACACGCACTTTCAAGAAAAATTGGAAATTTCGACTCTGAAGGTCGCAGGCCGCCCCCTCCGGCTACTCCGCGGGCCGCGCTCCCCCCCCCCCCCCCCAATCAAGTAACTTTGGAACGTTTGCACCTAACCAAATGAAATTTCGACCATGCTCAAGAGTAGGTACCGTGGACTTACCAACACTGTCGAAATTTCATTTGGTTAGCGGTGCAAACGTTCCAAAGTTACTTGATGGGGGGGGGGGGAGCGCGGCCCGCGGAGTAGCCGGAGGGGGCGGCCTGCGACCTTCAGAGTCGAAATTTCCAATTTTTCTTGAAAGTGCGTGTAATTCTGAACATTTGAAGCACAAGTTTGGTTGCCTAGGATTTTTCGGTCGGCGCACACGATTTTTTGGAAATAGGCCTATTTTAAACTTTGATCGCGAATATCTCGGCGAAAAAAAATCGTAGAGATCTTCACAATAGCTCAAAAATTTTCTTTTTTTATCCTCTTTCTGAAAATGCCATAAAAAATGGGGGTTGCTATTTGAAAATTTTGAGTTGGGGTCCGCCCAGCAGCCCGGGGGCGCCGCCCCCAAATTTTGAGTATGCCCAAAAGTAGTTCCTATTGACCTAGGAACACTGTAAAAATTTCATTTCGCTAGGTGCAACCGTTCAAAAGTTACAGGGGGGGAGCTGAACTTTTTGAAGACCCTGTATGAGTGATTCAAAATTTCAGAAAAGGGCCATGTAAAAGGCTGAGAATGAGGCTTGAGATCTGAAAGAAATTTAGGAACAAAAACACCAACAAGCAAACAAACTGCTGATGTTTCCAACACATCACAGAATAAAAAGAAACTTTACAACAAATAGTTGTTTACCAGCAAAAAGTGGCTTCAATTGCACATGGGAACATCTGGAGAACTCTAGAGATAGATAACACTGATTTTGAGGGTGGATAACTACTTTCTGAGGCCTCAACAGCCCAAACGTAATATTAATTGACAAATAGGCTGTCAGCAGGCGTTAACATATCGCTAAAATTTGGTTCATAAACTGGCCATCAGGAAAGGTTTCCAAAAGAGTCCCTCAAGTTTCTCTCAAAATTTTTTGAACAGATTAAATCAAACAAAACGAAGAGAATCAGCTGAGGCTTTGATCCCAGATTACTTTTCATACTAAGCAATCCTAATTCTTGCGCATACAAATGGAAATATGCTAAAAACTAGAAGACTCACCTTGGGATATTGTTCCAAATCCCCCAATTTAAGATCATTTGAGAGTATGAGTTGCCTGGCTTGAAAAGATGTAGGAACACAAACCACATTTAAGTTTTTTGTTCTCTTCAGCTCCGCTAAAAACAGGAGAAATGGGACACCATTGAGATATTTCAGCTTGGCACTTGTAACTCCCAAACCAAGTACCTATCTTCATTTGCGACATTATAGACTTCTTGCCTTAAGGTACTTCATTGTTTAAATAAAAAAGTACTGAACGTCATTCTTTGAAAACTTTTTCAAGTTTTAAGTTCTATTTAAAGAATATATTGGGAAAATTTCAAGCAATTGTGTTGGATAATTGGACGGAGTTAAACAGAAAGGAACCAAGCCACATCGGGATCGAACCGAGAAAAAGAGGCTTAAAGTTTAGCTCCTGCATAAGACTCAATGTAAAAGTTAAACTTCTAGTTCAATTTCTGCAAAATTTGCTCCAACAAAAACTTTGAATTTTTGGCGATCGATAGTAGAACAATGGTTGAGACCAATACCACTCATAACTCAATTTTTTCCAAAATGTGGGTTGGTTCCTTTCTGCTTAACTCAGTCCAATTCTCCTTGGAGAAAAAAAAATAAAATTTTGAAACACCATTATCCAAATAGGTAGGTATGTGAATTTCCCATGGATAAGTTTTGTTTTTGAGTCTTGAACCAAATTAACAGGAACACACATTGAGGAAATTATGCTCAGTTGTGGTATAAGAAATAAGTGGATAAAATTTCCTAGTTAAAAATTAATGAGCAAATTTATTCAGAAAAAAAGTAAAATTCAAGTATGGTACTTACAGTGTTGAGCTATTGCTACTTCCAAGTATTTGCGGTGGCATCTGATTTTCTTAGGCACCCCTTTTGATTGGCACTCTAAGTTTGAAGGCACTATAGACGAATTTTGTTTGTGCAGTTTGCAATAATTAGCTATGCGCTGTGTGCAATGATCATACCTGGTACACTCCAACCAAATCATTTCTTGTCTTGTCTTTGCGTCATATAAGTTGGCAGTTGTTCATTGTGACTGTCGTGCACAATGAGCCGTTTTACATATCTGTGCATGGTGGCATCATCTCGCACTTGAACTGGGGAAAAAAAGAATGGACAAAAGTCACATCAGAAAAATGTACTAGTCAACAGAAATTTAAATGCTAACAAATGGGCCAACTGATGACTGATGCATTTAGGATGCTGTGATATTTGGCCATTCTTTTCTTTCTGCAGTTCAGTTCTCAAGTCAATCCTTGATTGCTATGGAATATCTAGACGCTGCAAATAGGAAATAATCAATGGCTGACTGGTCTGACACCAGTTCTACCAATCGCCGATTGCATAACTACACATTTTGTTAGAACTCATTATAGAACAAACATTTATCGGTATTATTGAAAATAAGTGAAGACAACTATACCTAATCTTTCAACTGCATAAACAATTGTGCTGCCACTTCCAACTCCAATTATCGTGTTGTCCTGTGAACAAGAGGAAAAAAGCTACCTATATCATACATTACCAATTACTACTTCTTTTGACCTTCAGCAACTTACAACATAATAGACAATACACAGCAAAAGCCGATATGAATAGGCACTGGTAAGGTGAGGAGGGAGTTTTGTAAAGCGTACTTCCTGGTGTACGCATGAATGCAAAAGTTTTGCTGGAGAGCTCGCAGTTTCGGCAGGCCAAGTACTGAAAGTTCAAGGCAGCCCAATAAGACATTAAGATGTTATAAACTGAATAGTTAAGGGCAATGTCTTGTCTTGCCAATATATTTTAATAAGCAGACAGCAGAGGGGACTTTTATCGCAATGCCTTGAATTGAGATAACATGAGGACCGTGAGGCTTGTTGTGGGTTCACTTACAAACGTATGAATGAGCGAATGAGGGAAAAATTCAGGATTTTAATGTAGCAAATCATTGAGGGTTGTGAATTACTAGAATAATTGTTAACAACTGAATAGGAGAAGCTGAAGGAGGAAAAGAGACACACCTGTATGAAAGTGTCAACGGCTTTGAAAGCCGCCAATCTTTTTGCTTCCTCGATGGACATTCTTCTGGATAGATGAGCTTGAAATTCAACTTTGGATAAATAAATAAACCTACAAAAAATATTGGAGGGTTGTAGACTGAGCAAGAAAGAGTTTATCTTTCAAGACATCCAGCAGACGAGACAGATTTTTATCACCACTCTAAAGAATTTATTTTATCAGTTATCAGACTGACGGAAGGGATTCGATAACAACCAAGGTTAGTGATAACAACCGATAAACAAAACAAGCATGGAGGTCCTTGGTCCTCGGACCTTCGTTGACAGTTTGTTGACTTGAGACCGAGAGATCTGGACCAAAGGTCCGGATTTCGGAATTTTTAAAAAATTTAATTTACCGAAATTACACAGGTAAAACTGGTAAAACAACTTCCGAATTTTTAAGGATATCCCCGAACTTCAAGATGTTTTCAAAATTCAAAATAAAATATACACTAAGCGGCAACACTGAATTTCGGAAGTTCAGGAAGAAGGAAAAAGTGGAAAAAGCGGAACAAAACATGTCACATGTGACCACTTTTAGAGGTTAGGTTATGTGTTATGTTATGTTACGTTGTTATCAAATGATGAAATTCTGCCTGCAGCCTGCACTTTTTCGCTCTGTTTCCCAGGAAGAATGAGAAATATCTCGCATGTCTTAGAAGTTAACTCTGTTTTATAATGTTTGATTCCGCTCTCTCTTTTGAAGTATTAGCAAAATGTGGAACCTCGAAAGCCAGGACATCCCTAATGACGCTACCTCACTACACAGTCGAGACTCCCATGTTCATGCCTGTCGGAACAAAGGTAAAAATAATGTGTCTAAAGTACTTAGAAATCTGCCCGATTGTTGAATTTTTTCCGGCAAGACAGGATTAGACGTAGCCCGGACTGTGCCATGTAATATATTAAGCAATTTTTTATGCTTTTTGGGCTGACATGAAATCAACAACCAGGCCGCAGACCATCTTCGCAGTCAAAGGAAGCTGTGTTCGCTAAGATGAAGTATTGAGGAAATGATCTTGTACTGCTTGGATTCAAAACAGTGTTTCCAAGTTCATTGGAATCAAGGAATTTGTTTTTAGTGGCTCTGTAAATAGGAACGGACATACCTACAGTCTGAGACTCCAAATTCTGTGCTGATATAGTAGTGCACATGTATTATGGGCATGCCCCTTCTCATACCAATCCATACTACTCCTGGACATTGCAGCATCATGCAGAGCTGTACCATAGAATAATAAATAGCTTCGCTGCTAGTTATTATTCTATGGCTGTACATTGACTTCATTTCTGCATCCTCCTGACATTTCTGGTCCAGGGTTTTATGAAAGAGCAAAGGACAAGTGAATTTTCAATCTTAAAGATACAGTGGTGTTGGATTACAAACTACACACGAAAATGGTTACCTGTCTCTTATTGCTAATAAGGTTCTTCTCCAATAGCCATGTAATAAATCAAGGGTGCACTTTGTGTGAGACATCCTTCGTTACATACACAAACTCATCATTCCTGTTGGTCTGATAAAAAATATTTGATTTTATGTACACTTACAAGTTAAATGTTCCAAGTAGTAAGGATCTTTTCATATTAATGTTACAGAAATAAGCAATATGTTGATTTCCCCAAAAATGTCACCCATGTATTGATAATGAGCTTTATTTTTTTAGTATGGTCTGTTGAAAGATTTTAATACATTTTTGTATCATTAATTTTAGGGGACAATGAAAGGTTTACTCCCTGATCAGTTGAAAACTCTCGATTGCCAAATCATTCTTGGCAACACATATCATCTTGGATTACAGCCGGTTTGTTCATTTATACTCATTTCATTTTTTTTGGAATCTCTCTCCTCATGATGGTTGCATCATCAAACCCTAAAATGAAACAAAATAGAAACAGATCGAATGGACTATGAATTGGTGTAAGTTTGATGCTTCAAGCAGCTAGGGAAGGAACAGAAACCTCAATTTTTAAGTTCATTTTTGGCCTTGATATTTTGAGGACTCCAGCAAGGCATGTCTGGTGGACTCATGACTGCGGACAAAATATTTTCCGCTTTTAGACTTACTTTTGCAACCGTACGTCTTTAAATTTTCAAAATTCTCAAAAAATGCATTACTCCAGTGTTTAATTGCTCAGTAAGACGAGTTGTGGTGGAGAGAGAAGATGGATCAATTAGTATTTGGAGACACCCCAGAAACTTGAACGCAAGTACCTATAAATAAGTATTTTTACTCTTTCATTTGAAGAAATTAAATTTTAGTCAGCAAAAATACATTTTTCTCTGTTTCAGTTAAAAAAAGACAGGTTTTATTATTGCTGAGTAACATTCGAAGCAACTAGACAGATGGGCCTCCGTACACTGTTAGGTAGCTTCAAGTTTTTGATGTTAGCGTTACTTTACATTGAAGAAATCTCAGAGTCTCAGTCTTTTGTTGGCAACAAATTCATGAGGAGTATTGTGACAAGTCTCATGCATTTGAATTTGCTCACGATTGAATAAATTTTTAACATGCCTATGTATCTCTCTACTTTTTTCAGGGTTCAGAACTGCTAGAAAAGGTTGGTGGCTTGCATAACTTTATGGGATGGGACAGAGCACTTTTAACCGATTCAGGTGGTTTCCAGATGGTCTCCCTTCTAAAATTTGCAGAAATTACAGAAGAAGGCGTAAAATTCCAGTCTCCAAACGGAGGTACATAACTTCTACTTTGAGTAGCTTTTTTATCCTTATATCATTGTCGTTATTGATTGTCTCTTCTTTTAATTCAAAATAATCTTGCTGGTCAATTAAATAGTCGACTAAGAAAACACTGCAGCTCAGGCTCCTTTTGATTTTTCACTTCCTTTCAGGAAAATGCTCTCCAGAGATACTTAGGTGCTTTAACCTATTAGACCAATTGTCCCATTAATTCCAATATTACTCACTTTAGTGATTAAGGCTAAAAGACTGCTTCAGAGTCCGCTTTGGAATGCCTAGTTGTATGCTTATTTAAACAATGTTTTCAAAGCCTCATGCACAAGATTCTGTATTACAAGTCCAAGTTTAAGCTAAGTAATGCTTCCATCAAGCATCAAGCTGCATCACATTTATTGTGTTTTTCAGTATTTAAAGATGTCTGCTGGAGTCAGGAGACAACCCCTTTTTAAAAGTAATCTGGCGATTAAGCACAATTTTTCACTTACAGTCGAGGCAAAATTTTCTACACATGTGCATTAGTTGAAAAAATCAGTGGAAAGAGTTTAATTAAGAAAATCTCATTTTTTGCCTCCTCTTTGAGGGGGGAAGGGGGGGTCTTATTTTTTAAAGCGACCAAACTAAAGGTTGCACAGTCTTAAATTATGCTTCAAGGTAAAATAAACACCATAGCCAGAAGGGCTTTGAAAAAAAAAAAAAATCACCTGTCTGGCCCAGAGTCTTAAGCTCTAGGTATTTACGAGATTTTCAGTATTTGAGCCATTTTTATTGATTTTTTAACTAGACGCAAAGGAATTTTATGCTAAAAATTGACAAATTGGTGCAAACATAGCAAATACCCCGTAGATTTAGGATACATTTCTATTTTTTGCCAAGGTCACTTGCAATGTATAAGAAAGGGGGGGGGGCGTAGCAGGTATTGTTTTCTCCTCAACGGGTTATCGCTCCAGATATTTCAAGCAGTATTTCATTTTTATTTTGTTTTTCAGATAAGGAATGCATGCTAACTCCTGAAAGATCCATTGAAATTCAAAATGCAATTGGTGCTGATATCATCATGCAATTAGATGATGTTGTACCTACACTTGAGAAAGGCCAGCGAGTTGTTGAAGCCTCTGAGAGGTAATTTACTTTGTGTTTTCTTATCAGCTTTCAAAAATTCCAAGAAAAACTAATTTGGATGCATGGTGGGCTAGTTATCACGAAAATCCGGTTTCTAATGTAACAGACCTTGCATTTCCTGCTCAACAGAAGATATTTCCATGAAGGAGGTATTATCCAAGTTCAAAATGAGCTGCGTTTTAGGGTGGTCCTTAGGTAATAGCAAAATCTCATGCGGAAGCTTACATGTCAAATACACACCAACATACAACTAAGTAATTTCCAGCACATTTATAGAATTCCACTCCAAAATTACGCAGAATGATGGGCAGAAATCAACGGTTTGCTGAAAATTGTCGAAAGGTTTGTGTCTTGCAAAACCAAGACATCCTTCAAAAATATTTTTTAAATTTTTCCTGTGGTCAGCTATCAAATTTTTGTGGAACCCCGTGAAAAAATTTAATGCCAGTTGCATAGTGTCTATTTTCAAAGTGGCAGCTACTTCAAATTTGGTTCAAATAAGTTTGTCTCAAGTTGCTTAGTGTTTTTTAATTACAGCACCAATGTGAATATCTATGAGACAACCTTTGTATACTTGCTTTATGAAATAGAAGCTGATTGAGCCCCCATCCTTTTTTTTTTTTTTTTTTTTTTTTTTGCAGTAGTCAACAGAAGATTTTAGATATTTTCTTTGTCTCTCTGAGGTAACTGTTTTAATATATGTGTGAAATTTTTTTCATATTGAACAGGACCATTCGTTGGTTAGATCGTTGTCTAGTAGCTCATAAACGACCCAAGGAGCAGAGCATTTTTCCTATTGTACAGGGTTCTCTCATACCGAATTTACGAATCAAGAATGCTGAAGAATTAGTCAAAAGAAATACAAATGGATATGCAATTGGTGGGCTGAGGTTTGTGTACTATTGTTTTTGTATCAATTTCAATTAAGGTATCAAACAAGGTTTTGTATCAATTTCAATTAAGGTATCAAACAAGGTTTTGTATCAATTTCAAATGAGGCGCACTTAGCCCCAAAATCAACTGAATCCTCATCTCCCTTGATCTCATCTCATCCCTGTGTAAAAAAAGAAAGAAAAAAAAACCCAGAAATTTACAACTAAACATGATTTAAAGTTATGTACCTGGGTAAGTTTGAAGTCTTTGTTACAAATTTAAGAAATCATTTTGATGAGTCTACTAAAAATCATGCCAGTTTTTCTTCATTTTTTAAATTTATTTTTTGATTACTTGAAATCTACAGGCAAACCTATTGATTGAAAATTGGCTTTTCTGCAAAACTACTGTTTCTCTTAAAATTCTATTTTTGTGAAGGGTGTCCCCTTACCTTAAAACTGGCCGACCGGTTCCTCATTGTGGGTACTGAGATAGGGAGTGAAGGGGTGGAAGTCTCAAATTTAAAATAAAGGCCAACCTTATTTTATAATTATATTAATAGAAATCATCTTTTGTTAATCAATTTTTGTTAGAATATCAGTCGGTAGATTTTAGTTCTTTAGAGCATGATTTCCTCTCACACAACCCCCCCCACCTTATTCTCACATTGAGTTACTGTAATTTCAGCGGTGGTGAAGCTAAAGACGACTTTTGGAAAATCGTCAAGTTATCTGCAGACCATCTACCTGAAGACAAGCCTCGCTATTGTATGGGAGTTGGATGGGCGGTTGATCTTGTCATCTGTTGTGCCCTTGGTGTTGATCTCTTTGACTGCGTTTTCCCTACAAGGACAGCCGTAAGTTTTCTCTTTAAATTTTGTCTGATCCACGCATAAAATTCTTGCACAGAATGAAATATTTTTAAGAGAAGCAAAAACGGTCGTAAGCACCCTCAAATAGCCAAAAATGGACGAAAATGTCAGAAAATGTACAAAAACAAAGAAGATGAAGCACTTCAATGATGTCATCATAAGGTGTTCAATAACGTCATCAATGGGTTCTACAATGGTGTCATCAGTCCAAGAACACCCCAAAATGGTCGAATTAAGACAGGCGTGATTTTTTTGTCTTTTTGTCTCACCACCTGTGACGTCAACAAATCCATATAAGCGTGGGCTGCCCCCTTCTTGAGGTCTCCTCTGCATTCAGTTGGCATGAGCTAAATGTCAGCCATCTCGCTCTTATGGCTCCCTTTTACTTTAATGTGACTTTTTCAGTATTTTGTATCAATCACTGAATATATCTCAATTTTCGGCCTTCCATCTAGTTTTCCTCACTTGTTCTCCTGTTTTTCATCTTTTTAGTGCCAGCAAGTGTCTATTCAATCTCTTTTTGTGACGTGGTGTCATCTAACCATAAGGTTGATGTGACAGTAATTGATGTCTTTCTCTCTCTTTCTTTTTAGAGATTTGGTTGTGGTCTAGTGAAATCTGGTCAAATCAATCTACGACAGAAAGCGTTTGAATTCGATATGGAACCTATAGATCCTGAGTGTGATTGTTCAACTTGTAAAACTTACACCAGAGCGTATATTCACTCTATTATTTCAGCGGAGACTGTGGCGTGTCATCTTTTAAGTGTTCATAATCTAGCATTCCAGGTATATTTTAACTCATTCTATGTCAATAAGTTAAGCTTATTATGTTGTAATTATACGCATTTCTTGCCAAAATTATTGCAGGACAGGCGCACTGTCAGGTGCAGGCACCTGAAAGAGTGTAAGAAAAAATTTCTAAATATATTCTCTCACTCGTCTGCAAACTGGAGTCAGGAATTACAAGATCTTTTGAAGTAGAACCAAAAAACCTGTTTCTGAGACTTTTGGCGGGACAATGAGATACAGACAAAGAAGTGTATGAATGTACGGTTCATTGTTCACCCGCCAATGCCTGCGCCTGATGTTGCCCCAAAAATAAGAATGCTATCAAGAGTCAGCACCTGATACTGTTTCAACTTGTCTATTTTTTTATCAACTTTTCTTACTTCACCTATTCAACCTTAACTACTTTTGTTGCCAACTAGTTAATCACTAATCATCAATGCAGACTGAAATAACTGAGTTTTTCCTGATTAGTGCTTTCTGACTTTCCTCACTTTCAAAATTATTTAATTTTTTTCTTTCTCTTTTTTTTCAGATGCATTTAATGCGGTCGATTCGTGAAAGTATCAAGCAAAACAGATTTCCAGAGTTTGTCAAAGACTTTATGAGAATCAACTATCCAGATGGCCAGTTCCCCTTGTGGATAGTTGAATCACTGAGTAGCGTCAATATCACACTTGACCGCTAAATTTCCGGATCTGAGCAAGTTTTTGCCTTTGTTTTTAGAATTAGTAATGTGCTGAAAGCATTCCTATTTTAACCCACCATTTATTTCTGTATCTATTTACTTTATAAAGTTTTTCCAGTCTACCAATAAATTTTTTGTGCCTTCATGTCACTTGGAAGAAGTTATTATTTAGTTATTGGAAAAGTAAAGGAGGATTATAAAAATCCAAGGCCATTTTAGGCTGCATCAGCTCTAAGTAAGTGAAAATTGCTCCCTTCAACACCAGAATAAGTAGGCTTTCTTCTTTCCTTTCACATGCAAAACAAACAGACCAGTTTTATTAGGAAGTATGAGGGGGAGGGCTGATGATGCCGTTAGACCAGATAACAGGATTGAATGGCAGATCAATGGTAGTAATGGCAAATAGTAGTCCGATTGATCAAGGTTATTAAATTACAGCATTGAAGTTAACCTTTGTAACTTCGAATCTACTTTAAAAAAAGTTACGGGAGTTTCCTTCTTTGGAGTAATATAGAGTTTTTGTGAGAGGAATAAATTAAAGCTTGTACTTTATGCAAATGTAAAAAGATCATAAAGCCCTCAAGACACTTTACCACAAAAAGGGTCACTCAATGTGACGTTATTCTTTAAGAAATCTAGAAGCAAAATCTACACATCGAAGAAAAACTTTTGAATATGAAAAAGAGTTGAGACTGTTTGTCTCTGTAAGGCTATATTTGGTTTCAAACGATCAAGAAAGAACTATCCAATGGCAGTTTAGATGTGTAAAAATTGCGAAATTATTCCTTTTCCGTTCAAACTTTGTACATGAAAGAATGGAGGGGGAAAAAAATACTGGAGTGGATGATAAGTAAAAACGTAGTAAATAAATATATTTCTAAGAAATCAACTATTAACAAGTCCAGTAATCACAAAATCCTTAGGGAATAGACATTTTCAGCAAAAACCCAAGGAACAATATAATATGTTGCTCTCTTTTTGTGTAAAGCAGTCCTAGTTCCAAACCGAACACAGCAAAAAGATGAGTAAACTATGTAGGTAGGTTGTAGAACTAGGGTGTTCCGTTTTCAGACAACCATCTCAAAACCTTGCTCCCCGGGCTTTTTCCCATTCCTTTTGGTCCCCAAAAGATAATTCTGAAGTTTCAGCACCATAGCTGAAGTCTACACTTTCCCCCAAAGCGATGCAAATTTTGGAATAAATTACATTGGTTTAAAAGGGGAGAAAATAGGCAAATTCCCGGAACTACGTTTTTCGGTTGTAAAATGCGCCGAAATGATTTCAGACCTGACCATCTCTTGGAAAGTGATCCAGAGGCCTATTTTGAACGAGAAAATGCCACTTTTGACCCAAAGAGGGGGGAGGGGGGGGTCAGGGCGCAGTTAGTTTTGAGGCGCTGCGCGCAGCAAAATGCTCGCATTTGACAGTTTTTGATCAACCTCAGAACAGGTCCTCCGAAGCTGAGGAGGCTAATGTATCTCATAAATTGTAATAAAATAATGTAAAAGAGTTGTTTTCATCCCTTCAGAACTATTTTCGACCATTTACACCTTTGCCAAAATCACTCAAGTGAAGATGATATACACTAATTTCCTTCCAGGTTCGAGTAAATTTGGCAACAGTGTAAATGGTCGAAAATAGTTCTGAAGGGATGAAAACAACTCTTTTACATAATTTTATTACAATTTATGAGATACATTAGCCTCCTCAGCTTCGGAGGACCTGTTCTGAGGTTGATCAAAAACTGTCAAATGCGAGCATTTTGCTGCGCGCAGCGCCTCAAAACTAACTGCGCCCTGACCCCCCCCTCCCCCCTCTTTGGGTCAAAAGTGGAATTTTCTCGTTCAAAATAGGCCTCTGGATCACTTTCCAAGAGATGGTCAGGTCTGAAATCATTTCGGCGCATTTTACAACCGAAAAACGTAGTTCCGGGAGTTTGCCTATTTTCTCCCCATTTAAACCAATGTAATTTATTCCAAAATTTGCATCGCTTTGGGGGAAAGTGTAGACTTCAGCTATGGTGCTGAAACTTCAGAATTATCTTTTGGGGACCAAAAGGAATGGGAAAAAGCCCGGGGAGCAAGGTTTTGAGATGGTTGTCTAAAAACGGAACACCCTATTGTAGAACCATACTGACAAATAATAATTTTTGTCCAGAGGCTGAGTTTCCAATGCTTATATTGACAAAAATATTTCCTGTCAAGTGTAACATTTATAAGAGGTCCAAGGTTGGTCAGCATGTTGAGGCTTGAGAGAATTTGGAGTTTGCCAGGTCGACACTCATATCTAGGTACAAAGAGCAGGATGTCTTCCTAAGTAGACCATCTTTTTCATTTTCCTGTTTCTTTCGTCATTCGTCTGACGTTTGTAGAAGCAATCCCCGAACAGTAAAAGCAATTCTTGAGCATCAAGTAGCCATAAGAAGCATCATATGAAATAATACCGAAATTTAGCCGGCGCAGAATTTCTGGATATTCCATGCATAGTCCTTCACTGAATCAATGGCTTAGGATTTCCTCTGATTTAAGTTCTCATCTCTTTCAGTGCTGGAACTTGAAGTTACGGCAACAATGCGTGGATATATTTCCAATTTCCCTCATAGGCAGATCAGAACCACAAATAGTTAGCAGCATACAATTTTACACAGAAAAATTGTTAGAAATTCATGTAATCGCTTCATCACAGTAAAATGGTTTTAAAGGTATATAACACCAACTTTTTATAAGAAAGACAATGAAGTTAACAGATGTTCATTTTACGACTTTCAGCTTTTTTCAGGAGCATCAGTACCGCACAAGAGTTATGGGAAAATTTTCGGTGATCAGATGATCATCATGAAATACTACCACTAGATTGACTTCAAATTCTGTAACAGAAAAAAAAAAAAAAATCCAGATCATTAGATTTATGTTGACAGGGACGAGCTAATAAGTTTTATACGATAAAAGATCTCATGCAGCCCATAACTCCCAAAATTTGTGAAATCAACCATTAAGTTTCAAGAAATTAAGGACAGTCATGATCGCCTGAGTGGCGCATTATCAAGATAAACAAAACAGAAACAGTTGAAAGATAATTGGGGAAAGGACCGGTCAGATTGTTTCAATTAAAGGTACTATTTTAAAAGGAGTTACCGAAAAAAGGCATTACAAACAGCCATACATGAGTAAAAGAGTCTTAGTTTTAACTTTTTATCTGGTGTTGAGGCATAGTTTTGTGAATCTGACTAAATTTTGGTGCAGACTTCATCAGTATGTTTCTAGAGAGCTATACGCTTTCAGTAGATTGACTTGTAACCAAAGGGATCTGATGCCTTTTTTTACTGATCCATAACAATAACAAATATTTTTAAATACGTACCGATCTTAAAATTAGTGGTGCACAATGTGGCACTGGTGAATAATCTGGGAAAAATCATGTAAATCGGTATTGCAAGACCTGTTGCAACGTTGCCCTCTCCTATTTGAATGTTCTGTATTTCAGTGGCTGTGATAAAAAACAAACAACAGGGTTAAAACCTTGAAGACAAAATGGCTGTTATGATCTGTAGATAAAAAATGACTATATTAATTTAGCTGATGTCGAATCTCTGTATTCCGTACAAATGTCATGGTTCCTTTCTAAACCAATACATAACCTTCTCTCTGATTCACCTTTTCACACCACAGTGAGAAAATGTGTGACTGCTCCTTGCAATCGAAATTTCTTGTGTTTAATGAGTCATCGATTGATTTATGATTTGTTGAGACTGACATTGCAATGGATTAACACAATTACCTCACACAGAATCATCACAACTCGATTTGTTGAATATTGCAAGCATGATATAGACACTAAATCTGTCTATTCCTGGATTGGATTTTTGGCATGCTCATCTACGATATGAAAATGAAAATTTTTAGCTTGATACTATTGAGAGATAATTTTTGTAAGATAAAAGGGAGCCCTAAAGGTGTAAAAAGAAGGTGTAAAAGGTGCAAGTGATTCAGGGGTAACGGGGCTTCTAAAAGTTATCTGTGAGAAAAGCAGGACAAACATAATTTCACCATTTTGTAGATAATTTTAATGAACACTCTCTACAAGATATAAAATTGAGTTTTGTACTTCAGAGGTGAATACTTACGATCTCTAGCATACCCTTCAGCACAGCCACAAGTTTCTACTCGAACTAGCTGCAACTCGACTGATTTAATAGAGCTCTCACAATGCTCCACAGTCAGCTAAAAAATTGAACAGAGATTTTAAAAACATTTAGGTTTAAAAGAGGGCTAGCAGGGTGGCCAAGAAAATATGGATGAGAGAAGATTACAGCCATTTTCCCCTCAATCGGTAGATGGTTGTCAGTACACAAGATGAGGAAAAATGAAGAACTGAGGACTAAGATTAAAGGGAACATAAACTTAAAATTCGATGTTGAGATAAAAGAAAAAATGGAGAGAGAATAATTGATGGAAGAAAATATGACCAGTGCTAAAAACTGAACTCAAAAATTCCTAATCAAACTGGCGTTGTCCCTGTCACAAGAGGGGCATGTGACATTGTGACATCAACTACTGGATACCTCTGCACAGAGGCTACAACACCAACGTAGGTCCGAGGCCATTTTGCTGCTTTTCACTGCAATCATTGGGGTTGCCGCTTCTTTTCTCTGGGAGTCATTCTTACCCTCTCAACTTTCTTTACATTGGACTACGTTTAAATGAATGAGAGAATAAAAGCTTGATTTGCCTTTTTTTCCTGCTTACATTTTATTTTATTTTTAATGAGAACAGATCAACATCAGTTCTTGAAGTTTTTCCTTTGCACTTTGAAATTGGGGCATGTTTTTACTTTGTTTTCTTTTAACACTCTGACCAGGGATACCCGGTTTTTTATTGATGAATTATGAACTTAAATTTTCTCTGAAGGAAAGGACCATCACCTTTGTGAAATTATTTACAGTGCTAAAGATGGCTCTTGAAGATGGTCTTCCACAATTGCAATTTTATGATTTTTTGGATCTTTTTTTTTTTTTTCAAATATATTCATCAATTGATATTTTCAAAACTATTTTTTTTAGTTTTAGCTGTTACAACTGAATTACAGGTATTATGGCACAGTTTATCAAAGACGATGCAGAGCCGCTAGAAAGACTGGGCTTCAGACCAGTTACAGCAAATACTCTTTAGTTTTTTGTTTTCTTATTATTAATATAATATATTAATAAAAAATGTATAAAGTCAAATACATATACATAGTAATTTAATATATTATCTGAAACAACATTTTTTTTAAAAAAATTAAAAAATTGGTAATAGAGACTTACTTGTCCAGTGAAAGGTTTATTCACCGAGCAAACTGTCGAGTTTAAATGGCCGACAATTTTAAAAGAAGGAATGTAATTCTTGTGAGCATTTTGTAATGAAGCGGGGCTGATAGAAAACTCCATTGGTTTTGGAGGTGCATATTCTTTCGGCTGCAAAAACATGACAGGTAGAATTAGCTGGGATTGTCAGGGTTTCCAGTGTTTTTCAAATATGAGCAAGATGTAAACATGAAGATGAGAAACAACAACTGTAATTATTTATTTTAGCAAAAATCAGTCATCGGCATTTTTGCCATGAAATTCCTGACTTTGCAGGGATTATCGCCAGAAATCCCGATGCAGTGATGAGAGAATGAAATTTTCAAAGCTGTAAAATTAAGCTGGTGGCATTGAGCAATGAAAAACTTTCTCTTTAATTTTTCAAAATGAAAATGAAAAAAAAAAAGCCAATTAAAGTTATTTGCCTCTAAATTACAGAAGACAAAAACTAAATTTAGATGTAGCGGAAGAGAAAATATGTACCTTTCTAGAGCTCTACAAAATTTAAAAATTCATTCATCGCTTTGGAAGAAAGAGAGAAAAAAAAACGAAAAATGATGCTCAGTTAAATGCACTAAATACTTGAAACCAATTATCAGATTTAACATTGAGAGCAAAGTTCATTATATCAGGTTTATTGATAATAATGCATACTATTTATTGTTTTTTAACCCCAGTGATTACTGTATGGTTTTATAGCGATGCATTTTGGAATGCATCACTATATCTTCTGGCTTGTTAGTACTTGCAATGATTTTTCAATTGATGATTGATTTTTAAACGAGAAAACTCACGATTGTGACCAATTTTGACCAAAAAAATTAATGGAGATAAAAGAGTAGTTTCACCACTATGTGTTTTTCTAGTACCTACATAAGGAGTTGAGAAGTTGTGAGGTGAAATTTTCTTTGCTTGTTGACAGTTTTAGGTATTTAGGGTCTTTAATTTTTGAAAGAGAACTTGATATTTTACTTTATACAAGGAACACAACATTATTTGAAGACAATAGTCTCACCTTGTTTTCAACAAAAAATTCTATTTCTTTGAATAGATCTTTGTTCAGAAAGTTTCTTTTTAAATCGCACCGTAAAGTATATTGCACTGTTATGTAAACCCCATGATAAGTCTCATAGAGTGTCCTATTTGTCAAAGGTTTCAATACAGCTTCAAATGGTATCTCAGTTTTGCCTGATGGAATTTTGCCAGGTCCTGCTACCTCAACGAAATAGGAGACAAGCTGCACAGGCTGGAACATAAGCACGATGTCATTGTTAAAAATTGAAAAAAATTACCATTCACCCAAATGGGCTAAGTGCAAATAAAGATACTATTGTATTGGAATGCAAGAAAATTGCAATTTTTTACCATTAAAGCGCAATATTTTTACAACATTAGGTCATTAAGAGCCAACTTCAAGTGATCAGTAGAATGAGTTTCATACATTGGGATGAGACGCAATTTGCAGATATCTACATTTTATACTACAGTCCGGCAACCTTGAGCACCATTGACATCCCTTAGAGATCAGCTGCTGTTGTGGCCCAGTGGAGCAGCGCTAATTTCAATTGAAAATTCAAATTCTCATCTTTTTGGGCTCCAAACAAATTTTAAATATCTGATAGCTCTGTACATTTGAGTAGTCGATCATATCAATCTGCTTATTTCTATACCTTGGCAGAATTGTAGAATGCTTCAATATATCCAACATTTTTTGGACTCAGGCGTAAATTAACAGCGCCTTCTATACTCAGCGTTAATCCATCGTGCTTCACATTGTTGGGAGATTCAATTACAATTGCTCCGGCGATAGTGTCCTATGAACAAATAATATAGATATTCTGTAATGACAAAAAACAAAAACAAATTTTAAAGTTCATTTCATTTCTTCATTTTTATTTGATTCTTTGTGAATAATTTATTTATTTTTTCATTTATTAGCACAGAGCTAGATAAAGTTCCGTTAAAATGTTGGTATGAACTAGGTACCTTTTTTTGATGCGTATTGCATCCATATTGTGTAAATCCCATTGAGAGATGCTTGTTAAGGAGTTCCTCTGAACCTAGCTAATAAATGGGTCCATTGCTTTTACTAAGAAGTAGATAAAGGAGTCTTTTACAGTGTTTGGCTATTGGCAGAAGAGGCAGCACGATAAATCCCTTGATGCTAATCTTATACTGCAGTTAACACCCCCATACCACAAATCTGAAACAGCTGGGCCTTTCCATTTAAGGATGTTTGGAAAATGAATATCAATGACTAAAGTCACAAACTAAGTATCTCTATCTCAAAGTTTCAGAATCTACGATTGTTTACATTTTATTTCGTCAAAAAAACAGACAGAAATATCTCCTGGATATTTTCATGTATTTTTGAAGAGAGGAGAAAAAAGGTCCCTGCCCACCTCTTAAGGGGATGTGTATCATGATTGATTTCAAATTTTTTTACTGCATCAAACTCGTCTATGGATGCTGATCTAAAATCATCGTTACTTACGCCAATTTTCTACAAATTACCATTTTTACACAATGCACAGTTTAAGTTTTGATGATTCCTTGAATAAAATGAGGCAGTGCTGCGATGAAGAGTCAAAGAGATCCCTCATTACAGCACTCCAGTACAGTGTGTCAATAAGGAAATCAGTCAAATCCCTACACGATTAGGTCTGATGCTGAGCGGCAGTCTCATCTCGGATGCAACAACCTTTTCTCTTGACCATTCAAATCAGTTTCTTTCTCTCTCCCACTTTCTTCTATACCACTGGCTAAATGGGTTTTTCCTTGTTTATATGTAGACCGTTCTAGAGTGTTGAAAGAAAGAGGGGTCTTCAGGACTTTTCATCCGGCGCTGCCTCCTTTTGTTCAAGGAAGTATATAAACTTCAACCGCGGATTGGGCAAAAACGAAAGCTGGTAGAGAGTTGGCGCAAGCATCCATAGACGAGTTTAATCCAATAAAAAAATTGGAAAACGATTATGGTACACATCCCTATGGGAGGTTTGCGGTCTTTGCGGAAAATTTCAAGAAAAACTGCTGGGCAACTTCCTTTTAAAAGATTAAACTTGAATAGAGACTTATGAGATCACAACTGAAGAAACTGATCCAAAAAGCTTCAGATACTTGTGCGATTACTTTGAACCTACTATAAAGAGATTTCACTTACCCCTTCTTGATACACTTTACTGACTTTTTTCAGTTGGATGTCGAGTGATAACGACATTATGAATGATGAATAACAGAGTTAAATTGGGCAGATTGACACAAATGAAAATCAATTAAAAGTTAAAAATCCTAAAGTTTTATGTAACTGCAACTGTACATAATCCCTAAAAAAAAAAGAAAGTATTTACATGTGGAATGTGTGATTGTGATTGTGTATTGTGTACATCCGTTATCAATCACTCGCGTTATCTCACATCGGCCACATCGACATACCGCAGAATAGAGTCCCTTACTGAGAGTCAAGACAATTCGGCTCATGGATGTCACAAACGGGAATAAAGATTACAGAAATTGAACGTTTTTCGTAATCTTTGATCGGCCCATTCTCAAGTGCCTTTCTCCGTTCCTCCTCTCATTCCGTTTGTTCCTTGCCGAACCCGTAATTCCCTGGTCCATTCCAGATTATAATCTTTGCAATTGGTGAAAATGTAATCTTTATTCCCGTTTGTGACACTGTGGAGGCCTAAAATACGGGAACCAATCAGAAATGGATTCAGAACCCCAAGGCGGATGTAAACAGTACTTATCGAGAAAGTTTTTCGCTTTTTTGACATATAAAAAAAAATGGCCGAGGCTTGTGCTCTGAGCCTATCTCTATGTATTCTATGGTGTTTGCCTGCTAAAAGTAAACATCAAGGATTTTCTAAAAGGCGAAGAAAGTTATCCTTTATGTGCTAATTCTAATGCGACATTTTTATTCAGTAATTTAGTCCTTTTTGCTGTACACTTAGGATACATTTGCATCATGTGTTTTTTACCGTGGTTATAATATTCCACATCGTTTATTAAATCCGACACATCGACTGTCTCATCTCTGGTGCGCTTAGTACCCACCAGAATTTCTTTGACTTTTGATATCATGGAAATCTCTTTATGTATCACTTTTCTACTCTTACTCTTCCTGACTGAAAGCACCCCTGCTCATGTACACTCACACGTTTCAAAAGAAAGAATTGAAGATGGAGTTTACTCACCCATAGATCGAAACCATATTCAGGACGGAGTTCATCATTCAGAATTTGATCATGAAGCCATCCTAGGTAATTTAAAAAATGTACATATTAGTTTCATAACTTTGATTCAGCATTGAATGAGCATGTAGTTCACTGTGCCTTGCTCAAATATCCTAAATTTCCCCCAAATAATTTGCGCTCATCTAGGTTTGGAAGGCAGTTGTTTGGTAATTGTTGAGTTACATTTCTCCAGGATCAGTTACTTTCCTGAACATTTTCACTTCCAGTGACATCTAAGCGTCCATCTCATACTCATAAGAGGCCCACAAACTAGCCCATTGGTTATCTTTGAAGAACGTTGGACCAGTGTTCTTTGAGAGGCAACAGTCACTGGAGCCTGTTCACTCAAAATTTAAAAAATTAGCACTTTTAAAGTAAATTGGTTTGACTCCTCATAACACCTTAGAAACTTGGCTTTTTCCTCTGTAGAATAGACTGAATTGGGCTGTCTTGGTCATGTGCATGTCGATGGAGCAAGTCCTCGAACACGGACCTCCATTTGTGATGTTGCAGACTTCCTGTCATATTTTATTTTCCTAATGGAAAACTCCTCAACGGCAATTCTTGAAAACTTCTGTGACATCTCTTCTCTGTGTGAGAGAAATTTTGCAAAAACTTCAAGGAATGATGTTGATCAGTTCTCTTTTAAGAAAATAAAATAGGAGCAGAGATTTTCAAACACCGCAAATGAGATATGTGGTTCCGTACTTACACCGTCAACATTCCAAGTGCCTCTGCTAGAGGGTCAGATTGCATGCAACCCACCCTGGCTGAGATATCAATGCATTCCACTGGAACACTTGAAGTGGGCTGGCTTATGGCAGTGAGGCAGGACTAAAAAGTAAAGCTGTTCATCGCAATCTTCTGAGGTTTGGATGAGAAAAAGCCCTCTGGATTTTCCCAAAATCGTCAATCAAGTAAATAATTGTTCTGGCAATCTTTGAGTAGATGACCACTCTGATTACTTATCTCTTGCCTGGCCTCTTGTTTAACTTCCTCATTTGTTGTATTATTGTATAGTAACTATTTTATCGTCTATTGTCTACTGTGCTTTCCCGAGTTGGAGAAATTATTCTGACATGATCGTGTCACACCAAATACACAATTAAAGAAGAGTGCACAGCAATTGTACAAACAATTTTGTGTGTAACAACATTTTTGTTTTGTTTTTGTAACATACACAAGATAGCGTTAGAGAAGAAGCTGTTCCCACTTTCCATTCATAGGACCTATTCATACTTGACGGATGCTCCCCCCACCCGAGATCCGGCACTCGGAGAAAATAGGCCCGTTCCTGACACATTCTTTTAACCTTAGTTTCCACTAAAATGCTGCTTTGACTGTTTTCTCTATTTTAATTTGCGCAATGCTTTGTTTCAGGGAGCACTAAGGAGGCAGAGGAATTTGATCAGCTTCCTCCTGAAGAAGCGAAACGGCGCCTTCAAATTTTACTTACAAAAATGGATCTCAACAATGACAAAGTGATTGAAAGGAATGAGCTTCTTGCATGGATTTTGCGATCATTCAAGTGAGACACCGTTTACTTGAACTTTCTATCTTTTCCAGTCATGCTCATTTTAATTTCCTGAGAGTGATGACTGTGCTAATTTCAAAGTTCATTCCCTCATTTTTTCCTTCACACTTACGCAAATAGAAAGATGCCCTGGACAAGGATGGGTCAATGAGCCCCTTCTTATGAATTTAGGGTCATTGCATGCTTTTGGGTAGGACAGGTGCACAACTTATAAGGTCACATTTTCATGTTCACAGTTAGAATTCCTTAAAAGAAAGTATTGGAACAGGAAAAACTTTGTTCATAGATGTTTTTACTTGTGGACCATGGATGTACATGTTTCGCCTATGTCTCTAAAAGTAGTGACAAGTTATCAAAAATGAGTTAATCAACAAGTTCATAATAGCCCAACTCTACCTCGCCCTGGCAAGAAATCGGTAGCTCCCTCAACTCTTGGGATGCTTAAATCTAGAGTACATAGGTACAAAGAAATTGCTATTAATTGTGGAAGAAATTTTTTTTAATGCAACCGTAAAATTTGAAAAGTAAGTACGTACAAAGAGGAAGTGCTCTTACTCTTGATAGTGAGTTCTATCTCATGAATTTTTCTTTCATTTGTCAATCTCCTCATTTTCTCAGATTTGCCCTCTTCTCTATAGGGAGGGTCGAATTGATTTGAGGGTCAAGGGTCAATTTTTTTGCTGTGCTTAAATATTGTCCTTGTTCAACCTTTGGAGGAAACCTTATAGTAATAGGGATTTTTTGATTTCCAGAATGTTAGCAGAAGAAGAAGCAAATACTCGTTTTGAAGAAGGCGATGAAAATGCTGATGGATTTTTGACTTGGGAAGAACATTTGATCGATACCTATGGCTCTGCTGATGCTGATGAAAAAGCCATGCTCGATTTATATGATGATATGGTATGAATTCCTTTGTGTTAGCCATTATTCAGATGAAAAAGAATATTAGTCGAGAAGTTGAAAAGTCAATATCTTTTAGAAATCTCAGAAGCTCCTCTACTCATGTTATTTGTTTGCTGCAAACTCAGCTGTTACAATCAGAGGGTCTAAAAGGGAGGATATCAAGGGTATTTCACCAGCCTACCCTCTAGCACTCCATCATTTTCTCGCTAAAACCCTTCATCTATTCTCTTTTTATTGAAACAAATCACTTGAATTGTATCAAACAGTATAAGTAGATGAATGTACCAGATAACTGCAAGAGAGAGAATTTATGTGAAAGAGAGAGGAGGGCACATAGGAGCCAAATCGGTGGAAAATCTTAAAAAGCAGATGTGGTCTGAATTGGTATTTTAACGCTTATTCAATTGATTTGAGTAAAATTTGGTATTTACGGGGGTTTTTTTGTAAGGAGAACCAAATGTGTGTGAATTTTTTGAAATTCACAAATCTAAGATGGCAAAAGTGACCCAAAACGCAATCTCAATTTCTATTCAACCAATTTGAGTGAAATTAGTTATTCAAGAGTTTTGGCAGGAACCTGCTCCATAATTGATGAATTGTGAAATTTCCTTTCTCCTCTTGTGAAAATTTTTTGAATCCCAATGTTTTAAGAAGTGCATCCTCAGCAGTCTGAAGTACGGTCTCAGTAAAGGTAACTTACCCTGCAGATTCCATGACCGTTTCTGAAATTTACATTTTCTTCAAAAGCTTAAAATGAGATGAAGTCCAATCACTTTACAGAATTTACAAACCTTTTATCATTCTGGAAGAAAAGATACAGCAGCACAATCTAGTAACTATGTTTCGGAGAGGAAAAAAAATGGTGTCCCCATCGAAATAACTTTCTCTTGATACTTCACTCACCTATCAACAGTTCGAGAATTATTTTCTCTTTCACCCCCCCCCCAATTTTCCCCTTTTTTAATGTAAGATTTTAATTTTAACTAACGTTTTAATTTTTCCTTAGATGATGAAAAACGATAAAGCCATGTTCAAAGCAGCAGACAAAAATCACGATGACAAGTTGTCAAGAGAGGAACATTTGCACTTTAATCAACCTGAAGATTATCCAGAAATGTTTCCATTGATTCTTCAGAATACTCTAGATGAAAAAGACATGAATAAGGACGGCGCAATCGATTTTCAAGAGTTTATTGGAGAAAAAGGTACCTTCTTTCGTTTCTCAAATATCTATCAATTATTAAAATCTGAGATCCAAGGTAGTTTTTATGAGTTTAAGATGTATGATGTTTTAAGTTATGACATAGTGTTTTTGCCTTTTAGCATCATCTTCTACTCGGTCTTGACAACTAGTCATTACAAATTTATAAAAAACATGGAATGCTTAACCATTGCAGTTCTTTAAAGCTTCCTAAAGATTTCATGCCTCTTTTCCCCTGAGATCTATACTTTCTTTGTCTGCTCTTTCTCTTGCCAGCTTCTCACATAGAAATTAAATGTGCACCTCTCAATTCTGGAGCAATAATTTTGTTGATGGATCTTACAGAAAATTTTACGTCTATAATGGCTCTAATTTTTCAACTGAATAGGGTTTTCATTTTCTATGGTAAAGACTGCCGAAGAATTTCCGTTGAATACTCGCCAACTATATTCTTGTTTAGAGGTCTGCTTATACCTTATTTTTTTTTTTACCCTTTGGCTGGGTGACTTTAGTTTCTCCACCAAAATGTCATCGTATATACTGCTAGACTCCACATCTCTTTTGTAAGCATTGACCTGTAAATTGTAAGTAGCCGTAAAGAAATCGTAAGGAAGACATGGTACTTATGAGACGAGGAAACTGTCAGGAGGTATGAGTCGTGCTCTGCAAATGGCACCTGGTCAATTTCCCAATGATTCAATGGCTTTAAGTTGGCATTTTTTGGGAGGAGGGGGAGATTGCATTATGCCCTTCCTAACAAAAAAATGAGAAAAGTTTAAACGAACATAACTTGATGGCAAAGTTCATGAGTGCCGAGTTTTCTTGGGTCACTCAGAAGATAGTTCTGCTGATTCTACCTTCCATCTCCTCTCAGGTAACATGTTGTCCACAACCATGTATATCATTTGCAGTGTTTGAATATCTCCGTCTCTATATTATTTTTTTTAGGAGAACAAACTAAGATCATTCCTTGAAGTTTTTGCAGAATTTTCTTTGCACAGAGAAGAAAAATCACGACAGTTTTAAAGAATTGCCGTTTAGTAGTTTTCCGTCTAAAAAATAAAGCTTGACAGGAAGTCTTCGACGTCGCAAACAGAGATACGTGGTTGCGGACTAACACCGTCGATGTGGTTTTTTGCAGCAATTCATTCATGCTGAGGAGTGAAGACAAATGTTGCTGTCACTCCTTGTTAGTGTAGAGAATATAGAGAAAGGATATCAATGAAAAGACGGAATTTGTTTCTTCTCACATGCTAATGCAGGTTTTTTCTTTTGTCACATTGATTTATGGAATATTTTTTTCATAAGATCAATAGAATATCAGTTCAACACTCTCGTATTAATTATAATGGATACTTCTTTACTCTCCTCTTTTATCATTTTACTAGCAATAAATATTATTTTTGTTTTGTAGGAATATATTTTTCAATCTTCTTCGGTAGTAAGTAGTCATCGCTAGAGTGTTTGATTGTGAATGTCTCTGTTATATTCCTGGCCTTTATTGAACCCAGCAACTGTTTTTATGCCTGCCTTTTGGATTTGATTCACCCTATATAATTATTAGTCATGAGGCATATGCAATCTTGTATGCTTGTTCGTTCAGGCAAATGGCTATTTGTCGATCTCTGCTTTGATGCCTAGAAAGAGAAAATTGACGGTGACTGTCTTAAATTCCATTTTAACCTCCTACATTCAAAATGGTGGTCTAAATTACTGTTTTAGAGTAATCTTATGAAAGTTTCCAAATGCATCGTGTCAAGTTTTGATTCATATATCCTTTTGATCACAAAATCTGAATTTTTGATGAAAGGAAATGATCTTAGAATCTATGGTAAGGCCCAGGGTCTTAAACTTGTGGTGAGCAACTCAACCACAGTAAAGTATAGCGGCCGAAATGTCGTTAAGAGGTGAACATTGTTCTACATAGCCTTGGGTGCCCTATGCAGTGTCAATCATTAGGTCTTTGGGGTCGTAGAATCTGAAAATGATGCTCATTTTGGCCACCGTGTTTAGGCTAAAATACCTGTCAAAAAGAAAAAAATTACCTTCAATACATCAAAAGTTTGGTCTAGGGGGTTAAGGAGTGCAGTTCAGAGATTGAATCTCCTCTAAAACTAAAAATTACCCCTCAATATCCAAAATCCGCCTTTATGCTTCCTTTTACGTATTGTATCAATTTGTTTCTTATTATGATTACAGGTTTAGAAAAACTTTAAGTTAGGAATCTGTTTTATAAAATAACTTTGTTGAGACCGTGACAGTTATTGTTAATAGTCTATTTCTAGACATCGAAATGAAGAGATTAACTTAAAACCCAATCTGTCTTTACAAAAGTGCACACGGGACATATTTTCTGTTATGTATGCTCTCTAACTAAATATCTGTCCTTTAAGTCCAATAATTTCTTCTCAGTTTTTGCATTTGCTCTTTGTTATACCTGATAATCTTGGCAAAAAAAAGGGAATATTTTTAAAGGAAAAAATTGGTCTTTTCATACTAGGTAGCCCTTATAAGTATGAAAAATTAACTATTTTAAAAAAAACAAACTAATAATAGTTTGTATGTTTTTTGAGTACAAACTTTTAAAGGATTTGCAATCTTTAATCAATTATTTTAAGAGTCGAATTATTGTTTCGAAATGAGGAAAAGCAGAAAATGTCGAACTTACGATCTTAATAAATTGGGCGCGCATATAGGATAACTCTCTCCTTATAGGGAAACTCTCCTCTGATTCTGATCAATGAAGTCATAATAGTCTGCCTTTAAAAATCCTACCACTGATTTCCATAGATATTTATTTCTCCCTGACTTCACGTTTCAGTAGCATCATTGAAATCCAAACCTAAAACCAGATTTAGCTGTTCTTTTCCCCCATTGATTTCCTACTCACTTTCATTATTGTGTTATTTTATCGCATCGCCTTCCGCTATAAATGGACGTATTTATGCTCAAAAGAACTAAGTGCATTGGATTTGCATGGAACATAGTTCCTTTCAGCAGAAATATCTCAAACTGAGCCTCTAATGTTTGTTGGTTTGCCAGTCCATCTTGTTTTTTTATTTAGTTCACGAATTTTCCTGTCCCTTTGAAATTTTATTTTAAGATATTTTTATTTTTTTTCCTACATTTTATCTTTTAAACTTCAGAAAGTTTCTCCTCTTGTTTTTCTTTTTCCTTCCTGCTGATTTAATGGCTTATATTCCGTAATGGTCCAGTCAATAAAGGATTTGTGGATGCAAAATTGAGGCAAAATCAGGTTATAATCGATTTCTCTGTAATTTTTGACACTGAATCCGAATATTTGATTGTTCTAACTCTGGAAAATCGGATACTGCAAAAAATCACATTCTCTCAAAATAGCTCTGTTCCAACTCAAAATATCGAAAACATGGCTAAAGATAGCCCATGAAACTTAATTTAGCCAGGTACATAACTTCCAGATCTGCGGCTCGATTGTCGGAACTTTAACTGGCTATGTCGGCAAAATAAGACAAGACATAGCCCTATCTGCGCCTTGTAATATATCGATTTTCGATTCTTGCTGTGCCGACATAAATTTCAACAATCAGGCCGCTGGTCTTGTGAATTTCTTTGCTTACTATGACAGGGAGATGACAGGCAAATGCAGTGAGTAATGAGGTTCATAATTGCAATATGCTCATTCTAAGAAGCAGCAATGACTAACAAGAGTATTGAATTCACATTCATTAATACCTAATTGATAAGAAGTAGTGAAATGTATCGCCTCAATCAATGCTTGAAGAATTTCTCTTTTGGATGGGAAAAAAAATAGCTGATTCTTCAGCACAAAATTCAATACTCTCTATGAGAGTCATTTAGCAAGGAGAAATGTCAACACACTGCACCAACAGTAATTAATTAGATAATGCACCATCAATACTCACTAAAATTCATACCACGATTGAATAGCTCATTTGAAGAGAAAGGTAAACTTGTCTTTTAAAAACTTGAAAAAATTTAGTGGAGTGCACATACTGTTTGTGAACTACTATAACTTGAGATTTTTGGCAAAAAATTACCTCCAGACCCATAATTAGGCCTTCATAAGAACTGGATAGAATTCGGTGATCTTGCAAGCTGTAACTTCAAATTTTTTCTTAAGAATTTAAAATGTTGGAGCATTGCGTTGCAGTTCCAGCCAACAATAAGTAATTTTAGTGCATATCGCCTTTTCAAGGACGATTTATGAGACTGGAAATACATAGGTATATTTTTACAGACACCATGGACTTTTTTTTTTCAACTTGAAATATGATACAAAGTGTCATGCAAGTTAAATTCCAGGTCAAGCTCTTTGATGTATTCAAGAAAAAAGTGTCACGCATTACCATTAATCTCCTCAGAAAAATCTGGAGAATTGGATTTTGAAATCTCCAACGTTTAAATTTTTCCTTGATTTTGAGTTGTTTTAAATGAAAAATGAAACCCGTGAAAGGCCCCAGCAAGTGGGCACCAGGCGAATTGGCCAATCAGAGACAAATTTTACGCACAGATCAGTTTTATTATAGGGGTATCGATGCATTTGGAAATAATTTCTCTTTTTCCATCCCTATGAAAATCTTGATTACAGGACAGAAGAACGACAAAGAGTGGCTCATCGTTGAGAAAGAGAAATTTGATAGTGAATATGACAAGGACAAAGATGGTAAATTGAATTCTGATGAAATTATTTCCTGGGTAGTCCCGAGCAACCAGTAAGTACTTTTTATTGTTTCCCTTTACCGTCTAGTCTTATACATAATATATTGATTATCCTTTCTGTTCAATCACAAATGAGTGACACTTGCAAAAGGAAGAAACAATTGCATTAACACTGCAGTAATTAAAAAATCACTGATGAGCAATTGAGTTTGTCTTTTACTTCAGTATTCAAGGCTCATGTATTCATCCAACTGTGTCCTATTGTGCTACTCGATGTAGGGCATCGACAGTATGCAGTGTATATTTAATTTAGGTACCTTACATTGGGAAGTTGAGAGGAGGTGAAATAATTTTTTATGTGGATTATTCTAACAAAAGATTGTGCATTTATTGAGCTGTTTGAAGGTGGCTCTGTCAACATCTGCAGCACACAGTAACGGTTGGACGGCAAGACAAGCGACTCTGTGATTTTTATCACCATCTGTTATTATTGAAGACATAATTCACAGTACTGTAGATTTTCTATCTACTTATCACTTATTGATCCAGTCCTTTGATGGTTGAGTTAGAAGTCCCACAAGATGCCCAAAATGAAAATATTCTGTCGAGCTCTTTGAAATTAAAATGGATTTTTGTATTTTTTGGCTTAAACGCTGCCATCAAATTTTTGACAGTTTCGATCCGAAGGAAAAAATATAATGTATTTAGTATTTACCAATCTACGTATTTTTTTTGAAAAATCAAGTGAGTACGGTTCCGAATATCTCCGAGGTTCTCTGAACTTAGTTATGCTTTTTTTTTAGCAACAAAAAGATGAATAAAAACTTTGCATGTTGTGACTGTCTGTTTACAAGCCAAACAAAGAGAATGCATTTGTGCCTGTGCTTTGTTACATACCGAAGAAGTTCTTTCATCCTCTGTTACAGTTGCAAATGAGCAGCAAAGCCAAAGCCTTACAGTATTGTTAGCTCTCTATTTACCATATCTTCTTTTGTACCTATGTTTTTAAAACTGTGCTCTCTTTTAATAGCGAGATCGCAGAAGAAGAAGTGAATCATTTGTTTGCTGCTGCTGATGAAGACAATGACGGTGCTCTATCATTTAATGAAATTCTTGCAAACTATGACACATTCGTAGGGAGTGAAGCTACTGACTATGGTGAACATCTTAACAATATTCATGCTTTTGAAGATGAGCTTTAGAGCCCAAGAAATCTGCATATTTACTATTATAACACCCTCCCCCCTCTGGCAGAAGTTTTGAAGGTGTACCCCTAATTTCATTGAAGACCTATTTACCCTCTAAATTTTAAAACCTCTTTTAAAGGTCTCTTTCACAGTGTGAAAATCCTTTGAATTTTAAATGGACCACTTGACAAAGTTCACCCTAGAAAAAAATAATCACTTATTTTCTCTTCAAAGTCTTGGGTAGGAAAATATTCACACAACCGTAATTCCGAAATCAACCCTTGAACGAGATATTACTTAGTACCTTAACACAGATCAAGTGGAAGTTAGATCATACAAATAACATCATTTGTAGTTTCGCCTTTTAATTAATGTTTATTGTAAACACCTTTATTTTGTTCAGAGGTTGATTTCCGGATTACCTGCTGGGTGAAACATTTTCTTTTGAAAGTTTGAAAAGAATGTAAGTACCTGAGTGCTGGAATTCAAACCTTGTCTAGAGGTCCATTGTGCAGTGAACTCTGTCCTGTGTCTAGTGCACATTTTGTTCCTTACTCGTTCCTTTTTCCTACAGATCGCACAGAAACCCTCTTGAAACCAACAGTCCACCCCTGCTTAATCGAATGTCAAGTAAAACAAATTTTCCGCTATATCAAATTTTTGCGTGGTCCCGACAAATTCCCGTAAGGCTAATGTTTATAATTTAGGCCTAACTTGAATTGTGCGCAAAATAGCATCTGCTTGACTGGAATAATCTTCTTCTTTGAGGTTTTTTTTCTCACTTGGCCTCAACGATTTCGACAAAATCATCTCCAGTTCAGGGGAGGACGCTCAGTACTCACAAATACTATCTTATTCACTGTAAACCAGTTTCACGGTCAGTGTTGCCATCCACTTAGTGGAAGTTCGTATGCATCTATGTAGACCGCTCTGTCTGGTAAGCTGAATCCTGTATTAAAATCTGCAGAGATTGCAACAACACTGACAGATACAAGAATAGTACTCCAACCAAGCATGTGTTGCAGCATTAGTGCGCATGCATACATGATGTTAATGTGGACGTCCAATTTATTAGACTGAGAAAGTTGGAAGTGACATTAAGTACTACTTTTCAACTCCCTTTCTCTGTCTCTCAAAAAATCTTCCAAATCTAAACCTACAAGTATTTAAATAAACCAAATGAAAAAATTCTGTATTAAAAAACTTTTTAGGACATAACTGAACCTATGAATCAATTTGTAATCCTACATGATTGCAACTCTTCTTAATTCTGTGTAGCTGTCCATAGACTTAATCGGTTTTTTACTGTCAAGAAACAAACATGACTTGTACTGTAGCCAAATGGCTCCCTTACACTAATTGTGTATGATGCAATAAAAATCATAGGAAGTGACAAAGGGACAGCAGAAGGGAGTTCAAGACAGAAGACCTAGTGGGAAGGAAATCAGCAGCATAGCAAGTGCTCACTGTTAGCTTGCTCAGTCGCGCTTTGCGATCTGCTTTGTGACTGCAAGGAAGAGCTCACTGACCTGTGTAAGTCCTTCTCCCTTCAAAACCGCCGAAAACGGCGTGTCAGATGAAGCGGAATAAGCCATGCTGTTCTGATGCAAGTTTACGTAATAAAGAAATATAGCAAGATACTTTTTCTCATGATGACTTGAATGTCTACTTTTACTATATTCCAAGTTCTGTAGGATGCACTGAGATATTCATATTGCTTGACTCCTCACTCACAGAATTGCTCTGACATCGTGTCAAATTGAATTCTTTTGTGAAAAAAATTGTCCTATGAGATGGACTTTTAACTTGAATTTCCGATTAAGTAGAACTCAAGCTTGATCCTGCCGCGATTTGACTTAACAGGGGTTGACTGTACTAAATTATTAGTCACTTGAGGTTAGTGCCATATATTTTTTTTTAAATGTTTGTAAATGCTTAATATTTTCTCTCAGTCATCATAACTTTTTGCTGATTGATTTACTCATTATTTTTTTAGATTTCACCCATTTCTAGTCATTATTTTAGTTCTAATCTATTATTTTTACTTTAGTATACCAATTTAATAATAATAGGAATAAGCAGGGGCGGATAGACAGGTGGGAACACTGAGAAAAATCCTGGTGAGCTGATTGTTATTTAGGGTAACCTCAGACTGGTTTAGCTCCTTCATATAACAGAAAACAACTAAAGATGGCGCTCAAGCATTAATGGACCAGTATTCCTGGTTTCCTTTTAAATTTTAGTCTGCCCCTGGGAAGAAGCTTAATATTTGATAAAACCACTGATCGCCAATAACGCTAAGGCTGTGAGGCTAATGATAGTCGAAAATTCAAAGATCAGAAATGTAGGTATCAAATCAGATATTTATCCTGCGTTGAATTTTTCCATGTCAATGCACGTCTCAAAAAAATTCCGTAAATTGAAAAAACATCCATAAAAAATATTTCCTACACTTTGCTGCAACAAGTTTTGCTACAAGCTGCAAAGACAATCCAAAAAGAAAACAAGGTATATGATAAAAATTGATGCATACGACGATTTAACTGTAGCAAAAGAAGGATCATTTGAAGAAAAACTGAAATAAGTTTTTATATGGTTCAATAGGTTTTAAGTACATGTATGATGCACATTTTTTATATTTGATACCCACTGATAGATAGATATAAATAAATACTAATTATAGATGAATAAACAGTATATAGTGCATCTGTCACGGAAAAAATCTACAAGTGCATTTTTCTCTTAAATGCAAAAATCCTTTTTTTTAAAAGCCTCCAAGTTTTAACGATTTTTGCCTCCCAAAATTGGTTTCTAAAATTACTGTCCAATGGGCTATCACGCTTATAACAATTTGGCAACACTGAGAACTTCTTGGAAATATTTTGCCGAAATCGTTATCTGATTGGGAGACCCAAAGGCCTAAGGGTGACTAACCCAGTCGTCATATTGCACCCTAAAAATTGGGAAAGTCCGGCCAGTGCTAGGCAAGCCTTCGGTGCGCAGTTACTGAGTGGTTTTGTGCGTTCCGTGCTATTTTTTGGTGAGCAACATGTAGGAAAGATAGTAATTTGGTTGAGAACAACATTTTGTGATTCAGCAATCTAACTACCGAGCGGACCCTTCGATCTCTTAGTTGGGTGACAACTACGGTAGTTCTATCCAATGTTGCCAAGTAGTTCATAATGTTTCCGAGTTGTCCTAGGTGTAGTAGTGCATCAGATAGTAGTTTTAGAGACCATTTTCAGGGAGCAAAAATCATTTTTCAAACTCGCAAGGATTAATGCAGCTCTTCCTTTCCAAATCTTCATAACTTTTTTTCTTTCTTTTTTTTCAATTAAATGACTAAATCCCAATAAAAAGCTGATTTCTCTGTCTTACAAACGAGACCACAGAAAATGTTCCATCTAGCTTAGTTTTAATGTTAGACCATCTGTCTCATTCTTTTTGAATAGCGTATTTAGAGTAAAAATAACTGTGACTGTATGTAAGCAAAGCTTCTACCTAGCTTACTTTTGTAGTTAGATCATTTGTCTCACTACTTTTTGAAAAGCTATGAATGAAGAGTAAAAGTAACTCTAATTGTTAGTAAGTAATTTATAAAAAACTCCATGGTTTTGACTACTCATATTCTTAATTTCTTTAACTTATGTACCTATTGCCTTTTTTCATCTTATAATTAAATCTTACTAGGAGAAAAACAGACAGTTTAATCTGTCTCATAATTAAAATTAGGAATTTTAAACATTTTTTCGGAACATTTTTAGTTTCCAAAGAATGTTAAAAGATGAGTTTTTTCTTTAAATTGTCTCCTGTTGTAATCAATTCTCATTGTTCCTGTACTGATTCTTCTTTTGTTTTCTCTCGGGACTTTAAATAATTATTTCGTCCATCAGTGCGAATATGTTCTGTGTGTACCAAATTTCTGCACAAATAAGTACTAATTTGCTCAATACTCAAATACTGTATGAAATATTTTTAAGATGAAATTTTAGTTTGTAATCTGTTTTAATTTCATTCAACACTGTGCAGTCATTATCCAGCTTACTTAATGATAATATTGTAAGACGAAGTAGGTAAAACATTGATGAGTTCAAATGGAGTCCATAACTCTTTTCTGGACGTAGACGATTCTCTGAAGTATTTAAAACTTCGCTTAAAATGCAGCCATAGAACCTTCGAAAACGATCCAATTGTTGGTCAATCACTCTATAATAATCAAATTCTCAAACCCTTTTTTTTAAAAGAAAAAAAAAAAAAAAAAAAAAAAAAAAAAAAGAAAAAAAAAAAATCCCTCAAGTCACATCAGGTAGTAGTTGCGCTTGGTTTTCATTCACAAAATTCAGTTGGGATTTACTTCAAAATAGCTCCCAAGGGAGATCCTTCCTGAATATTGCCCATCAGAAGACAATGCAATCAGCTCTGATCACTTGGGATGTACCATTGAAATTACTCTGAAGTATTTTCTGATAAAACTTGGTATACAAATACCTGATGTATTACAGAATGATAGGACCATTGGGAGTTTTTAAAAAAATGTTTATAAATTTTAAAACTATTCATTAATCAATTTCTATTGAACCATTAAACCAGTGAATTATTCTTAAAAGTACTGCTAAACTCCCTTAATGATTGAAATTGATTCCTGATCAATGATTGAATTCATTGAATTGTTTGTAATTTACTCAAGAAAAATAATTCAAAAATGTATCACCTAACTGTGAAAAGAATGTTAAGTTTTAGTACAGACTTCAGGATTTGTCTTTGACTGACGTCGCAGTTTATGAATCAAATCATTACTGAAACAAAACACATATTTTTGTCTAAAACTGAAATTCTCTACGCTTTCGAAAGTCTCCCACCGTACTTATTCATAATATATGTACAAAATAACTTCTAAACTTGACTTTTATTGTAATGCTCATCTTATATCACATTTCATCGGTCAAATTCCGGAACCACGTATCTCGATTTATAGCAATTTTAAGGTAGCTGCAAAGGAGACATCTGTTATCTTTCCCAGTGCAGTGACGTTTCTGGATCAGTTTTGCATATGTGAGTAATCGAATATAACTGATCATTTGGGAACCTCTTAGAAGGAGAATTTGTCAATAATAAATATTTCTGGAGGTGCAACCCCCCCCCCCCCCCCCCCCCCNTTCATTCAATTTAGTGTCAATGCGATCATGGATTGTGAGTTTGTTGTAGCTTCCATCAATGGAGAATTTGCGAGTCTGAAATTTTGTAAATTTCATATTTAAAATGGAACTACTGAGAGAACCAAGCACAAGAATATCCTTGGTTTCTAAATTGAACAATTTTGGAGTAAATATGACAACCTAATCTGCTAAAATACTGTGTTTACTCACTTTTCAATCTATTTCCCTACCGTTTTCCATTTCAGAAATAAATTATGAAAAGTACTGCAAACTCAGCTCACTAAAAGCACTTGCAGATGAAGCAATAAAAGTTTTACTGACAAATTCTCCATTCAAATAATAATCTTCCAATTCAAGTCTCCTAACAAATAATATTTGATCCAGTTGTAGGACCAACTTAACTTCCTAAGAAGCCAATCACAGTATGCAATTGTGTTAAATTCTGTTTTGAACCTGTAATTGATCACAATCTGTAAAATATAGGTCTGCAGGAATTCTGAAACCCTGTGTCTCTATATCTAGTGTTGGTCTTAGTTCTAAAATTACATACCCCCGTTTTTCAGTCATTTTTTCCTCGGATGGGAGCATCATTCAAAATGCCCATGGGATCTTGAAAAACATCCTATCTTTGCTATCTCTAGAAATTATTTTCCCTCTACCCTCAAGGATGAATTGTGCGGAAAGTTTTTGTGCCCCTAACAAATTAGATTTTCTGAGATATGTGGCTTTGGAGTTTCATCGCTGATTTTTCTCCCATCTTAGCTGCTGTGCAGTTAATAATGATTTTCCAGTATTTTTTATGTTCCTTTTGACCTCCGTTAAAGTTGAAAAGAAATATGTTTCTCCCCAATTTGTGTTTTTCATTTTTCTTGAACAGCCATCTTCCTTAAATTGTGTATTTTGATTGATTGCCTTTTTGAAATAATGGGACAAAAAATAATACTTATTTACCTCTGTTTGAATTGTTTTTGTTACCATAATTACATCTGGAATTTTTACGTATTGATGATTTGTTTTTTTTCAACTGATGTTTCTCTTCAGTACTTTACTTAGTTTCTTTCAATGTGTCATCATAGATCTTTACCCAGTATTCATCTGAAGCTACTTAGACGTAGTTGTAGGAAAAGAAATGAATGCGGCAAATTTTGCAAATTTTCATTCTTTATTTTTCGACAGAACAGAGAAAAAGATAGAAAAACAAAACAAAACTAAATTTTGTGAAAAATTTTAAGAGCCATTTAGTTCTTAGAAATTTATGGTTAATGATAATAATAATAACATAATAGAAAATCTGCATTCAAACATTAACACCAACAAAATTAGCATGTTCTGTTTCAAAAGTTATGTTTCATATTCAGTTTTCCCTGACCTGAGAGAATAAACGTCTTAAAAGTGAATTTTTTTCATTTATGTATTAATTACAAATGCAATTTCTTCAAAATACTAATCAAGTAATGGCTGGGGCTGGTAGAGATAAGTTAATTTAACTATAGCTCGACACCCCTTGAAAAATAAACCGATGGAATCGGTATCAGTGAAATACTTTCTTGATCTGGTTTTACTGGTTTAGTGTTCTGTGGTTGTCAAATGCAACTTCAGTCAACTGATTTATCTGTCTCTCTCTCTCCTCCTCTCTCCCTTTCCCCTTCTCTGCAAGTCCTCTAGGGCATTTGTACAAGTGATATTCTTTAAATAACCCCGACAAGTTTCTGTCTGAGAAAATATGAAAGTAAAAAAGTGCTAAGTTAAAGCCTTTCTGACTTATATAGCAGTAAATTTTTGAGGGTCAAATGCTTCTGTCTGTTAGGTTCCAATTTTTTTTGGAGGCGATCCCTGACCTCCCTAGATTAACTTAATAATGCGCTGTAAATCAGGCCCAATCTTGTCTTGGATGCTGGGCAAAAGTAGAAATGAAGAGTCCAGCGGGCCCCATTATTGAAACTATGTCAGCCTGACACGACAAGACATAGCCCTATCTTAGCCATGCAGTATATCGCAATTCGATGTCTTATTGGGATGCTTTAAACTTTCAATAATCGGCCTGCAGGATAGGGTTGCCACAGTTAAGGAATACCGGAAAAAGTCAGGGAAAACCTGGAAATGTCAGGAAAATGACAGAAGTGTCGGAAAAATATTGTTACGTCACCTTTGTTTGACATTGAGCTATTTCTAATAATGTCTTTGTAACTATCTGGCACATCCCCAATTGTCAGGGAGAAAAGGGAAAAGTCAGGGAACTTCATTTTCTAGATTCGAAGGCAACCCTGCCAGGGACTTTTTTATGAAAATTGCTTGCAANAAAAAAAGGACGACCATGCAAATTGACATGACAACTCAAGATTAAGGCACATAAAATACGATTTTTCTTTAAAGCAAGAATCTGATCGAGAAATTTACAGCAAGTTGAATAAAATCGGGGGAAAAAACGAAATGATGTATTTCTTTCAGAAAATACACTAAAAAGAAAAAGGAAAAACTAAGTTCTTGATAGTTCTTTATTTTATGTGTGTAGTGTCAATGATGGATAATTTCATAAAAAATCGTGAGAAAATCTTTGCAAAATCGTACATGAAATTAGAACAAAAAAAGGATAAAATCAATCTGATAACAATCAAATTGAAAAAAAAATTGAAGGAGAGTTACACAACTTGATTTCTGCTTTACACAGATCACCTTTTGCCTTTGAAGAACTTCGATTTAGATTTAGAATTTGAAAATTTGCTAGGGAACTTCCGAACAAGTTTTTTTCTTTCATCTCTATGTTTTGATGCATTATTTTCGTCCTTGATGAATTTTGAGGGCTGAAAAAATAACAAATCAGATGAGCCAAGTCTACTTACATGATGAAAAATGAATAGAGAAAAAGGAATTTTGTATGAAATAAAATAGTTGATAAATAGTTAAATATAAATAAGTTGATGATGTATCGGAACATTGAGGAGACATTCGGATGGCACTAACCTGAGTCAGCCTGACTACATTTTACAATCTATAATGTTCTCTCATGTTTCATTTTCTTGAGAGAAGACTGAGTGACAAAAGGGCTTTTTTTTAAATACATGGAACGCAATGAGTAATTCTCGCATTTCACAGAAATGCAAGGATCAAGCCGAGTTGGTGATGATTTTGTAAATGTGCCTTAAAATTGAGAATAAAACTGAAATCTTCATTTCAAAGGGAAAAAGCTCATTTGAGTAAAATTTAGCTTCACTAAGACTGCTAATTACCAGGGTTTCAAATCCTTACAGGATTTGAATTAGCAATGTAGTGTCAATCTACAGAGAGATCAGATTGAATAAAACGAGTAAAAACCAGGAACAAACAGTACAAACCTTGCTAATGGTGAAAGTCATTTCTCTACAGTTGCTTGTGATTAAATTAACAGAGTCTGCCATTTCTCTTTTGAGTCGTTCTTCAAGGGGTAAACTGTTTGAAAAAATAATATAATTAGCAATAATTTAATTGAATATATTAAGATGTATGGACCACACAAAGAGAAATACATTCCAGCATGTGATTCAAATGAACTTGAAAACATAAATATTAAGATTAAAAAATGAGTGCTTGTACTCAATTATGCCTTCCGGAAATATTAACCAAAGCTCCTTAACCTAAAATACACACTCAATTTCTGTAATTTTGAAAAATAAAATTAAATGAAGTAAACGTATTGAAGTATCTTTAAACAAAGTTTATCTCAGATCAACCGCTATACTTAAAGCATTAAAAAAATAGAACTTAAGTGCGTGAAAAAGTAATTACAGAAGTACTTCAGCTTTCAAGTATAGGCAAGATGCCTTCAAAAAGTCCCCGGATTGGAGCTGCCTTGGTCTTAGAAATGAAACACTTATTTAAAAGCTCATACTCTCATAAGTTCATTGATAGTGCACACTGAAACAGTCCGGTCAAGCGGAAATGCGTTTTCAGGTTATGAAATTGAGAAAAATGGACCATCTCATCAAGAACTCATCTAGGGGCCTACTTAGAGTGAGAAAATTACACTTTTGATCCATGGGATGGGAACAGAGGAATCACGCTGCAGCCGATTTCCGGCGCCGCACGCAGCAAAATGATCATATTTTAGTACACTCTCATCAAGTTCAAAACAGATGTTTCAATGTTGAAAAGGCTAATATATCTCAGAACTGGCTAGAAAATAATAGACAATAGTTGTTTTTGCCCTAAAACATTATTTTTGGCTATTTACACTATAGCCAAAATTACTCAAATACAGAATCATATATCAACGGTGAAACTACCAAACCACGTATCTCGGTTTGCGACGTCGCAGACTTCCTGTCATACTTTATTTTTTCAATGAAAAACTACTTAACATCCAGTCTTGAAAATTTCTTTGATTTTTCCTCTTTGTGCGGAGAAAATTCCGTGAAAATTTCAAGGAATGATATTGATTTGGTCTACTTCAAAAAAATAAAATGTGAGCGTAGATTTTTAAACGCTGCAAACAAGATACTTGGTTTGGTAGTTTCACCGTCGATATAAACTAATTTCGTACTATGCTCAAGTGATTTTGTCAACAGAGTAAATGGTCAAAAATAGTTCTTAAGGGCTATTCAACTTTTGTATATTATTCTTTGAACAAGCTGAGAGCTATATTTGCCGTTCAGACTGTTCAAGTTAGGGTTTTTTCCATGGATCAATGTTTCTAAAATGTAGACTGATATCAAGTTGTTACGGTTATTTTTTTATTAAAATTTAGTCAATAAGAAAATTCTTTCAGGATGAACAAGATTTCGATGACACCTGTTCAAGAAACCAGTTTCAATTTGGAAAATGAAGATTTTCTTGGAATTGAACATTTCATCTTGGGTCAACCCAAAATATTTGACTAATTACTTTAGAAAATATTTCACAAAACTGAGCTAGAAAGAGAGAGAGGGAGAGAGAGAGAGAGAGAGAGAGAGAAACATGAACATTGGCTTACTCTTTCAGATTTTCTTTCTTCGCATTAATTGAATTTGGACCAGCATAATCTTCCCCACTTTTGAGTTCAAAGAATTTTGGCTGAGGCTTCTCTGATTCTTCAAAATCATCACTCTCTGCATCCTCATCCTCTTCCATCATTGCTTTCAGCCGTTTTTCTTTCTTAATCAGCCTATGCTGTTTCTTCACATCTTTGGCCCACTCCTTCTCATCATCAGAACTTTCATACTCGATTTCACTGTCGTCAGAAGTGCCCTTGCCTTCCGCCTCATCCTGAAGAATAAAGTACATGATGTCAGGATTTCAAAGAACAAACAGACAATGCAACAAATTAAAAATATAAAATTACCAAATTTAGAAATTACACTTTTGAACATTATTAATTTTGAGCATTACGTAGGATTTTTCTGGGTTTCCTGATTTTTTAGTGAGCCCTATCTTTCCCTTTAAATATAAGTATGGATTATCTTCCACCCTACAATTAAAACTTGATGGGTTGAATTAGTATGCATACAATTTTGGTATGTAACGTGCAATTGCTTGTTCCACTTTCCAGCTCCTTAAAAAAAGGAACACAACAAAATAATAAGTATGTAAGTAAAAGTTATTTACATCCAAAGCCTTCACATGAATGAGCAGAAATCATACATTTATTACTTTTTCTTAATCATTATTTACGTGATATGTCTTGGATTCTGGCATTGGCTGACTGCTGTGCAAAATATTGCATCAATTTAGTAAAAAATCAAGCAGATTTTAGATTTTAAGCCTAAAACAAGACACTTGCCCCTGAGCATTAACCTAGAGAATCATTCTCGACCCAGAAAGTTGCATAGTTCAGAAAAATGAAGGCAGGATTCTTTTTGGGAAAAAAACCTTGCATTCGATACAAAAATTGATTTTTGTATTGAATGCGAGATTTTATTCCAAAATGAATTCTGCGCTCATTTCTCTGAATTTTGCTAATTTGTGGGTTGAGGATCATTTTACAGGTTCATGTGTAGGGGTTACTGTCCTTCCTTTAGCTAAAAAATTACATATCTGCCAAGATTTTTCGCTTGATCAATGCGATATATCACACTTTTGTTTGACCACGGCAGAATACAGGACACATTACCTAAAACACCAATTATTACATTATCATTATTTTTTTTCAATTGTCATCAATGTCACCATTACTTCATTTTCAAGCCGATTTAATATGTATACTTTAATTGAAGCCTAATGGTGACAAAAATAAAAATAACATAAAAAATTGATGTATGAAAGTGCTAACTTGTTCCAATAAAAACCTAAATGGAGGTTAATAACGATTAGTCAATGACTTTTTTTTTTCAGGGTTTTTTTTTGTTAAACTTAAAAGACGTCAGTAAAATATCAGTCAAAAATTCTGAAAAAAAGTATTTCACTTGACATTAAGATCACTGCTTTTGAATGCAATTATTAAATAAAAAAAAAAAAAGTGATACATTTTTGTTTATTAGAAGATTTAGATGAAAAAGTGGCTTAATCCTGTTTGTTTTGAAAGATAATCGCTTGGAATTGGAATTGGAATTGAGACTTTTTGCTCCAACCAAGCTTTAGAATTTTTAACTTCAGTTTTATTGGGACTGGGGAAAATATAATAAGTCTCCAAGAAAAAAATTGAACTTACATCAACCATATCAAATTGCTCCTCTATAGCATGCTTCTTCAGCTGCTTCTTCTTGCTCTTATCTAATCGGGTCAAAACTGGATTCAGCAACCTATAAATTTAGGAGGAAAAATAAAGAACCATAAAGATTTGGTACAGTTCATGGACTAGACTCATAAACAGTTTATCTTCTAATTGAATCGTGTCATGCCAAAACCGCTAATGTCTATTTTGTCAGCTTCCAGTTTTTTGCATGTTGATAGTATATTTCAAGAGTTGATACAATCATGTAAGTGGTGCCAATACTTGTTTTGGAATAAAGATAACCTTAAATCAAGTACTCACACTACTTGCATGGTTGCATTTAACTCTGAAAACTATTATTATCCCCAAAAAACTCAAGAATGGGAAAATGGGCAATGGTGGTTTTCGCACGACACGATTCAATTATCTTTCGTATTATTATGAAAGCATTTACCTTTTTCTAAGATTCTTACATGACGCCTTTAAATTTCCTTCTTGATTGGGTATCAATGTGATTTGAATCTAAAAACATGCAGCAAATCATTTCTTTTTGGGTGCCCCATTTTACAATGTTGTAACTAGAGCTGTGCGTTTCATTGAACGGCTACTTTTAATAGCGAATAAAGTTTTTGATTTGATCTTGATCGAATTGAAAAATTTATCGCTATTTTTGGTGTGATTTCATGAAATTTTGAATTTCCCGCCTGCTTTCTTTGATATAGCTGACCAATCACAACTCCATTCCTGTCTTTATCTGCTTCAACATGTCTTATCCACTTCACCCTGTCCTATCTGGTCAGTAAATATACAATTTCAACAATCGCCCTGCAGGATGGATTAGGTTATTGTGGAATTCATCTGGATGAATTGGAAGTCATATTTTTAAAAAAAAAAAAAAAACCAGGGTGGTTAAGGATGAACTTGTTAACTGCATCTGAAGTATTCTTAACGATTGGTATGTTTGCTACACTAGAAATGTTTATTGCGTTTGATGTATTCTTTGTATTTTATTGTTTGATATTTCACGTTTTCGGGGTGTTTTGTGTGTTTGAATGATTGAAGTAATTAATTTGTTTCAGGTTTGACAAGTTTGATATGTTTGCCGCATTTGGTGTGTGTGATGTGTTCCTTGAGTTTGATTGTTCAATGTGTTTTGTGTGTTTGACTCACTTGTTATGTTTGATGGTTTCAAATGTTTAAAAGATTTCACATGTTGGATGTGTTTCACTGAACTGAATTATATTCTTGGCTCTCTACAGTACTCCTTTGCTTTTCAAAAAGTGTGTAATACATATTGAAATACACCATGTGTTCTGATCAAGCATACCTGTATTCCTCAGCATTCGTATCGACTTGAAAGTCTGGGTTCTGGAAGAGTGCTTGGAATCGATTGTCTTGCAAAAGATTACCCGCACTCTTCGCTCTCTTTTGATTTTTCTCATTCTCCTTCTCTTCCATCAGTTTCATTGCGAGTTCTCTGTTAATCTTTGGTAATTTCTGTAATGGCAAAAAAAAAAATAAGAAAAATTAGGTTTTACAGGAAAACAGCAATGACTCTCAGCAGATCCCACCTTGAAACTGACACTAAAATTGCAAAAAAGCAATTATAGAATTAATGAAGAAATGTTACTGAATCAACAATATGAAATCTAATACTTGAGGTGCTTCAGATCTTTTGTTGTTTGTCTAGGACTCCGAGAGAATTGAAAAAAAAAAAAAAAATTATGACAGCCAATCCCCACATGACTAAAATAGCTCAAATTCATGTGGGCCGATTTTAAAATGTTTATAATTACATTATATTTTATACCTGGCAGTAAAATCTGCTGCATGGAAGGTCATTGTGATTGCAAGAATGAGGAATTAATCTGTGACCAATATTTTGATAATGATGGGGATTCCCAAAAATAACTGACCCCTGCCATCATTTCCATAGATTATCATTTGCAATATTTAACCAAGGATTTCTTAAATTGGCTATTTTCGTTTGCCTTCTTCATGTACTCTACATAAAATTACACAATATACTTAAAGAGCATATTGATTTTATTGTTTTGCTTGGTGGTATCAGTTTCAATTTCTGCTGCTTTTGCGTTAGCTCAATGTAGATTGGAATGATTACAGCTGAGTGTTTGAACAATGCTTCCCCGCAGATCATTCACCTAACCACAGCAGGAGAGATGCCATAGGCAAGGGGCTGAAATAATTTAATTCAAGACTGTGTTAATCGACAGCCGGACTTAGAGGCCTTTCCTCGGCCAACATGTCCCTTGAGTCTCCTAACTCAGGGGCGCTGAAAATTGGACGAAAAATCATTTTACGTGCACTCAAGATCAGGAACAGGAGGAGAATTATGTTTATGACACAAAATAAGTTCTGTCATCAAACAAACGTTCTGTTCATGATTGTGTCCTGTTGTAAAACCATTTTTAGGGTCTTAAGTATATACCATGAATTAAAATATTAGTCCAAAAAAAGAACAGAATAGGGGGAAAATAGTCAGTATTCTTATCGAAATTTAAATAATACCAATTTCAGGCCATTTTACAAGATACAACTGCCCATCCAATTGCAAGGATTTCGTTTTCCCCTTATAAGCACTCCCTGAAATCAAAGTCTATAAAAGTTTAACGGTTATACGTCGAAAAATTTCAATGTTTGAAGCAAAACACAGAGATCAATGCCTGAAAGTCAGTGAGAGAGAAAACACACAAACCTGGCACCTTTAAAATTTCCAATTATCAGTCGCTATAGATGCCGAATCCATGTAAACTTGAGCTTATAAAGGGCCTTTAAATTTTTGTCTTTTAGCACTAAAAAGTTTTTCTTCGTGCTAACTTCTTCACTCACTGTTCAGTTTTTAGTGTCCCTTGAATATTTTCATTTTTTGAGTTGATGTGTTTTCATTTTCACTGATTTAAGTAATTACACTGTGTCTGCACATTACTCTAGCAGGAAAGGATGATCAGATTTTAAAAAAAGAAGAACAAAAAATGAAAATGAATAGATGAGCTTACGTTGATTTGCACTCGGTTGGTGCGCTCTTCTTCGATCTTTTCACGGACTTTTTTGCGTTTGTATTCCTCAAATGTGAATGGATCAGCTATAGACTTGGCTTTACGATATAGTCTGACATCCATGAAATATCCGTGCATGTGTGCTCGCAGAAGATTTGTTCCTAGCAAATTTAAAATTATTTTAAATCAATCTTTTGATTGATAATCATGAACATGAAAAATAGCGAATCAAATACTGGAATTAAGAAGGTATCTCTACTTCTTTACAAACATAATTATGCGACGATAGCCAGACATTATGACTTATAATACCGACTTTCTCTAAGACATTAAAAATTAATATGCAGTTAAGTAATAACTAAGAATGAGGTCTGATTAAATTAATGAACTGTTAATTTACTGGCATTATTGGATTTTTAATGAATAAAAATTTAATTAGAAGAAAGTAGGTAACGCCACAAACCTATTAGATGCCCCAATCCCAGATCATCCAGCTCCTTCTTGGTGACAAATTTGTAGTCATCATAAATTGTCTGTAGATTACTTTCCTCAAGCTCTTCTGTAAGACTATCTAAGAAGCCGCACCACTTGGGGGCAGGACCCAAACTAGGAATGTAGTATGTCAAGATTTTGTTGCTTTCATTTGCCATGAACATCATTCCAGAGTTTGGGACAAGACATAGATCATTGAACTCCGTATTGTTTCCTGCTTCAATTGAGGTGAGCAAAGAACCCTGATAATTAAAATTGAAACGATTATTTACTAAATTTTTTAAAGTCATACTTCTGAACTAAACCATTCAGAGCTAAGTAAAAATAAATAAAGTCCTTCATTCAGTGCACAATGAAAGAAAACTCTGCCTCCACAAAAAAATTGCTAGGCCATGATCAAATTCTTTGGTATTTTTTGGAAAGATTCTTGCATCAGGAATAGAGCAATATTGCTGGTACAGGGGGAAAAATATTTTAAAAAAAATTGCTGTTAACTTTTTTCGACCAATTTTTGTTCATGACACCCAGAAAAACTCTTATCATTTTTTCTTCCACTTCTTTACTCCAAAAGTTCAGAGTTTTCCATCAAGAAATAGCTAAACAAATCAAGTCGATTCCTGAAATATGTAAATACTGGGCAGTGGTGACATCAAAAACGTCGTCTCTATTTACCATACATTTCAACCCACCATGCTTATACGTGCATTATTTTGGAATCTCATCTTCATTTCGGTAAAATATATAGTGTTACCTAGAAGAAAATTTAAAGACATATGAATTACATTACGCAAAAAGGAACAACTTTTTTGGCTTATCTATAAAAGCACCTGTGTACAATAAGAAACAAATGGTACAAATATAGTATCCTAAAAGAACCAGAAGATGTAGTTTCTTGGAATGAAGAACAAATTAATCACCCAAATACACAAAATTAAAGTAACAATTTGATCAGGGGATCAGGGGGGGCTGCTGCAAAATACAAAAGATAAAGACAAGAAATTAAGTAAAAAGCCAGGACGCTTCGAAGTCTGTACCAATCTCATTTTCAGCCAGAAAAAAATAAAAATGAATCATCCATTGTTACTGCGACACAGAGATTTTCTGATTAAGTTAGAGTCGATAGATCCTTATTTTGCAATGCGATCCAGCTTAAATTAAATAAAAACCTGTGAATTTAATGAAAGCACTGTGCTAAACCCTCTTTGTAATTTTGGATTTAATTTCATTGATGAGTACTGATGATAAGAGGCATAGTTTGAACCACTTGAGAACTTTTGATACAAATATTAGTCTGATCACAGTTCATCACACACTGGTGTTTTTTAAAGATTATTACAACAAGCAGAACCATAAATACTCACCGTATTCCTATTCCATATTTTTAAAATAGCAGAATCCATAGAGAGAACTTGATCTTGACAAAAATCAATATTTTTTATGGGAAGTCCATACATGTGATCCTTGACTTTGAACGGCTTATCTGATCTAATATCATAGAGTAAAACTTGTCCCGTTGCAGTTCCAACACCAAGAGTTAATGCACCGTTGAATTGTAAAGCAGTGACTGAGGGAAACTCCTCTATTCTGTAATAAGTCAAAATAAAGGGGTAAATTTTATTATTCTAATTTCATTTAGAAGTTACATTGGTGTACTAACCTTAAACAACATGACCTTAGGGGTAAGGGAATTAGAGCTGGACGATGTTTAAGATCAGGCACAGTTATAATAATTTTGTAAATTCTAATCATTGTACAGTTGTTATCTCAGAAGTTATGAGCCAAAATTGCAGATACTTTGAGCTACAAGTATTAAAATTGGAAAAATATGAAAACTGCTGGACAAACTGATTTTATTTGTTTTGTTTTTTATACTTGACTCTTTTTCTCCTTTGAAATTGTTTTCAATCAAATTATGGCAAAAAATTCATTATTTTATTAAAATCAAGTGAAATTTATGCTGCAGTAATCTTCTAAGATCATTTGCTAAATGGTTCTGAGGGTCATTCCTTATGAAACCAACCAGCCAAGGAACCGTCCGACTCGGATTTTGCTGATACATTTTTTTCTTGATCAGACCACCAAATAATGAACTTCTGCAAAATATTAGGTCTCAAATCGAAAAACTCACTGAGATAGGAATTTTTAAAGTTTTTAGAATTTTTAAGAAACCAGCATTTCCAACCTCCAAAAAATTTACCCCGGGCCCATTTTTCATCGGACTGAAATGAAAATTTGAAATTATGTCAATGAAAGTAAGTAAATTTAAGAAAAAACATGCTTGAAAAATGAAATAATTGAGAGTAGGGGTTTAAATACTTTGAATCTCAACATTTTTTGCTGAAAAAGGCGCTACAAATACCTAAATAGTGTCATTTTTTTATCATTAAATTACACAGACATCACAAACATTGCTCAGTTGGCACAAAAAATCCTAAAACTATGTAAAACATGCCTGGTACTCAAAAAAGAGGACGATTACCTGTAAACAGCCTTTAATTTTAACTTTTTGGCCAGGAAATGATTTCCTGGTCAAGTGTTGAAGTACTATTCCCCTCTTCAAAACTGCCCAACAATCCAACCAATTAACAATAACCCATATACAGTGTCCAGGTCTCTAGACTTTTATTGTGATGAAACGTCACTAGAAAAACTTACTCTATACTGTTATCAGTCATGCAACTCATTGAACAGTCAAGCGAGCTGACTCTATCTCGAGCTCTAGGATCCCACGCTTCGATGCGACCTTCTTTTGTACCAACGATGATCAGATCATGAACTGGGTTCATGGCAATTTTGTTCAGCTCACTTCCTTCGGACACAAAAGGATTCAGAAACTGTCCCCTCTCTAGATTCAATCGATAGATATCAGAACTGAAAAATGAAAGGAAACTAATCGTTATTCTATAGCAATCTCATCTCATGTCACTCTACAATGTTTCTCTTCATTTATTTCTTCACAAATGTAACATACGTGGTTGCATTGACTATATTTGAGACACAGCCTCTCACATGGAGGCTCAGTACGAGTTTAAGATTTGCTACCTGGCTGTGCGTGCTTTTAAAAGTATTAAAAGTTTAAAAGTATACTTCACGAGCAGTTTCATTTTTAAGTTTTTTAAATCTAGGATGGAGTTGACTTATTGTGAAGGTCTCAATACATATGAGTAGATTTGAACATCAACAAATTCAGACAAGAGAAATCGTTTTTAAGAGTAATGATACAAATTTTGATTTCTTAGAGAATGCTTCTAAATTGCGTAACAAAATCAAATGAAAAATGAGTCTCAATAAGTTCAAATGTAGAGCTCACAGAAACGAGGGATCAAGTAACATACGCCGATGGTGATAAAGTTAAAAATTCTGATCAATAGTGTATATTACAAACTAAATGACAAATTCTAAATTTTTTGGTTTCAAAATAAGTCAAAAGTCAACCCTTCAATATTGTCTCGTACCTTACACTCTTTTGATAAGTTCAGATTAACTCTCCTGTACCTTGATAAGTTAAAGTCGAGTCAAGCTACCATATTTTACAATGCAAGCTCGATCATTTTGCAAAACAATTCACTTTATGCCACAGTCCGATCAAAATAAGGAAGCTTCACCAAAACATGTTGCTCTGATAAAATGAAGGGACCTTGATCGTAGTTTGCTTTCTTCTAATTTTTTCAAAATTAAATCCTGTTCATTATTGAAAAAAAATAGGTAAATCTGCCTGAATCGAAGTTTCTTTTGCAGCCATAATTGAGCACTTTTGAATAAATACTATACTTTAATTCCACAGTGATTGTACCTTGATTGCCTGTTGAAAAATATTTAATTTTTGTTCCTTTTCCATGCGAAAAGTGCGGACATACAGCATAGCATCCTTAGAGGGCTCAGTTCTGTTCTTCTTTTGCAGTGAAGGGAGAAAATTATTTTTATTTCAACTGCACTGCTGTCTCTACCAGTTAATATTAGCAACATTATTGCCAAAATTTTGCTTCTGCTCCAATAGATTATTCATTTTAGAAAATACTGAAATACTCTCTGTTAAATTTTACGCTATCAGAAGACAGTAGAAAAAGAGAGGAAATAATTCATACTTGACAGTACCTGACACCAACTAAATAGAGGTCACAGCTGGGATAATGATATTTCATATCTCTGCCGTATTTAGGTATCCTTAGCCTGTGGTACCTGCCATACTGGGCATGGAATTCTATGGACCGATCACATTGAAGGAACACAAGCTGTTGGACAAAAAATTGAAAGCGTTATGTTTAAGAAAGGGCCCACGCTTAGGATTATTACTCTCACAGAAATTACCGAATTTGAATAAAACTTGATTTGATTGTGCAGGAATATTCTTGTTATAGTTTCTTTGCCTAGTCAAGGATAAGAATAATTAAGGTAATAGCTAGTTACAAAACATGGCTGTTTCTTAAAATCTGAAATTTTTTCTTCACAGTTTCATTGAACAGCTTTTTTTTTTGTGCTACCTACAAAAATTCAAGTTTTGGTTTCTCAACAAAAAATTAAAATTTATTTTAAAATTCCTTTTATATTCTCAAATTTTCCTTGTAATTACAACACCCTGAACAGTGAACACTGAAGGGTCAGGCACTTTCAAAATTTTTTTTTTCTCCCCTTGCAAACCAACGGGGCAATCCACCAATCCATTTTAGAAGAGAAAAAAAATTCATGGACTTTCACAGAAAAATTTGTCTAAGACTCTGCCAGCTTGTTTTTTTTTTTTTTTTTTTTCCTACCTCCCTGTGAATTTTTGGGCAAAACCTGCTTCAATGTGTTCAGTGCTAGCAGTTTTTAGTTTTGTACAGAAACTATAAACAGCTTATTACTTAAATGGAGTAAACTTTGAATACAATTTCAAATTTTAGAGAGGACAAATTTAATTGATAAAACAAAAGCTGAAAGCCAACCCAGATAGAATGATTAACAAAAGTATAGCACAGATCGCAATTCATTGCAATTACGTCGTGGAATTACATATTGCTTTTATGCTGGAGTGATGTGGATGTTTTCCATTCACTGGTTGAAGGGGCTCCTTTTACTAAAATAGGTTGCAATTTTTTTGCATTTCAAATTGCCTTCATTTTCCATGAAAGGCATGAAATTTTGTTGAGCTCATTTCATCAAAGTTTTCTGACCAAATGATGTAAAAATATTGCAATTCCATGGTTAAAAAATTGCGTTTTATTGCATGAAGTTGCAAAATTATTTCTATATTTTCATTGCACTGTCCTAATTGGGAACTTACATCTGAACTGATTAATCACAATAGGGTATCTTCGGAAGAAAGAGGCAAGAAATTCTCTTCCCATCAGGAAAACAAAGCCTGCAGCTTGCTGACTTTCTTTCAGAATTGTTTAAAAAATATCAAGTAAAGAGAGCTTCAAAAATCTGGTTGCAAGTTCGTTTCGTAAAAAACACGATGCCAGTTTGGGATCCATGACTGTCAGAACATCAATTTGAAGATGTTAATACCAGTTAACACTGAACTGAGTACTGCGACAAGAGCAGAAAAATTTAACAGATGGACAAAGTAAGAATACATAAATCAAAGTTAGGTCATTGAAAACAGCAATTTTGAATCAAAAGAAGGTAAAGTTTTCCCAACTTTAACAAAATGATGACCATCAAAATTGCAATCTCAAAGTTATGTTAAAAATATTAAAATAAAATCCTCACTTTGCTATAATCGTCGGACAAGATTTCAAAGGTGACTGCTTCTGCATCAAAACAACGCTCAAACTTCATGGCTAAATTGTCAACCTCAAAACACCTTATTCGTGGTTTATAAATTCCAGCTGCCATTATGTAATTCCCATCTCTTGACATTCTTATTGAGGTGCTGACACCTGGCATTTCGAAGTCCTGAATGAGCTCTATCCTTTGTCGGATATCTGGAGGGCAAACAAAAAATGAAGGATAGATATAAAGCTGGATTTCATTGGTAAAAAAATTTAGATGACTCAATTTAAGATGAGGATGAGACAAACTCAAATTTAGGGGAAAAATATTGGAACTGAATCTGGGCACAGATTAGCGATTATCAGCCAAAAAAAGAATTTATCTGCCTATTTATCCATACATTACACATGCACTATTTTGAGAGTAAGTGATTACACCTTCATTATAAATCTATAATTTTGAATCATTCCTACAGTACTTCATTTACTGCACTGACCGTAAAACTGAAAAAAGTATCTCCTTTCAATTGTTTTAGAAGCATTTAAATCCATTTAACCCTATATGAATGTTTATTACTATTACTAAAAAAAAGAGGTATCTTCATTTAATAATTTAAATAGTATAACTTCTGTCACATTTTACATTTCAAAAGAGTGCCCCATCATTGTTTGTGCGCCAAGTTTTGTTTTAGTTTAATTATTTTTTTCAAGAATATCCTTCAATTATTTTGGGCAATAATGTTAGGTTGTGTTCTGGGTAATGAATACGACAGGACCAAAAATTTTCCAGAATCAAAATCAAGATCGGTGGTTTGGTAATTTCATCATCAATATGAAACTGATGCTGTACGTAGTAGGTATCATACATTACCCTCACTAAAACAGTCCTCCATTTCTATATTAGTAATAAAAAAATGAGTGAGTGAAGTAAAAAGAGATTAATCTTACCGACATCTTTATTGAGAAGTGCACGCCTCTTCCTGTCAGACAGCCACTGCACAAGATAGAAATTAGCTTAGAGATTATTAGGGTAAGGATAGAATTACTTTTGTAGTCGGAACATAGCCAGATCTAGGCATGGGCCATCTAGGCTGCAGCCTGGGGTGGCAAAAAAAGTTCGAAAGCGAAAACAGCGCCACTCCACCATGCTGCCAACACGGAGAGGCGACAATAAAAATGCAGACTATTGGTTTTCTTCTAACGAATTGTAAGAGCGACACTGGAGAAAATTTTAATTTTGACAAATGCCTCTACACACATTAATTTGACACCAAAACACAACTTCTTCTCCTGTTCCATTATAAAAGTCAACGGTTTGTGACTATCCCCTCCCCCCTCTTGTGATGACAGGTTTTGAGGGCGGAAAGACCTTGACAGCCTGGAGGTGGTAAATACGTAAATCCGGCCATGAGTCTGAAACTTATAAATAGGCGCGCCATAAGTAGCTGTGCACACAGACTCAAATCTTTAAAGGAGTTGATAATTATCATGATAAGTAAGATTCTGTAGTCAAATTCGTTTTCAAGTTACTATCATAATATTTATTATAAGGTCCCACCTTTACACAGGAGACAGTTACACTAATACAGGAGACCTTTACACTAACAATCTTCGGTTAAATTTCCTAACAATTCTCTCCTAAAATTGTGTTCTTTTAGCAATGTATAGCTACTACTGCTGAAATTATGATCTTTGCCCTTCTAACCACCTTCTTGATGCTCAAATTAGGTTATAGCTCTTGCAGTGGTGCAGAGTCCTCGCCAAATAAGTTTACCTACTTATAGACAGCGACAGAAGATCTACCTTTTGTGCAATGCTTAACTAACAGCACACGATCTTCTGTCGCAGTCTAAAAGTACGTAAACTCGTGTGGCAAGGACTCGGCTCTGCTCTAGTCATGGTGCCAGTATTACGAATTAGGTGATTTGGCAAGCTTTCTGATGTGGTTAAACTGGCATGTGATACATTGCATTGGTTACGTAAAAATCTCAGCAGATTTTGAATTTTTAGCCAAATGTAGGATGATAGCCCCTGCTCACGAGCCTAAAGAACCATTCTAAACCAAAAAATTGTTAAAGTGTGGGGAAATGAAAGCAGAATGTTGTTTAGAAAGAAAAAAAAAACCTCGCATTCGAAACAGAAGTTAATACCTGTATCTATTTCGAAGTTTTTTTCTGAACAGAATTCTACTTTCATTTCCCCTACACTTTAAAAATACAATGCGCAAGGGCTTTTGTCCTTGTTGTGGCTAAAAATTCAACTTCTGCTGGGGTTCTTGACCTAATCAATGCGATTTATCGCATGCTGGTTCAACCACATCGGAGAGCTCAACGAATCACCTAGAGTGCGGCCTGCAGATCTTCGGGGCCAATTTATACTGTGATTTGTATTTTTCCTTCTTTAAATAAATATATCAAATCAAAAATTATATTGTGATCTGAATTTTAAAAAAAAATCTGCATGCATTAATGATGTACACATAACTTACGTCTGGCAAGGATTTGCCTGCACTCAAGTTGTAGACTTTGACGTTATTCGGATCAAGCACCTGCATCCTTAAACTGAGAATAATGACACTAAGCTGGAATGAAATTCAAAATAATAATCATGGAATTCATGCTCAAAAAAAATTTAAAATTTTAAGTTCCTAAGTTTACCCACCACGACTCGCCCACGAGGCCCTCTTTTCAAATGTTTGAGGAACAGGTAGTAGTTTGTTATTGTTTATCTCAAGTTTATCTATCGCCAGGTCTACTATCCGTTCCAAAAGCATTGAGGGCCTCGCTGTTCTTGCTGCTTGTTAGTTTTGTTGAAGTTTTTATCAATTTTATCATTATCTTGAAATTGTCATTGCAAATCTTTTCTTTACCATTCTTCAGTTGTCAACAATTTCCTCCCTACACCTACCGGCATTTCTGAAAATAATAGCTTCAATTAGCACGTCTCCCTTCATCTCCAAGTGTTAGTGTTATTATAGGTTTTCAATCATTTGTTGCTATTACAACTAGTGGAAATCCTCAGCTGTTTGGTTCGGATAGGATTGTGGCTCTGGTAAAGTTCATTTGGGGTCAGTATTTCAGTATATTTTCATCATTTTTCCAGGAAGTAATTCTGTTACTTTTCCTTGAAGAGTTACATATTTCATGACATAGTTCAATTTTTTTTTATCAAGTGTAGACATGATATTGCCCCATGATGCTCAACTCAGCAACAGGATACATTACGCTCCTAACAGCTCCCCTGCGCTGAATATATTATGATTCCTCTTTTTATCACATAATTCAAAGTGCATGCTATGACGCTTGTAAAATCTAGTTGAAGGTGGTAATACACGACATAGCGATGAATATGTTTCTATTTTATTAGGCTTCAAAGAAATCTGAACGAAGCAACAAGTAATCGTATCAAGTTGCTTGGGTCACAACGTAACATCCACGCAATATGTATTTGCCACTCTATGGTGCACCATACTATAATATCTTAATCCTGGTCCATGATGAAGAGTGTTTAGATCGCCAGAATTATTTCTGATATTATTGTATTTATACACAAGCTTAATTTGATGATGGAAAAGTCAAACGAAGTATTGGAAGGTTGACTACTGTGGATGATACTTTGTCTAAATTTGGAACCACACCTCTAACATGTATTCAATAAAATCCCGAGGACCGCACTTTATGTTGAACAAAACCTGACATTGAAAATTCTATCACTTAATTGACCTCTGGAAGTTCTGAAGCTTGCTACCTACTAAAGTTGATGTCACCAAATGTTCTGCCACTTGCCATGTACAATAATTTCTCCCCTCTTCAACATTATCATTAAAGAAAATTCTATAACAGAGTATTATCGGCATTGAAGTTCCTCTCAGAGTTCTTCATTGACCCAATGTTAATGATGTTATTGTATGACCAGAGAAGATTTAAGTTTAGATAGTAGGTACCTGCCTACTTAATGTAAGTTACTTAAGCACTAGGCACTAATATATAGTGAAAACTTCAGAAACAGATCATGAGTCTATTCACATTGTTACTCCTTGATTTGTTCTGACTGCAGCCAGTTTGTTACACTGTGTATCCTGTGTAGTAACAAGCCCCCTTGTATGCACAAACTGTCCCCTAGTCATAAAAAGATCCAGCTTTTAAGTACAAAGACACCCATGCCTTCTGAGGATTATTTTGCTCCTCTCATTATTGGTGAAGAGGTAAATTCTGATGGAATTATCAAGTTTTACACAATCGACCCCATCTGCATTGCAGGGCCAGGTAAAGTAAGTAAAGCAAGACCACGAAAGATGATCCCTTCCCCAACTCCTCCAAGTGGTGATGTAATCCTTTTTGTGGCTCTCTCAGAAGCCATAAAAGTTGAGCATCGTATTTGCATGCACTAGAATGCTCACAAGTCATCATTCTGAATGTCTAATACTGGTTTGACTGTAGATTTTAGATTGAGACCGGCATCTGTTTTTTGTGGATTGTCAACTGTGTTACAATTGAGTATTTCCATGTAGTGCTGAGAAGAGTATTGGAACAAATTCAGGCTTTGATCAAGTCACCAACAGTTATTATTAGCTTTGTTCAGCCAGTCCCTAGTCAAGTTGTCTGGATCAATTTATTAATAGATTTTCCTTTTCCACCCTTTTTATTTTTTGCTACACTGAGGAAAATCGCCAGTACTTTAACTGAATTTTGCACAGATTGTGTGACTCAATTACGTATCTGTTTCCAGAAGTGAATGAAAGAAGTCACATTTCTAATTCCACCCTTCAAAAAAATTTTGTAGCACAGATTTTTATAAGATTTATACATACATCTAGGTAGTGCAAAAACAAGGCCAGTGTTAATTATTTGAGAAAATATTCTCAATGTTGCACAATTTTTGCAACATGCTTCTATGCGGTCTCCTAGCACTTTCATGAAAGCTTTTTTTTTGTTAATTTATCACTAAAGCTCCCACTGAAGGTTCGCTTTTTTTATACTTTTAAATGTGCCACTATGAGACAGGAAAATCAATCATGTCAATGAGTTATTTTCATGTTCTCATTGCCATTTGATGTATTCATTGTTGTGGTTTCTCCATAAATGCAGTGGATGTTTGAATTTTTCTCAAATTGTGTTTCTGTCTAAGAGTGGCAAATTGCGAATTTTTTAAATAATTATCAATACTAATGTTATTGCAGGATGGCGTCTGAGTCTGAATATCTATCAGCAGAAGTGTTAAATGCAGATGATAACCACAATGAAAGCAAGAAAAAGTTGGATTATACACCCAAACTAAAGTGGCCAGACTTGATAGCTCAAATTTTTATACATGGAGGTGCCTTGTATGGATTATACCTGACGATGACTGCTGCAAAAATAGCAACTACTCTGTGGGGTAAGTTTTTTATAACTTTAAATATAAGAGGAAGTCAGGGTTTAGACTCAGGCCAGCATGGTCTAAAGTCATTAATTTTGGACCTGAACTGTCATTTAGTGTAGGAGTTTACGACAAGGAATCAGTTACCTTTAGCCCCTACACAGTCAATTTTTCATGTGAAGTAAACTGTTCCTTGGGTTATGTTTTCATTTGAAAGTTAAATGTAACCTTGTTGTGGACGTCCACTAATTTCTATGCTAATGAAAAAACATTAATTCTTGGTCACACCACAATTCAAAAGTGAACAGACGAATTCAGGATTTTTTTTTGTGTCTGTCTCGACAGATGTCAATGGAAAGTTTCCTACATGCTAGTGCTGTGCTGGCTCACATTCTGAGCAGTCACAATGGACTTATTTTGATTTCTTGAATTCGTTAAAATTCATTTTTTTTTTTGTTAAAGTGTGTATACCACAGCTAAATCCAGCAGGAACTTTCAATTTCCTGTCCACGGATTTAATTAATCTCCTTCATAGTTATGTTCTACTTCGTTTGGAGGTTTTAAAGAGGAAGATATGAAAAAATTCTCCCAAAAAGCATAACATAATCTAAACATTGAGAATGTGAGTCAAGAATCAATCTAGCGTCCTTTCATTAAGGAGGTAGATACATGACTGTAGAAATAAGCGGTCTTACTTGAGAAACAAGTGTTCCGGTGACAATGCTCATACTGCATCACAGAAAGCCAATTGCTGAGCGACTCCAATTGAATTTTGCATGCAAAAACCCCAGATCTTCCCCGCTGTTGTTAGTAGCTCTCCCAACCCCATTCAAAAAAATTGATAAATACAAGTACCTCAAAGTCATCTTTAGTACCTAAAAGCGAAATTTCAACTTGTTATCTGGATTACACTTAGGGACCTCCCTTTGAAAGTACATTAGGTACATATTGATGTATACATCTAAAATCATCATGTGTAAAAGTGTACCTGTTGGAAGTCATGAAAATTAGCCAAGTATCTGTTCCCACCCAAGTCCTAAGTGATGCTCAACCTTAGCAAAAGAACTTCCATGGCTGCATGTGTAGGTAAGGATATTTCAAGAATTGAATCTCTTGCTCATTAGGAACACTCAAACATTCCTGTTCTTTAACTATCAAAATTTATGATCATAAAATCTCCTCTACATCAGAAAGTAAACTTGATTAGTTTGTGTGCAACATGCTCAACTGCATCTCGAATTTCATATTAATCCCCCATGAGCATTCTAAGGATTTCTGTTCTATACACCGAGTATTTTTCATTTGAATTTGGCTGAGGAGGGGTGAGCTGTTTTCCTTTCTAAGAACAAATATGGTGTTTTCCTTTCAACCTTACGATACGATGTAAGATTCAGGATTAGTCACTTTTTTTTGTTTTGTCTCATAGCTCTCAAGTATTGATTATTTTTTAAGAACGGATCAGTGGCACTTGGCTTTTTTTAATTCATTTGCTGACAGCACGGAGTGAGCTATGCTTCTTGGAATTTCCTTAGATTTTTTTAGTCCTTAATGGCAAAGAAGCCCCAGTTTGAAAACGTCTAAAATGGGGCCTGTTCGAAACAAAAACAGAGAGCTCTGCTAACGCAGCCAGATGGTGGAAATGGCGTTTGCTAATTGGCTGAGCTCAGCCTCAGGCATCACCTTGCTACCTCAAATCAGCTGTCAACATTTGAGGAATGGGATTTTGATTAGCTTCGTCTCCCTGTAGTTATACTTTTTTGAACTTTTTAATGCTTTCTTTGGTTTTTTCACAAAACTTTAGATGAGAGGAACCTCACTACAATACTGAATAAATTCCTCGCCACTGCCCCACTCTACTTGGCAACCTCTAGAATTTTAACTTATTCCATTCCTATATTCAGAGACAGTTCAAATACACTCTCATCAACTTTAATTAACAGTGAATCATACATCAATTCTTACCTGGATAAAATATCATTCAAATTCAACCTTTCATATGGTTTTGAACATTATGCCCGGTCCTCAACTCACCAGTTGATGAGTTTAATAATTTCATAGTTCTTATCAAATTTCCTGTTGGTAACTATACCAATGCCTTTGTAACAGCATTTGCTTTTGATTGGTGGGCAGGCTCTGCTCGTAATTCTTTTCTCTCATATTTTGTAATTTATTTCATGTTTAAACTGTCAGAATAAAAAAGGTTAACAGATTTTCTGTTTTTTTCAGCTCTCGGAATGATCTACCTCTCAGGGTTTGGAATTACTGCAGGTGTGCATCGGCTGTGGTCACACCGGGCATACAAAGCCAAGTGGCCGCTACGCCTTCTTTTAGCATTTCTCTTTACAATCTCAGGGCAGGTGAGAAATTTGCTGAGTTTTGAATTTCATAAATTCTGCAGTGGCTTAGTGTTCAATAATTTAGATTGAAATTATTTTAAACGGCAAAAGTGTATTAATCATTATGCACTTAATATTCTCATGTTGTGAAAAAGAAGCTTTTTAAAGCACAATGTATCCTCAAAGGGATATGTTGTTCATTGCAACTCTAGTTACCATGTCGTTCAACTCTAATACATTAATTAGTAAGGCCACTGACAATGCCTTTAAGAACAACTGATCCCATATCGATGGTGAAACTACCCGAGCACGTATCTTGTTTGCTGTGTTTAAAAATCTCTGCTCCCATTTTATTTTTTTTAAGAAGAACAAATCAATATCATCGCTTGAAATTTTCACAGAGTTTTCTTTGCAAAGCGATGAAAAAACATGAAAGTTTTCAAGAATTCACGTTGAGTGGTCTTCCCTTCAAAAATAAAGTATAACAGGAAGTCTACAACTTAGCAAACCGAGATACAAGGTCTGGTAGTTTCACCATCGATGTGAAGCACAGTGCAGCCTCCTGATTCTCTTGTTCCTGCTCTCCAAGGAAAAAGTTATCTATGATTAAAATTTGTGGCTCAATTTTTAATTCACTCAATGTATAATTGATAACATATCCTTCCTGTCTCGGCAGTTTGTGTATTTTACAACAATTGTTTGTTATACAAACGTTTAATTTCTTTGAAGTACCAATTTTTATTTTCAATAGGTATCAGTCATGAAACAGTGAATAACGAGAACAAAAAGCTCCTGGAAAAAGAATTGAAAGAATCTTGATTGACACTTACTTTCTTTTTCGCCCGATGAAATTTTCATTTTTAAAATTCATCGGGCGAAAAAGAAAGTAAATGTCAATCACGTAGTTCCCGATAAAGAAACAAAGGATTAGTAGTAGTGAAAGAATCTTATTTCAATGGCTAAGAAACAATACCGCCTACCTGGCAAATTTAACTAAAATGATATTTTTACTGCATTTTACAGTTTAAAATACGCAAGCTGATGTTTTTAGTTTTTTCCCATTCTGCACAGGAGCGCTGTAACGAAAAAAAAAAATTGCAAACGTAATCTCTAAATTACAAAAATGGCAAAGTTTTTTTTGGACCCAATAAATTTTTTGCATTTAAGCGTAGGCATTATTGTTTCCTAGCCATCGTTTTGCCATTCAAAGCAAGTATGTTGTGAGCAAGGGATTCAAAAACTAATTATATTGTTACAAAATTATCACAGAGCTACAGATTGTAGAGCAATCTGCCCACAAGACTGGTTTAACTGTTGAATCAAGATTAAATCACAACTTGCACTGCACATTTCAATTCACATGCTGGTATATTCACAGCAATTTTATAGGAGAAGCCTGTAGCCAAGAGGCAACTTAAGCCCACATTACAGCTTTAACTCTCAATGAAAGATAAAAAAAAGCTGCAGCTGTAGTAGTAATGAGCCTAGGTCGTCTTATCTGTTTGTTTTTTCCACGGAGTTACTGTGAACAGACATATCCTTGAAATTCAAGATTGCAATTTGCAGCACATGCTGTGTTTGAATCTCAATTTAAATCGCAAGACAATATTTTTTACATAAAATATTGAGATACTTTGGCATCAGAGTGTCTTCACTTGGTTTTTTTCCATCTTTCTGTATCTCATATGTATTGTTACATTAGCGGCACATATACGCATGGGCATTAGATCACCGGGTTCATCATAAATACAGTGAGTCAGACTCAGATCCTCATGATGCAAGGAGAGGATTCTGGTTTGCCCATGTTGGATGGTTGTTCCTGACACCTCATCCTTCAGTGGAGGCCCGAAGGAAGGCGATTGATATGACTGACCTTGAAAATGACCCTATTGTCTACTGGCAAAGAGAGTGAGTCAAATACTATTTTCTCTTATGTTCTCATGGAGACAATTAGAATATTAACAACCATTTTGAAACCTCTTAGATCTTTATTTAGAGACATTCATTTTAAAGAATCTGGTTTGGAATAATTATAAACATTTTTTCCCCCCTCTTTTTACTTTCTTACTCCCCTTGCGGGTAGCGGAAGTATTTTTAAGTTCTAGATTAGTTTAGTCCTAGATGATTAAATAGGGGAGACTCTACTGAAGATGATAAAATTACCAAATTTTCACTCTGATTAGAAGTCTCCCAAAAGATACCGTGAAGTTGAGTTCTCATACAAAAACGAACAGGGCTTCATTATTTTCCTTAAATCTGGCCCCTTTGAAAAACCATCATTCGGAATTTTTTAATCTCTTTGCAAGAATATCTCAGGCTCTTCTATCTCAGGTATTTAAGCTAGAGACCTTTAATTTTTTCCTTTAAGATTTATATAGTTTCATCTTTTATTCATTGCAAAAGGAAGCAACTTTGGTTGTTTGACCAATTTTTTCACTTTTTTGGTTTTTTTAAAACACAGACAAGGTCTCCAGCTCACACTGAATTTCTTGCACGTTTAAAGTGTAAAATTTTACAGAATTTCAATGAAAGGGGCAAGTTATGCAATTGGCCTCACTAAAATTTGGAGAAATTTCAATTTTCTAACTATCCTCTTCCAAAAAATTTTAAGTCTTAAGGTCACCGAAAATGCGGGATGTTTCTGAACCGAATCATTTCCTCAATAAAATCTGAAAATCGCTGTGTAAAAAGATTGATTTCAGAAACAGTAACAAATGCAATTTTAATATAAAAACTCTTCAATACTAGGCATCGCTTCTCAACTTCTGAGAAGGATCAAATATTCCATGTTTTAAGTGAGGTGAACATTTTTTTCCAATTATTTGAAACTCACCAATTAATTCATCACCATCCCTATCAATTATAAAGACAAAAGTTAAGAATGGATAATAATTGTTTTTGTCCTCTCTCTGATTTTTTCTAGTGTAATTTTCTTTTTACATCAGGCATTTTCTGCATGGAGATCTACCATTTCTTTATGATCATACATTTGGCAAAAGTTAGGCAGGTTTGCATCCTATTTAAAAATTATTCAAGTTAAAAAAATTCAATTTTACCTATAAAGTAGACATATTTCTAGCCTAAGTTTATTGAAATCAGATAGAATGCTTAGGACATTAGTTTCCCAAGATCGCCATTCCTGGTTAAGATGCTGGAGGCAAAAGTTTTTATAGAACATTACAACTGGCTCGGATGAAAGAGATGTGTGCCTCAAATTATCAAAAGGTGAAGTTACAATATTCCACAAAGAGACACAATATAGGAGTACTTATTGTATGTGCACTGTTGCACAAGGTAAGGTTTCATTGAAGTGAATATCTAATAGACTTTGGATTTTTTTTTTTTTTCAGAATGTACATACCTCTGTTTGCTCTCCTATGCATTGGACTCCCAGTTTTTGTTCCTTGGTACTATTTTGATGAATCTCTTTGGATCTCCTTCTTTGTCTGTTTCAACCTAAGGTTTTCGGCAACATTGAACCTTGCTTTTTCTGTTAATAGTTTCGCTCATATGTATGGATTTAAGCCCTATGACAAGTAAGCCAATCTGTGTGTTTTTTCTTTATTGATAATTTGTAATCCTATTTTAAGGCTTTGTAACTTTTGTCAGACTGAATCTCTAGAATCTGAGCTCGAACATTTCCTCTCTTCGTGTAATTATTGTGAAGTTATTTTCCTCAACAAACTTTGACACTAATAGTTGCTCTGTAAATGAGAAGGGCAGTAATGAATCCATTTCTATATCAACAGCTGCCTCAAATAATTTCAGTCGGTTTTTAGTTTCTCATCTAACGTGTCAAGCATCTTGTGGCAATCAGCACAAGATAAGTACGCAACCTCAACACAAAGCAACCTTGCCTGAATTGTCCTTTTACCACATCACTAGTGCTGAACACTAATTTAAGAGGTGGCTCTGCCCAATAATGTAGGCAGGCAAATTTGTCTCTCATGTAAATCATGACAACTTCACTGCGCCAACTTATTTAACAACTTGGAACCACAGTTATTTGTAATTTGTACAATATTCTAGACAAGAGTAGTTTCTCTTCATCCTCTTAGCCAATACGTCTATGTGTCTCTCAGCAATCAACGAAAGTGATACAAAGATTGTGTTTTCATCCAAGGGAAAGCATGTAGCAACATGCACTATTACAAAGGTTGTTGGTTTTACAATTGGATTGCTGTACATTCTTCTTTTCAACGAAACTGCCCTTATTTTTTGCCATTTTAATCCTCTGCAATTTACTTTCAGAAACATCATGCCAACAGAAAACATCTTTGTGAGTTTAACAGCCCTAGGAGAGGGCTGGCATAACTACCATCATGTGTTTCCTCAAGACTATAAGACAGGAGAGTTTGGTACGTATGGAATGAATTTTACTACAGCGTTTATCGATGCTTTTGCCTATCTAGGACAAGCTTATGACCTAAAAGCTGTCGATCCCGCATTGATCAAGAAAAGAGCTGCTCGTTCAGGAGATGTATCGTGTAAGGTGTCAACTGAATAAAAGCAGTTTGGGTAGTTTATACTCACTCCATATCTTGTCCCAGTCCTGCCGCAAGTCCAACTTGTTTTAATAAAGCAACTTCATGATTGGGACAACAAAATAAGTTTATCATGTATGAAAATAACTGAGAGTGGTATTTGTGTCTTGCTTTGAAGCCTAACTGAGACTTCTTGTGCCTGTACTTTATTTATTGTTAGTCTTTGAGAATTCACTAATTTTACAAGCCATTTTGCATTCAATGCCTTTATACCAATGAATAGCGTAGCTTTTGATAATTTTCTCTACAGTATTACTTTTTTTGACTGATGATAAAGTTTAACTTTCGTTTAGGTTTTCGAATTTATTGAATTTTTAAATTTTAAAGACTCGTTAATGTTGTAGTAGAATTTATTGTTAGCCAGGTCTCAGCTGTCGGTAGATAGTGATCAAATCAATGAATCCCTCTGTTTGTGTTTCTTTGCTATCTAAATTATTTGCAAGTGTGACCAGTTTTTATATGAGCCTTAGTAACATTTTTCAACAGACATCATTTCAAGCTCAATGGAAATAGTATACCTAGTCTCAATTTAAGCACAATTTAAGCCCAACCTTAAAATCTAATGTAGGTAATCCTTCCTTCTTTTTTTCCTTTTTTTCATTTTAACTCTATTTTACATTCCCCAATTTCAATCCCTGATTCTTTTTCTCTTCAATTCTTTGGTATGATGGTATGAAACCCTACACAACCCTTAATCCTCCAGGGACAAGCCACAAAAATTCATCTTATAAGGTCCATCGAGATCAAATTAACATCAGTTGCAAGCAGTATCAACAACGTCTAATACCTAGGTACCTATTGAAAAATATGACAAGTCATAAATTTTATTTTTATAGAATATGAGCATTATACCCAACCGAATGCTTTTGTATAGAATTTGAAAATACTGCTGTCAAGATCCTAATATCTGTTTACAATGATTCCATGATCCAATGATCTTCCACCATTTCAAATGCCTTTTCCAATTAATAGCTTCAAAATTGAAAGAGGCTTGATTTTGTTAAATGAGATGAAATGAGAAGTTTTTGAAACTGTGTTCCATTTGGAAAATGGAGAAAGAATCTAGCGGTTGGCATGTAACCTTGATGAAAACTGGTCATTCTTGTTCAACTCAAATCTCAAGATGAAGGCGATAGCCTCTTCTCTATTCTTGGATTTGCTTAACCTTCTCATACAGTTGTGTTTCCTCGTTTGAAAGTTATACTGCTGAGCTGAGGGAATATTTAGTAAGTCAATTATAATGTTTTATTTTTTACAAACTAATCTCCAAGAGAATGTACGTGTTTTTTTCATGCAGTTGTAATTATTAATCTTCATGTAATTTATCAGTTAAAGATCATACTGAAATTATTCCTGGAGGGGTGCAGAAAGTTTGAGGCCTCCCCCCAAATTTAATCGGTTTTCTCCTATTTTTAACGAAAATTCAAGATCGCTCTCCCTGAAAATGGAAAAAAAAAAAAAAAAAAAAAAAAAAAATTACCCAAAAGTCAAACTTTTTTACTGGTTAAATGCTGCATTTTGCATGGGGTTTCTCTGTATCCCCCATTTTATGCCACAGACACACAAACAACTGGGCCGGTTGAGTTGTCGGAAATTTTCTGCTCCCCTGTATTTCTGGGAACAATTCTCTTGGACTATCTCCCTTCAAAATATTTTGTTTCAAAAAAACCAAAAAGTGCAATTCTGTGACTACTTTTTTCTTGGAGTAGCACTGCAACCCAGCCTTTAACTAGACTATGAAAAATTAGAAAATAATAACCGATCTGAAGATTGAAGGTACAAAACATAGCTGGTGTCCCCAAATCTACTGAGTGAGGTTCTCTTTGTTAGAATTTGTATCTTATTAACTTTATGGGCCAAATGCCTGAAGACATTTCTTTTAGCCGTGATAGTATGCAAAAGTATCATAATTTTTATCACCACGGAAGTTTAATTTTCAGGATTTTTTCTTGAAATTGAAAAAGATATTTCAGCACAGTGTCACGCATCTCCACTTGGTCCTGTTTATAAGCTTAATTGTGCTTCTGATGTCAATACTACAGTTTGCTTTTGTTTTTCTGGGCTCCATCAATTTTCTACCTCAAAGCTTGTGCTAATTTTTTTTATCTTCTAATTGATGCAATTTTATTGTGTACAGCTTAATTTCAATTCCGTATCAACTATTTTTGGCTTAATGAACTAAGTCTTTGTATTCCTTAGCAAATTGTATATCAATGGTACAACTGCAGAAGTGCATATCTTGGAAAACATAATTTTTCAGGAGAGCAAAAAAAATAGTCAGAAATACAGCAAAATACCTATCGAGATTTGTATTTTCAGCCCTAATCTGACACTATCCCAAAATACGCGAATTTAGCTTTAAGGTTCTGAGCCAGTTTTTCAAATATGTAATTCAATCAAATCAGGTACAGACAAAGAGTGTGGAAGAACATAGTGATTAATCTAACCTAGTAGTAGCATCTGTGAATTCAAAAAAATTCCTAATTGCGATTTTAAGCTCTAATTCTGGCTAATTGATCAAAAAGCATTTTTTAGCTGCACGTTGCGCTACAGTGCTACGTGCTACAGAGGTAACATCAAATGACTCGGCTCTGTTTTTGATTTTTCTACGAACACTGCAATTTTCTATGCAGATAGTAGAATCACACAGGAGCTGTAATGAGATGTACCTTTTGGGAAGTAGTGGCAAGCTGCGCACGGTAATTGAATCACATTCTTGTATAACTTTCCAATTTTTATAGAAAAATATCCAGATGGTAGACGAAAGACATCTTCTGCAGCTCATTATGCTCCCAACTGAAAACTGTTAAAAGCAAGGTACGTTCTTTTGCAGTTTCACCATCGACATTGGAATCGTACTTATGTTTTGATAAAATAATTTCTCTGTGCTGTTGCTGCCTTTTTTATTTCTTAGCATCTGGTTTTTCAGTCACTTATAAATAGATCTCTGAACAGTCAAATTCTCATAAGAAAATAATACCTGTGTCCATATAAAACTGAGATGCTGGATGCAGCGATAATTTTAATTTCCTGTCTCCGTCCAGTGCATTTGCCAAAAAAAATGTGTATTTGCAGATGAGAAAATCTGTTCTATTGTATATTACTTATACCTATAAAAACCAAAGATTTTTGCCAATCATAGGTTTTCAAAATTACTTGGAAAAACCGATTATATTTGTATTTACTATATTTTGTGAAGCTTACTTTTTTCAGTTTTTAATCAAAACTGAGGAATAACATGAAATAAATAATTATATTAATGAAAGGACCAATAGCAAATTAAATTAATATTTTGTACCTAATGATTAGCTTACATTGTTTTTTGGGGTCATCCACCCCCTCTGTATCAGTGATGAAATAGGTTGCATGTAGATCTGAGACTGATGAGCGCTATGTAATCAATAGTATAATTTTTTAATTTAAAAAAATGGGAGTTGGGCATGAAATCACATCACCAATATGGAATGCTTGATTCACTTTACATCGCACTGATTACTACAAGTTTGTGTTATTGCCCACTAAAAATTCATATTTTTTTCAATATGGGCTTGAACAAAAAATTGTTTAGTTTTTTTTCAAAAACACCTGAATTATCCAACACACACTGGGTGGATGACCTTCATTTTTATTTGCAAATTGTGATACAGATTCATTTCTTTTACAAGCTTCATACTATTTTTTTTCTGTGTGTGTATGCAAAAATGGTACAAAATGATCGTAGCTAAATATATTTTATTGTACTAATTTTCATGTTTTGAAATCCTCTTCAGTTCCAATTGCTGAGTGTTGATTTTCTCTTTTTATTCTTCGAAAGTATACTTTAAGCAGTTTAAGGAAATGTACAAAATATAAGACTGGAAGTGTACTGGGACCCAATCAAATTGAAAACCACCTTCTTTTGTGGTGGTAGGTTAGGTTTGAATCCAACACAAATGGTAATATTGTAACTGGTTCTTCTTTAATTCTTTTGAAATTAACTTCATGCTTGGCAGTGAGTAAAATTTCACTTCGTTGACTCAGTTTTCTGCAAACACTCATGAGCAAAGTCCTATTCTTTCCCTCATTTTTTGCAGTTTTTCTAGCTATTTTATGGCAGCATATTTGAGGGATGAAGACTCATAATTGATACTATAAGTATAATAACTCATATTTTTTTGTTATGTTCCTGTTTTGGCAATCTATGAACCAACTTTGCTGAAATGAATATTCATTTTATGAGCCTGCATAGAGTTAAATTCTGGTCAATAAACCGAAGAGGCAAAGGTTTCAAAATATCCACTTTACCTCTCTCTTTTTAGAAGTATTCTTTATTCGATCAGATGAGATTTGGCCTGAAGTATCTCTCTGGTCACAGACAAAAATGCCTATTTTCAGTCATAACCAATGGAACTTGTTCCTGCAAAACAGGGAAACTTATTACCAAAGGAAAACACTTCTCCATAGTAAATTTCCTCTTTGTAATGAGTACTTCTGTCGTACCAAAACAAGCAAACGCTGTGACATAATGTCAACTTTATCTTTGTTTCCATTATCATTTATCTCAAAAATCGGAAGTAGTTGCTTTCCAGCCATTTTTTATGAATTACAGGCTCACTATTCCCAATTTTCTATAAAGAAACATTCAAGCATCACCATCATATATTTTATAGTTACTAATGCAAAAGGGTGTGCTGCATAGCTTGCCTCAATAAGTGGAGCAATCAGTACTAAACACTCGTTTTGTTAAAGTTTAAGAGAAGTTTTCTTCATAGAATATTCTAATTTTCTTTTGAGGTATCAAATCACATGTTTTAGCTGAGTAGGTGAACCTAAATCCATTTTTTTATTTTCTCGGATAAAAACTGAACTAACCCTAATTCCGAAGTAAAAGATGAAACCTAATAATTTGATCTTAATTTTTTTCCCTCTAAAATCTGTATGCCTTTCGAGTTTTACTTCCTTGTTGTCTGTTTCCTAATTTATTTGTATACCTACTTATTTATTTATTTATTTATCTATGTTTTGGTTCATCGGCTGATTTACTTAGATTATTATTACTTGTCTTTGTTATTTTATTCTGTTCAATGAATTGCAGATTTATCAGTGTTAACTCCTAGTTCAAATATTTTTCAACGTTAGATTCCTATCTTGTTTTAAATGTTCCTTTTGCTTTTATTCTCTAATTTTACTCTAACTAACTCTTATTTTGTCAGGAATCCTATTAACTTTTTTCTTTTTCGCCTCCAGTGTTAATTTTTCACCTTTAAATTGCTTGTAAATCTAACGACTTTAATATCAGTAAGATCCATCCTTGTAAACCAGCTTTGGATTTCCTTTCTTGAAACTTTAATTGATGAAAGAAAGATATAGACTTAAAATATGTATCTTTACAGTGTCCTGAAGGGCTCATTGATAAAAGAATATCATTCACCAATAGGTAGTATATTTCGCATGAACATAGTAATTTTGCTTAGCTGCCTCAATCAAAATTATGAAAGAAATTTTTTGATCAGAGGTTTGTAATCTAAAATTATTAGAGTCATTTATAGAGCCAAATAAGTTTACACAGTTATAGACTGAGACAGAGGATCTGCCATCTTGATTTTTTTTTATTTATCTTCAATGCTAAAATGAACTCGGCAGGTGTTCTATCACTCTGAAAATGCATGAACTAATTTGCCATACATTGCATGAAATAAAGAAATGTAATTATCGCCCATGTGTTCTGGACCATTTCTTTTCTAACGTTACCAACAAAAGATCTGTGCATCCAGTTAAATACATATTGTCTACTCCATAGAAGTAAATGTGACTTAATATATCAAGCTTCTTAGGGTTTTTTTTTTTACAGATTTCTCGCGAAAGAAGCCCATTTTTTCAAGTGCAATACTCCTATGTAATTAATTGAATTCTGCAATACTTATACCAGCCTATGATTTGTATAAATTTGATGTAGGTTCAGTATTCGAGGTTTTTAATCCTCAAAAAAATGTAGGTATTCATGCCCTCAAATATATACCTCTCTGAATATTTATGGCTCTGATGAAATTCTTATCTCATCCCTGTACTCTTTATCTCTCGGACTTTAAAAATTTGCAGATTCAATGTTTAAAGTACAATTTTGGTTTCAGTCTCCCTTTGTAATCTCGTCTTGAATTAGTCATCAACTTCCATGCTTAGTTTCTACCTACTCATTTTGTTATTAAGACAGACAACCTAGTTGATGTAGATCAAAGAAATTGACTGGAAGAGAACCACATAGTGTTTCTTTTAGTTAATAATATATTTTTGTATTCGTCTACAGATTTATTCAAATTTCTTTTTTCTGTTTTTTTTTTTCTTTCAATCAGATGCAATTTTTTAATATTTTAATCATTTTTCCACTGTTCAGAGCTATTATTAATGGTTCTAATTGCAGAGGTAATGAAACACTTTCATCATTTCAGTTGTGTTCATTAGAAAATTTTATGTTGACCTTGCTTTGAATGTCCGTTTTCACCTTCAGCACACCTCCCCCTCTTTTGTGAGCGTATGCACGTGTTTCTCATGAGAGCGTTTGATCATGCAGCCTTCTTGATAACTAGATGATTGAAGGAATTAGGGCACTCTTTTTCTAGATGTGCACTGACTAGATGTTTTTATCTTATATTTGTCCTGCTACTGTTACCCTACTAAATTTTCAGTTCAAACAAATCAATTCATTTCTTTTAGTTTATTTCATTTATCATCATAATTTTGTAATCTTTTTCTTTACACTTGGTACGGATTTATAGACGGGAACTGTAAATAGAGTTTCCGACTCCATCTTCCCTTTTCTGCTCAGTAATTAAGACATATTTTACATATTATTCTTGAATTGGTTCACTGATCACAGAGTTGAGGTTCACCACATGCTAAATGCTCTTTTCATAAGAAAAAGAAATAGATGAATTGGGTTTTGTGTTTAATGCATTTTATCAGGATACGCTAGGACTCTACTTATTCATCTTTTTATTTTCTACTTTTTTACCATACCACATGCTGTAAACATACTTTACTGACAAGTGCATCGGTGACTATACTGACGGACAAATTCTCCAAAAAAAACTCAGGATTTTTTAAAATTGCATTTGCTTTATTTTTGTGCAACCATCCACAGGTACTTGTTTATTGCACTCACTACCTCCATGTAATGTGTATTTGTTATATTTCCTCTCATGCAAAAGTATCTGGAAAGCCTTTTCTCCTTTTGTCAATCATCAGGATATTGATGTCAAGATTCTATTAGCCAAAGGATATTCTTGATCCCATCTTCAAACTAGAATTATAAATTCTCCTTGCTGGAAAAATCAGAATAGTTAATTAAGTACTTCAAGTTTTTTTTTCTTCTTTTTTTAACCTTCATCCCACCTTGATGCGTGGAACAAGTCGAATTTTGAAAATTATACAGTCAATGAAACTTCTAAATAATAATTGTGTAGGCATTTTGAAAGAAAAATATAAAATGCATAGTACCTGTATCAATGTGAAACGGAATTTTTCTTTTTTCCAGTGAAAACTGGCTTTTGACCAAGGGGATGAGATTTTAAACGACCATTAATAATGTTTAGCATATTATTTGTTGCCTTATTTTTTGCTAATAAATTGTGATTATTTAATTTTAAACCTCGCTTAAAATGAGATATGCGTTGTCTACTTAAAAAATGTTATACTGAAATTGATGATGGTGCACTCCTACCATGTAAGCAGCATAGATGCTTTGTATATCTCTATGCTCGGTTGATCACCTTCAGATTCCATGTCTTTCCTTTTATTAAAATGGAGGAATTGTTCTTGAACTTCTTTTCATGTGGTAGTTACAGATTCCGTCTATGATTTTTTGGAACTACTTTTCATATAGATTGTATTGGGATGGGACCCTTGTCAGTTTGTAGTCTTATAATAAATTATTCTGAAGTAAAGTTCAAAATTTAAAAATCCTCTTGTTTTATGAAACCTCTATGGCCATAATGTATAACAAACTGTACATATGTTACAATAAAAACTCAGATCAGTTAATTCTAAAATTCATCAGTCAAAACTAACTTTTACGAAAGAGGTTTGTGGAAACTAGCCTTTGATCAGAGAATTCTAGAACCAACTAATTCGTGGTTTTAACATATCTAAATGCACTGAAAAAAATAGATGTTTTTTTTAACTCTTACTTTTAAAATTATATTATTAAAATACAAATGGTGTACATTTTGCAACAAGGAACTACTATTTCTGGCTCATTTTAAAAACATCACATGTGCTGTTAGTTTCCCTGTGCAGATGGATGCTTCTATGGATGAGCCTGATAGTACGTACTCTCTAATTGCAAAATATGACCAAAATATTTTGGTATTCAGTAGGTAGTGGTGAACACAAAAGGGCACATTCAAGAGGAATAAATGTCATTTGACAGTAAAAAAAAAGTCACTGATTGCCACCCTTTTAAATTTTGAGGAGTTCTTGGAGCAAATTCTCCCTAGCCTCGCTCGAGTGTGTCTTTTTTCAAGTTCCCAGGGTACCTAGTTAAAGGTCAAATATTAAACTTATGAAGTGTGTTTGCATTTTCACTTTAGATTGTGAGGGAATTAATAGTTCACCTAACAGAGGCTCCATCAGCGTTTTGGTGCCTGTAATGTCTTGAAAATAAGTTGAAATTAATTTAAAAGCATTCTGAATATTTGGGTACTACATGCTGATACGTAGGTAAGGACAGAGTCTATCCTTATCTCTGACACACTCAGATATCGTTTACGGACCAAAGATATTTTTTGTTTTTTTTTTTTTTTTTGTTTTGAGACTTTTAGATAATTAAGTGTAAATGACCCAAATATTCTTGGACGATTAATATTCATTTCAAGCCTAAAGTACCTACTTTTGTACATACCTACTTAAGCTATGTTCTGGTATTGGCTTTTTACTTATTCTAAGTTGCAAGGAGTCAGCTGAATGAAGAAATAATGTTTTAGATGTAGGAAATTTCTTTTACCTTTTACTTTGTTAATTTTCATTTTACGTCCCATGTATACCTGCATGTGAGCCATGTTTTGATCTTTACTTCTTTCTTAACTTAAGTTCTGGACGTAAGTTAACGTAAGTTCTGGACTTAGGTCCCAACTAGATGAAGAGATTTTGTTTGTATACCTGAAATATTATTTACTTTTGAATTGCCTGAAGTCATTGAACAGTTTCAGATTAGCTAACAAACATTTGATGTAAAATGCTCTTTTCCGGAATCACTCTGCATGAATCATTTGTATTCACTTGTGATTTTATTTTACAAGGGTGGATTTTTAAGTAAGTTTATCCTCCCTTTTTTGTTCTCTAAAACTACCAGCGTCAGGGGAAAAAAGAAGAAGAAAAAAACCCTGACAAACCAGCATCCAAGTAAACAAATTCTCAGCTTCATAATGAGCTATTCATTTTGAAATGGGTTCAGAAGGCTTGCAAGGAATCACACACAGGACCCACATTATCTAAAGCATACATTTCTTATTCTGCATTCATTTATCTTGAAAGGATGCGCATTAGGTACAAGGTGAGGTCAGCACAAAGGATTTCATAGGGTTCTTCTCAAATCTATGAAGGCATGGAACGCAATGGATAGCGTCAGCAGACTGAGATAAAATAGTATGACACCTTTCCTTGCATTCCATCGCAATCCTGTGTGGTTTGGATAAAGACAAACCTTTTTTTGACTTCCTAACACGGTTCCGGAGAGGGAGATTTTCAAAACTTTAGCTTGTTAGAGTACTGCATAATATGCCCTTTCTAACAAAGCTAATTTTGCTCCTATCATCCATATTTTATTAGATATCTGTAATCCGAAAAATAGACTTATTTGGAGATAAGGTGGGTGTAAAAAAGCTGTTTAGTTCCACGATTTGTTCTGTCTATGTATGGACAGGACATATCTTTTCCTCACTTAATTGGTGTGCCCATTTAATTCTTGTTACAATTAATCCTACATAAAATGGAACTTGAGCATCTGATTTAATTTTAGTCATCAAAGATCAAATACTTTATTTTTTCATGTTACAAGAAAATAGTAACTTACTTAGTGTCACTTTGAAAGAATATTTGCGAAGGGAAGAACCTCCCTTCCTTTATGATCTGTTTTTCCAGTTCCTCCTCATGTATTAGGTATCAATAATACCTTACTACTTTTTTGTACAAAATAATGAGTGTAGTAATTAATATATATATTTGAATTATTATTATCAAGTCCACTTTATGAGCTTTTTTGTCTTTGAAATGTTTGCATTTTTGGGTGTTCAATCCCTGATTTGAAGCTTAGCCTTTATATGGTTTGTTAATCACTACTTAACTGTTATACGTTGTCTTTCGTAAGTCTTAGTTTTTTTAACAAAAACTATCCTGAATTGTATTGTCACTTAAAATGTGTATGGTTTGTTATTTCATAAGTATAACTTCTATCTGTGTTATTCACACTATTGATTTGGGTTACACATTTTTGTTAACTATTTATTTTATGTACGTCAGTCTAACAAATAAAGTATTGAGGCCGAATTCTAGGTTTTCCCCTCTTTTTATTCATCAGTAAACAGTCATTATGTCTGTTTTCCAGGACAAACAGGAAACACTTAGAGTCCAGGACATTTTTTCGTTATCATGAGAAGAATAGTAAAAAATTGAGAAATTACATGGGACCATATAATAAGAAAAAATAAGGATTAACTTGCAGGTATGAGTTGGTCTCCACATATTGCAAAATTAGGACCTGAAACTCGATCTGTTTCGAGTAATATTTTAAAATTATTAACTATCTATGCTCAAAATCATCTCAATTTTCCAAATAGGTTCATGCACTGTCCTGTAAATTTAGAAAAATGTTATTTCAACCTCTAGTCGAACGTCAAGGCAATTTTAAGATTTAGAAGATTTGTTTTCACAGAGGTTCTCGAGCAAACCTCTAAGAAGGTAACGTAATTATATTTATGTCAAGTGAAATCACCATTCAGTCTTCATTCTAAAATGAGTTTTATACTGGCTTTTTTCTTCTGAAATAATTTTAAAGGAAAATATTTTTTTACTGTGGCCGAATTTTCCATTTTTCGAAAAATCTGTAAATGCGCAAGTTTTTGGGCTCAGGCAACTTAGAAGGTACATCATGGATATAAATATTAACTTTGAGCTTTGTGAGAATCAGAATTGACTTTCCTTTCAATTTACATTCATTCCTTACCTTAGTATAAAAACGTAAAAAATTGGCTTGAATAGTCAAGTTTTCCAGCAACTATAATTTTGTTCCTTCTTAAAATTATCTGCAACTACCAATTTAGTTGAACAATTGAAGAGCCTTCTCCAAGGATGACTTCAACTTAAATTATTCTATTCTTTTCAATTCAGAAGTCACGTGGATGGGTATGTCTTACGTGTCTGCAAGTGTAAAATTGGCATGTTAATGAGTACCTAAACTTCAAAAATGCTTGCCTAGGTACCTACCCCACTTTAAAATGTTGCATTTTTTTTGTGAAGGGTTTTTGAACTGAGGGGCCTAGAGGACAAGTAGGGTAAGTGCAGTTTTTGCCCTTTCAAGAAATACATGTTTAAAGTTTCAAAAGTACATGGAGCCTCATGACGGAAAGGAAGTTCAAGCTCACCTTTTGAAGCTTAACAATTAAATTTTAGTACTAAATTTTTCTTAGAATATATTTAAGGACTGGCTTTTTCTACCTATCCTATCCGGCCTCCAGGCTAGCTCCTATTTCAATTTTTTTCAAAACTGCACTTGTCCCACTTGTCTTCCAAGTCCTTTAATTGTGATTGAGGTTGAAAAAACAAATCATCATTGAAACAGAATGATAACATTTACTCACAATTCTATGATGGAGATGTAAAATTAAAGTACAATCAAGTGGACAGAATTAGAAGCAGTTTGGAATACTGCAATGATGAATCCACACAAGACATTTTGGATAAAGTTTTACACCTTGGAATACTTCCAAACCCAGCATATATGCACTGATCTTGGAATGAAACTTATTCCAAAATAAGAAAGTTCTCTCTAGATACGTCTAAAGTAGATAGATCTCAGTTGCTATATTATATTTGATGGACAGTTCTTGAAGAATGATTCATACAAAAAAGGTTGAATAAAACCTTTCAAAAACGGGCTGTCACAAGAAATAATTTGCTCTGATACAAGAATATCTATCCCTTGTTAAAGTTAATGAGAAGGTATAAAAATACATACCATAATAGTAATAGATAAAATATTCATGGTTGCATATTTATAGTAATGTCGCGTGAGCTAGAAATATTATTCTCTTGCTTTTTGAACACTAATGGGAAGTATAAAAGATGTTACTGTGAAAATCCTGTCATTTTACCTATAAACAGGTTATTACGGTATGAGGACAATTCTTAGCTATGAGGTGACAAACAGGGCTGGCTCGGACATTTACAACAGGGCAAACACATTCGTGGCTGAACAAGGAAAACATGAGTTTTAATTTGCAACATTTCAGTTTTCAACATCATTTCTGGAAAAAGTCCGTGTTTTCTATTCTCTATTTGCATGCTATTCAACAAAACTTTTCAGTGATTAAGTTTACTCTTTTCATATCATTTAATAAAAGTAAGATGAGAACAACAATTTTGAAACTCTGCTACTAAGATGCATGTTTTCCAGGTTTAGCCATCAAATTGTATACATAAAATAACTATTGGTGGAAAAGGCTGACAAAGAGCAACCATTACATTGAAAGTTCAAGGCGCTGATGAGACTTGAGAACTTACATCAATTACAATGCTATTCTTCCATGGCAGGGTCACTCTGATCAATGTGCAGATCATCAAGCATTTCTTCTAGCGTAATATGAGGAGCAAATGGGTCATCTATATCATCAGCATCAACAACTACTGACTTATCCTTGTAGATATTGACATTTTTACGATACTCAACGTCCTCCTCAAGGTCAACTTTAAACTCATCATAATCGTTATTGTCAGTTGGGAACAAACTACCTTCTTTTTCTGCTATATGCTTCAACTTCCATCCTCGTTTTGTAATCACGCGTGGATAGAACTTCTTCACTAAAATAACATCTGGGATATAGTCTTTATTCAACTTATCAAAATGTGGGTCATTGATATTGCTATCTTCAAGATTATAGCCAAGGACTGAGTCGCCTACTTTGAGTAAATGTCCAAGGTGTGATCTAACATGGGTTGGATTTTCATTTATACCAAGCTCACTAGCCTTCACAACCCACACATCTGCTACAACATGCTTATGAGAGACTCTACCTTGTCCAGGGAAGACTTTCAAATCTTCATTGCGAACCAGCTCTATGTCCATCACAATGAACTCTATTAACTGTTTAGAGTGGAAAATCATTTGGAATGGGTTCCGCCAATATACCATGCCAGTTAAATCCGCGACTTGGGCAGTAAATGGATCAATTAAGTGCACTGAACTGGCAACTCTAGCAACTAAACATAATTGATTGATTCCACCTAAATTATGAGCCAAAGATTTCGGCAAACAGACGATACTATCTTTACAGACAGGTACAATTTCTATACTGTAAGTAGTTTTCGTGTTATATGTATTACTATGAATATCATGAGAAATTAACTCTTTGGACATCTGATCTTTACAGGGCAGAACAGCACACAGAAAGTCAACCATCTTACGAGCATTAACTTCGGTGGCATAATAAAAATCTAGCCCTCCATCCATTGGTTTAATGCCCACCGTTTGCTCATGGGCTTTATGTTTCAAAATAAGCTGTTCAAGATAGTACATAGTTTTCTTACTGTCAGTTTTCTGACGTACCTGGACACAGGCTCGCCAAAAGTTCTTTGCTTCCGTGCGATGGCAGTCTTCACAAAACAGATTGACTACTGTGAACTCAACAACAAACACTTGCTCAAGAACTGCACCACCAAAAACCTCTCCTTGGACAGTGAGTTTGACTTTGATTCGTTTAGAGTGGGGCTCTGTCCAAATGAAACCAGCATCGACAAGTTTGACACGACTTAGACCTTTCAGTTTGCGCAAGCAGAGTGCAAGGAGTTCTCGGGATTCTAGTGGACAATGGACCCAGTCTTGCGGAGGCTGTAGGTATCTTTCACATCCTTTGCACCATTGAAGAGTAGCTTGTTTAGGGATACTCTCGGTTATATCAACTTTGGATCGTAAGCATGCAACACACATGTTAGCAGGGTTGGGTGCGATGACACAACCACACTGACAACACAAAATTCTACGTTCCTCGGAAACTGGCTCATTTTGAAGGATTACAGTACCTTCTTCCATTATCTTAGTAAGAAAAATCGGTTGGAAAAACAACCGAGTGTCCAGTGAGCACTGAAAAACTAAATTCAAACAGCACGGGCACACACGTCACGTTGATGATTTGAGTGAACTTTAAGGTTAGGTTCTTCTGATTTGTTGTTGAATGATGAATTATGGTAAGTGTGTATGGCGTTGCCAAGTTGCTCTCTCGGCATCGGCTGGTGCTGGTAGGCTGAGAGGGAGGGGGGCATAATGAATCGCACAGTTTATTACTATTATTATAATAATGTATTTAATAACTAATTTAAAGCATTTATTCAATGATATATTTTAAAAAAGTAAAACGTAAAAAACTGGCAGTTGAAGGTGAAAACCGGAAATGAGGAGGGAAGATCGGAAGTGGAAGGTTTAAGTGGAGAACGGAAACCGGTAAGTAAAAGGAGGGAGAGCTCGAAGTGGATGAAAAAACCGGAAATGAAAAATAAGAACAGGAAAACGAAAGTAAGTGCCGGAAGTTGGAGGTGAAAACCGGAAGTGGCAGTGAAAACTGAAAGTTGAAGGTGAGAACCGGAAGTGGATATAGTGTAAACCGGAAATAGGGAATGAGAACCCGAAAAGGAAGAGAAAATTGGAGGTGGAAAGCGGTTAAAGAAGGTGAGAATCTGACATTTTTTTGTTTTGTTTTTGATACGTCTGTTTTTAATTCAATAAAAAAAATAGCATTACTAACGAAGGTTATAGTATAAAAAAGAACATTACAGTGGACATCGAGAAATTTTGAGAATAAAATGAAATGAATTTTGAATTCAAGAGGAGGGCCAAAATTAAAAAAGAGTAAAAAAAAATTCAGAAACAGGGGGAGCAGACATGCCGGAATTACCATTTGACGGTATACCATCAGCGAAGGGAGGAGTAGTGAGAGACATTACTTTTGAGGTAGTAAGGAGAGACATTACCTTAAGGGTTTGAAAATCGGACATAGGAAATGAAAACTGGAAATAGGAGGTGGAAATTGAAAAGGGAAATGGAAACCAGAACAGGTGTAAACCAGGAAAAAATAGAAAGTGAAAACCTGAAGTGAAAAGTGAAAACTGGCAGTTTTCCTTTGAGATGAACCATTTATTAAGAAATATTTTAAAAAATGATAAATCATAAAATATTTGCTATTCTGAGAGATTTTTTAGATAATTATAAAGAAGCAACAATTTCACAATACTGTAATAGCGCTGGTAGCTGTAGTAGCGCTGTAGTCCTGTTTGCTAAATGCGGTCCACATAAGAGGCGGGGCATACAATTTGCCCGGAAAAATAAAATTAAACTTAATTAAAAGGGTTTAAACTTGGCCAAATAAAATTTGGCCACTTTTGGAGTTGAATTCATTTGGATTCCTCATCAGATTTGTTTGCGAAGTTAGATCGCTAAATCAGAGGCTTTGAATCGCCTTCAAATCACGAGAACACGAAAGAGCATATACGCTTGCAGGTAGCTCAGAATCCTTGCCTAGTTGCCTTATGTATGCAAGTTACAAAGCATTTTAAAAGCATAGTTTGCTTTCCACACAGCTAACGTCGATTTACGACGATTTACGATTAACCGAAATGATTACTGGTTTAGTCTCCACCAGATTTTATAATTTTTTGGGAAGATGTTGGAGGGGGGGGGGACTTTTTTCTTGGCATAGACAATTAACACTAGGAGTTTTATTTTTCTATTTCATTCATCTCATGTGTCATGTGAGTTTGATGGGATTCAGTTCCCCTTGACCTTTACAAGCGATATGATTGAGCTTATTCTATTCATTTGGAATTTGGATTCCTCATAAGATTTGTTAGCCAAGTCAAAGGCTTTGAATCGCCTTCAAGTCACGAGAAGACGAGAGATTATACCTACACATTCGTGCAAGTGGCTCATTAACAGTTACGTGCGAGGGGGCATTTCAAATCGTTATCGTCTTTTTAAAAATCCAACGTGGGCGCTATAAAACAAAATGATTACTGGTTTACAGTTTCCACCGGATGTGTGACTTTTTTTGGCTATTATTTTTGTATAAAAAATCACTAGCATTCTAAAATGTCTATTCTAAATTTTGTCTAATGTCTATTTGATAGATAGGATTCAGTTCCCCCTTGTGACGAGCGATATGAGTGAACTTATTGAATTCATTTGGATTCTCCATCAGATTTGTATGCTCACTCTGTCAGAATCTTTAAATCGCCTTTAAATCACGAGAAGACAAAAGTACATTCATGCGTGCAAGTAGTTCCTATGTTATAATCTGCTAAAAACACCAAAGATGTCGACTCTTGTGAATAGCGCCTACCCAAGTACCGAAGCATCTCTCGTCATCTGCAGCTGTTCTCTTCGGACTTCGGCAAAGGCAATTAATAACGATTTTTGGATGTTAATTTTCCTTACACTAATAGCCCCTTCCTTACACTCGTTGCTCGTGTATGTAGCATAAAGCCCTACTCTCTACGCGGAAGGATTCCTACACGGTTGCGCGCCATTGATGCCGCATTGTGATTCGCCGGCATGCCGCAAGAAAGTAGTCCTGTCACCTGTTACATCCTGATCCTGATTTCAGTGATTTCTGAATCGGAACATCTTTGATCTGAACCTTTCTGAATTTGATTCTGCGTGATCGTTGGATTTCAAAATCTTGAGAAAGGTTTTCCAGCACCAAATCTCTTGGATTCTTCTGCTGTTCGTATCTCTTGCCCTGAGTAATCTACGCCAAACTAAACCATCTTTGCTGCTGCAGGTAAAATTAATGAACTTTATCTATCTCCCCGTGGCTCTCCCCTAAAAGTGGAAGGCCCCAAGTTCCCAAGCTCGTAGTTTTAAGTTGTGATTTCATCGAAATTAAGTGCATTTAACTCCGTGTGTATCCTTCTCACCCGCTGAGGCTGTTTACAAGAGTCTGCTGAGAACCAATTGCTCTGAAACTAAGCTTATTTTTCCTGATTATCCTACCCTACGCCAGGTCACTTTGGACTAGTTGAAGCTCTCTTAATGGCCTAATGAGTACGGTATGTCACCCGAGGATGATGCTTCAGTTGTTTCCAGACGCTTTAAATCAATGGTAAGCTGATCTACTTCCTACAAATAGACTTATATTTTCTGATTTTACATGATGCTGCATCCTCTCACAAGGCCCCATCTACCCTAGCTTTAGGCCTATTTTCATCTCTGCCTCCAGGTCAAATTTTATGCAGTCTACTTTATTTCATTTATGTATTGTATCTCAGAGTGGACTTCAATCTACTATAAATTTTCATGCTGTCATCTATATGGTCCCACCCAAGCTGCCATGGCAATATAATGATTTTGGACCACCTGATCTGGTCTTCGGACTTCCTCTGAAGTGTCAGCCAGCCCGAGGAATACTCTCCCAAAGCTGTCACTCTCGCATTCCAAGTTTATTTCCCATGTGCTTTCAAGCATGGTTTTATTTACAAAATTATAGGAGATGCTTGGCATCTCTGGAGCAAGTTGTATGAACAGGCCCCAGTAATTGATTACACCTGGTTTGTTCTGAGGCTCCGCCTCCTGGATCCTACCCTCCTTCCCTCCCTCCAGCAACCCACTTGTCCTTTCCCCTTGTTGTTCTTTCACTTATCAGAGTCTCTTACAAGCTTACAACAATTGAGGAGTTCATCTGTAGACTCCAAATCTGTTGAGCTATTTTGCATTCAAGTTGTTGTGTTTTAGTTTCCGTAGAATCACATCCTGGTTGCCTTTCTGCTCGTGAAGTCATTTTCTTCCAAGAATTCATTTGATTAAAGAGATTAACTACTGTTTATTATTCAGAGCTCCATTTTACTTTAACACAGTCCATTTTCCTTTTCTTTGTTTATCACACCTGAGAGTGAAGCCCCTCCATTCCATTTCAGCTTATTGTTAGTGTGAGAATATTGCTCCAACTTTTTCTGTGCGTTTCCTTTAACAGTCGTTTAAGGTCATGATTAAGGTGATTCGATGGACACCATATTATGTGTCAGAACGGCATGTGATATATCGCATCAACTGGCTCCATTTTTTCAGCTACTCGTCATTTTGCTCCAATTTTGAGTTTGCAATTCCGTTGTCAGGGAACTAACTCACTCATTTACCAATTTTAACAAAGAAATTCAACGTACTGAAGGCGTGGTTTTGTTAGAGAGAAAATATCGCATTTGAGTGCAGTTTTGATATAAATATCGAATATGATGTTCTCTCTCTAAAAAAACTACGCCTTTACTATGTTGAATTTCTTTGTTAAAATTGGTAAGTGAGTGCTTTAGTCTCCTGACAACAGAATTGCGATCACGAAATTGGAGAAAAATAACGAGTAGCTGAAAAAATGGAATTAATTGATGCGATATGTCGCATGCCGTTCTGACACAAAATATAGCGACCATCGAATCACCTTAAGGCAGTGGTCTAGATTCAAATGGCGGTTTTTATAATCCATTTAAGGGAGTGGATGCTTATATTGTTGCACAACCTTCTCAGCGCTCCTTTCAGAATACTGCATCCATAATGGAACAAAGCCCCTCTCAAGAATTCACAGCCCCTCAATCAAAGTGATGCCAGTATTTTGACTCGATTTGAGGTTCTTCATTGGCGCTCAAGACCTAACCCCATGAGTGTTCCCTTTTGAAGTTAATTAAAACTTGCGATCCAGATTGGAATGGAAGCCACACTAACAGAAAATTGAGTTTATTGCTACCCTCTGAGAAGCAGTTAGAGGTTGATCTTACTCAGATTTAAATTGAAGACATGCTTGAAACATTTTCAGTTAAATACTCATTTTGGTTTGAAAAATGTCGCCCAGATTGTGAACGTCATGCCCCTTTCATCCTTCTCCGATAATTCGCTCTGTAATATGCTGACAGCACTTATGAAGGCTCATGTCACCCTGCCCGCTTGACTTGGCCCACATTTGATGGACCTTTGTCTTCGTCCTATTGGACAACGTTTAACAGTTGTTTCAAAGTGGCCATGAGTCCAGATTGAGGTGTGCAAAAATTCCAGTATCTGCTAAATGCTCTGTCACAAGAATGATTAAATTTGATCTAAACCCTTGAATTTACAGCAGAAAACTACAATGAGGCATGAGACATGATCTGCACCCGTAATCTAAGCTCCGTCAAAAAAAAAAAA